ACTACGATGTCATCACTTCCATGCCAGCTTTTTATGCGTCTAACCATTACTGCGAACGCTGCGACCAACGTTACGACCATCCCGAAAAACACCCCTGCACCAAGCAATACCGCTGCCACCACTGCCTCCACTCTAGCTATTGCGGGCCCAAGGAAGAGCATGGGATCCCTTGCTTGACATGTCAACGTTGGTTCCCAAATCAACAGTGCTACACCCAACATCTTCAGTCACCGTCAGAGGGAAAACCCAGCGCCTGTCACAGGTCGATTTACAGGTGTCTGACCTGTTTTCAGCTGGTTCGCGTGTTGGAGACCCCACATCACGAGTGCTCAGATGAGTGAGTGAGTGAGTATGGTTTTACGCCGCTTTTAGCAATATTCCAGCAATATCACGGCGGGGGACACCAGAAATGGGCTTCACACATTGTACCCATGTCGGGATTCGAACCCGGGTCTTCGGCGTGAGGAGCGAACGCTTTAACCACTAGACTACCCGACCGCCCCAGTGCTCAGATGAAGAACATCCCGGCTTAGTGTGTCGAGAACCCATGACCCCAGACCATCGCTGTTACATGACGCCTCTCCGTGAAGCCCACGAGGAAGAGGAGGGGTAGGAAGAGGGGGAAGAGGAACAACATCAAATACGAGACAACGTCAAATACGTCTTCTATGATTTTGAATGCATGCAAGACACGGGGGAACACATCCCAAATTTGTGCGTGGTGCAGTTAGGATGTGGACGATGTATCAGTGAAGTGAGCAAGGAGTTGTGCGAACACTGTCCATGGAGAGAAGAAGGTTATGGTCCCAGCCGTGAGATCGTGTTTTGAGGCCCCACCACGAGACATGATGGGTGTGTGTGGTTGACAACGCTGGCTGAAAAACCCAAGAAGAAGAACCAAGGGGAAGAGGAGGACAGCACATGTAAGGGGGCAACAGCACACCTTGGGAAAAGAAAACGGGATGGAACCCCCTCAAGAAAGCACTCTTCAAAACTTCAACGACATTCATCACCCCAGCAGTAGGAAGCGGAGGTGGAAGGGAAGGATGTCATCGACCCCACGACACGAATCCAGAGCTGGGCCATTCGTTGGGTGAGTTTACAGATGAACTGGACGGAAACACCATCAAGACTTTTTTGTTATAGGAGGTCCCAAAAACTATGGCTATGGGTTAATGAACCCCAGACCCGATCGAACGCGCATGGCCTGCAAAGTGTGAGGGTTCACTTTGAATTACAGAAACCAACAACATCTCAACTTTGACACCATGAAAGGACTGATACTCGGACAACAGCCTGGGAAGGAGGGGGAGAAAATCAGCTTGGATTACCCTCATCAAATCATTCGAAAAGGACCTCGGCACGGGAACGCTCATGTGACCCGACCCACCCGAAAAGAGTATCGTACTGTGTACAACAAGCGACGTCTGGTCTACGATGAAACCACAGGGCTGCCTGTAGACACGCTCCCCTTTGGGTACTGAGACGACTAGATCATGTTATATGTCATACCATTGAGGGGTGTCACAACGGATCAAAACTGAATCGACATGGACACCTACAGAAAAGCCGGATCGAAATCTGACCAATCAAGCCTTGGTTTTCGACCCATCAGAGGGCGCCTTTGCCTTGGGTGGCCCTCTGATGGGTCGAAACGAGGTTGTGCTTTCTCTCTCACGCTACAAGCCTGACCCTATGGAAAAAAAACACAAGGGTTGATTCAGTTTGGAAAATTGAGGCTCAGACCAGGCACCGGAACGGACCAATAAGAAAGCAGGGTATCAGTGTTTTTTAATACGACCAACGCTCTCCGATCATCACTTTTCACTGAACGGTCCAAGCATTCACCATCATGTTCGGGCTACTACTACCGTATGACAACAATGGCTACTACCGCATCACCATCAAACAGAAGAAGAAGGAGAAGGGGGACAAGGGCGAGGACGTTCTCAATGGCGAGCATTTCCGTCGTGCAATGGCAGACATCCTGGGGGAGCGGCTAGTTCTACATTGGGAGATGATGAGAACAAGTGGCTTGTACAAAGATTCCCATGACTGCATGCATGAGAAGTTAAAGAGTGTTGTGGACACATTTCTGCCTCCGGAGTATGGCATCTGCATCCCCAGCATGGAACTCTACGTGGAAAAGTCAACCCCAACACCTGAAGCAGCAGAACTCACAGCATCCATACTCAAAGCAGCCAAAAAAAGCAGCAGCACCACACGTCGCAGCACTCACTGCAGTGGTAGCAGAGGGAACGTTAAAAGAAACACACGTACTCCTCTCAGCACTCATCGCAGCGTCAGAAGCAGCACCCATACTAACAACAACACCCTCAGAAGCAGTGAAAGCAGCACAACAACTCGACTCAGCACTATGGACAGCGATACTAGCAACAGCCGCAGCAACACCTGCAGCCATAGAAGCAGCAGCAGTAGCACTCGTTGAAATGGTAACCTCACATGCACCCTTGCTGCATCAGTACTCATCGCAGACAACACCAACAACAACACCCGTAGCAGCAGCAGAAGATGCAGCTGCAGACGCAGCAACAACACCCTCACTAAAAGTATTCATCAATGCACTACAGATGGCGCAATGCGCGGCAGGTGCGAGGGCATCGAAGGGGACACCCCGAGAAGCAGCAGCAACAGAGAAATTCGCCTCAGCACTATCCTGGGCGGCAGCAACAGCCACAGCCGCCACACCCACAGCTGTAGAAGCAGCAACAGCAGCACTCATCGCCGTAGTAACAGGAGTAACTTCAGCGCAGTCACCACCACCACCTTCACCATCACCGATGGACACCTCAGATACATCAGCACCCACACCAAAACCAGTGGCACCAGCAGTGGCACCAGCAGTGCCAGCCATCATCGCCACACCAACAGAAGCACCAGTAGCAACACCCTCACCAACAGAAGCAGCAGCAGCAACAGCAGCACTCGTTGCAACATAGAGCAGGCTATCTGTGTGATGACGATGACGAAGGTTGTCATCCACTTTTTCACATTATTCGCATTGTTTCGCATTATTTCGCATTGTTTGCCCTGTATCTAAGTTGAAGTGTGTTAGGTGTCATCATTAAACAGGGATAGATTGAACTGACTCTTTGTGTCTTGATTGATCTCAACTCCAATAGGATGCTGAACCGAGGGTAGAGGCTGAGTTGAGATGTCGTCTACATTGTCTGTCTGTCTGTCTGTCATGGCAGTGCACACCAAAGTGAAGAAAAAAGTAAAGAATAACATATAAAAAAAATAGATAAAAGAAAAAGGCCATGCTTGAAAGATCAGCTGCCTGGTGTCAGTCATCCAAAACAGGGGATTGAGTCATATCACATCGTCAGTGACATGCAAGACGTCATGGTGTCCACATGGTGTTCAGACTAATCGACACCCACCCTGCTTGCTTTCCTAACACAAACAACAACAATCCAAAACAAAGACACCCCCCCCCCCCCCCCCCCCAGCACCTCGGTATAAATAAACGAGTGACAACGTCATAATCCTATGGATAAACGTGTGTTTGTCGTCACGCGTGCACCATGTTTGCATGGAGACACGAAATACATCACGTAGGCATATACCTACATAACGTTCATGTCTGTCGATTCACCTTTAGAAATCAGGCAACACCTTTAGAATTCCATGATCGTAGCGCTAAGGTGATCGCCACTCACCGACTGTAACTTTGACGAACGGCTGTCATAGTGGGCTACAATACACGATCTTGGAACGAGACCTTGCACCTCAAAGTTTACAATCGCATCACCATACCCGATGATGTCAATTGTGGAATGTTGTTGCAAGATCCTTCGCCGATATGACGTCAACCTAGCAACAAAGTGGCAGAGTCGTCGACTGTGTATGGTAAGCTCGTCTCAGTGAACTATCATTTTCACATGCCATCGCCACACACCCACCAAAACAAAACAAAGAACCCGACTCCCCTCCCGCCTTCCTCCCTCCCTGAATCCCTCCTCCTCCTCCCTCCACCACCTCTTCTATTTTTAGGAAAAAAACCTGTACATCCAGGATTTTACACGCGCTTCTTTCAATGTTGATCTTTTTCGCATTGTACGAGCGCTTCTTTGGGTTCCCCCTCCTCCCAGGAAACGTATGTGCCGCCCTCTTGGAGGTGCGTACGCAACCGGAAACGGATATACCGCCATCTTGGATGCGCACGCCATCGGAAACGGATGTGCCTCCATCTTGGTTGCGCACGCAAACCAAAACCGGAAGTGACGTCATCAGCGGAGCGGTCCTGAAGCGCTGCACACATCTACTCCCGTGCTCGTGGGTTTCACCGAAGTGGTAAACGTCTAAGACCTATATCACTTCGGGCTTTCCTCACACATAAAGCTGACACGCCGTGATATGACTGGAATACTGTTCGGCGTCCAACTCAACTCACTCACTCACTCCAGCTATATGACGTCTGTCTGTAAATAATCGAGTCTGGACCAGACAACCCGGTGACTGATGTCATATGCATCGATCCACGCAACTGGGATCCGATGACATTCATCAACCAAGACAGCGAGCCTGACCACCCGATGCCGTTAGTTGCTTCTTAAGGGCTTGTCACACACTGCCGATGTATCTCGCCGGGACTAAACTGGAGCAAAAAATTAACAACGGCGAGAAAATCGGCGGATCTCGAGCGAGAAAGCACTTGAAAAATCAAAATTGACCGTAGCAATACCGATGTAGTACCGGTGTTTCCGTTGTGATGCCGTTGTGATACCGTTGTCCTACCGATGTAAGAGCCGATGTGCTACCGAATACCGCTTTTCTGTCCCCTTAGTGTTACCGATGCGCCGCCGATGTTATACCGATGTACCACCGTTGACCGGGGCTATAGCGGAGTGATACCGTTGCGACGCTGGAGCTCCGGTATCACATCGGCGGCGCATCGGTACTACTACGGTGGTTTTCGGAGTACTACGGTATCACATCGGCGGCGAATCGGTACTACTTCGGTGGTGTTCGGAGTACTACGGTATCACATCGATACCAGTGCGGTACACATTTAGGCCATGGAAGAGCCGCCGATGCTCTACCGACATTAACGAAGCCATACCGGAGAACTGCCGTTGTAGTCCCGTTGCTCGCTCCGGCAGCGCAACGGTGGAAATAATTGAGCAAGTTGAAAAATTTCTATCGTCGCCATCTTCGGCATCGTCGCCAACTTCGCCATTGTCAATATTGTCTGCATCGTCGCCATCGTCGGCATTGTCGGCATCGTCGCAATCGTCGCCATCTTCCGCATCCTCGGCATCGTCGCCATCTTCCGCATCTTGGACATCTTGGGCATCTTGGGCATCTCTGGCATCGTCGCCATCTGCGGCATCATCGCCATCGTCGCCATCGTCGCTATCATCGACACCGTCGGCAGCGTCGCAATTCATAGCAAATTCAGAAATAGGTATGGGTGGTGGTGAGTGCGTGGGTGGGTTTGTATGGCTGGTGATGAATGGGTGGGTGGTTAGTTATGGGTAGTGGTGAGTGGATGGGTTGGTTTGGGTGATGATGATTAATAAATGGGTGGTTATGGGTGGATGGCGGTTAGTGGGTGGGTGGGTGGTTAGTGTGGTGGTGAGTGTATGGGCTTCCCATATTGTGCCATATTGAACTGAGACTTTTATCCACCGTGCTACACTACTGCTCTCACAGTAGGTGAGGTGAGGTGAAATAGGGTTTAACGTCGCATTCAAGATTATTGCACTTAAATAGCGACGTGCATGTACGCGTGTGTGTTTGTGTGGCGCTTAAGTTAGTCCGGAATAACAAGTACCATCTTTTAACGTCCTTTGGTATGACGCGGCCGGAGATCTAACCCCGGAAAATCGGGAATCGAACCCTGTTCATACAGCAACGAGTGTGTCCGTGAAGACACTGTCATATTTCAGCATTGTTATGGACGCATAGACTAACATCTAGTCTCTGAAATGAACATATCGTACAGAAAAAAACAGTTGTTCAATTATCTTAATAAAAATATAATAAAAGGGAGCCAAGTGACTCTCTTCATTTTCATAAGAAAGTGATACTGAAAGAGATTCTGCCGTAATCTAGACTTGCCAAACATTATAGACTTGCATGGGCTGTATTTGCTATATATTTGTATCAGGGTCTGTAAGACAGACTAATGGACGCACACCGCCATGAAAAGGCTGAACTTCTGTTAGAAGCGGCGTAAAATATCCAGATACTCCCACTCTCCCACTGGATGTGGTTTAACAACGTAAATTGTTCAGTGAGAGGCGGTCCAGGGAAAAAACCCGTAAAAAATCCCAGTCCTTGCCTAACCTCACTGAGGTTTCCATATTCCCTGTCACCACTCGTTACCAAATTACCGTTACTCCCTCAACAGAAGCCTACCATGACCATCGCTCGCGGTGAGTAGTTTCTGTATCAGGTTACACTTCAGTCACAGTCTATTTAATTTATCTAGCTGGACCATGCATGGGACAAACGCTGGGGGCATAATTCTGTACTTAAACTGGAAGAGACGAAACGTGAAAAAACGTATTAAACAACCACATTCATAATCATATTATTATCAACAGAAGTTTATTTATTCGATATCATATATGATTAAGTAGACTAACATCTAGTCTCTGAAATGAACATATCGTACATAAAAAAAACATTTGTTCAGTTATCTTAATAAAAATATAATAAAACTGCAGTGATCTAGACTTGCCAAACATTATAGACTTGCATGGGCTGTATTTGATATATATTTGTGTCAGGGTCTGTAAGACAGACTAATGATTAAGAGGCCTGTTAATTTATATGAAAAACTCTTAAAGGTGTATCGATTAGTTCATAAGTTTTACAACCCAAGTATTACGGAATTTTATAAATCTGAAAGACATCTAAACTTGCTTTATTTTGGCTATAGCATTACACTTTAGTTGGGTTTTTTAAACTTTATGTACATAAAGTTTTCAGAGAATAAAAGCAAGACTAGCTCTCTCTTGCACATATAAAATATAACATTATCAGGAATGAAATTACATAACACAACACATTATCACACAAATATTTATTCACTTTTGCTGTGAACTATTGATTTCGATCAATTTGGTGCAAAGTTTTCAAGGCAATTATTGAACCTGTTGTATATAGCTGTGAGGTATGAGAAATTGACTCAGTTCTGTTCAAGCATATAGATAACTGTATTTCGGATAAAATAGCCAAAGGTGACGACGGCTGTAGATGTTTGTTTCACTTTGTTTGTACACGTTAGTTTGTTTGTTTGTTGTTTAAGCACAGGAGCACGGGCATGGTACTGATAGTCCAAGGATCATGCATCAGCGTGAATCTCCAAGTGAGTGAGTGAGTGAGTGAGTTAAAGTTTAACATCACATTTGCATTATTTCAGCCGCATAGCGACGAGAACAAGTTGATATATATACAATTGAGTCATGAATATAAAGTTATATTTAAAAACAAATTTGTCAAATATATTTTATCATAATATTATTTACAACTGTTTCGAACACGGGACATAAGCCACAAGTAACCAACGCTAGGCCACCTCGCTTGGGGTCGTTGGGAGTTACCCAAGCAGGATTTTTGTCACTATTTCAGCTTCTGGTGGTTTTGCACAATACGAGCCAATCTTAAAACAATACTCAGCAATAATTTTGCGTAAAACACTGGTTGATGATAGCAACATTGATTATGATAGGAATTACGTGTCACACAGGGGGACAATAATGTTACGGTACTTTAACCTCCTGGGCAGAGCCTTTAATAATCTCTGTTGATAAAAGCATCACACAAAATTTAAATACCCGTGAAGAGCCGGGGTAGAATAGCTCTTCAGCAACCCATGCTTACCGTTAAAGGCGACTATGCTTGTCGTAAGAGGCGACTAACGGGATCGCGTGGTCAGGCTCGCTGACTTGGTTAATGCACGTCATCGATCCCAAATGCGCAGATCTATGACTGTCGAGTCCAGACTCGATTATTTACAGACCGCCGTCATATAGCTGGAATATTGCTGAGTGCGGCGTTAAACAACAAAACAACAACTAAATATAAAAACAAGCAGATTCTGTAAGTGAACACTGAACACTCATACAGATGGCGGAGAATCACAATACACTTGACGATGACCGTGCTTCATGATCGTGAATGAGATTGATATTGTTTGTTTGTTTGTTTGTTTGTTTTAAACGCCGAACTCAGCAACATTCCAGCTATACGACGGCGGTCTGTGAATAATCGAGTCTGGACTCGACAGTCCAGTAATTGACAACATGAGCATCGATCCATGCAATTGGGATACGATGACATACATCAACCAAATCAGCGAGCCTGACCACCCGATCCCGTTAGTCGACTCTTACGACAAGCACACTCGCCAGTTAGGGCAAGCATGGGTTGCTGAAAACCTGTTGTACCCCGGATCTTCACCGGTTTATTGATACTGACAAGCCATGCTTGTATGAGCTGACTAAAATGGGGATGGCCTTGCGCCATGACCGTGTTCATGAGAAGATTCCTTATTATTATTGACAATCTCTGATTGTGAGAGGTGACTAATATGGATCGTATGGTCTTGTTCATTGACTTTGATGATTGCGGGTCAACGTAACTCGACGTCTCGTGCTATCAATGACAGATTTGCCTGGCCCACAGACTCAATAACCCCCATGCCGCTAGATCGTAAACATAACATTCACTCTCTTTCACTGTGTTTAGGGACGGAGAATCGCCTGAGCGGTTTCGGGGAAGCAACAATTCGAGTAGGAGTCGGCCAGAGCCTGTATCAAAGGAGTACTTATTCAAAAGCGAAAAAATCAAATACATCATTACAGAGAATGAATGTTTGTGTACTCGAAAACATTCTGTTCATATCATAAATAAATAAATAAATTCAACTGAAAAAAAGAAGGTATTTTTTTATTTTTCAATGCATTATATTTATTTTGATAAGTAACCTGGACCCATTTTCCACCATGCATAGCTTCTAGTGACAACCTCAATCACTCGTCTCTGAGCACACGCCGGCGCAGTGGTGACTTTAGCATAACACCACTGCTACAGGCTAATTTGCATATCACGTGACCGAACTTTTCCCTTGTTTGTAAGCAAACGCGCTTATTCAGAAATCAAAACAGATTAGCCTAATGCAAGTATTTGCGGGCACTTTACATATTGTTTTGGATAATTGTATAGATACTACTACAACTGCGTCAACGAGATGCATGGCACTATATATTTATATATATCAAAAGAGACCGTATCACTAGCTCTCCTGAAGATTCCGGGGTAGAATAGGTCTTCAGCAACCCATGCTTGTCGTAAAAGGTGACTATGCTTGTCGTAAAAGGCGACTAACGGGATCGGGTGGTCAGGCTCGCTGACTTGGTTGATGCATGTCATCGATCCCAATTGCGTGGATTGATGCTCATGATATTAATCACTGGATTGTCTGGTCCAGACTCGATTATTTACAGACCGCCGTCATATAGCTGGAAGATCGCTAAGTGCGGCGTTAAACAACCAGCCAACCAGCCATCCATTAGCTCCCCGAAGGGCTTCGATGACAACACGGGGAGCTGTGCAACCAATGTAAACGAAAGATAAATTCGCAAATGGAAATAGTTTTTCAAGTTTTAGGATATTTTTAAATGAAAGTTATCTATTCTATGACATGTTTTACCTAGATGTGTAGACTTTTTTTAAATTAAACTGATGAAAAACATATGCAACATCTTGAATGGACTGTGTGAGATGTGACAAATCGTCAAATCGTGGCAGAGGCGCTATTGACCGTCGAGGTTGTAAGGTATGACAAGACTATTTGTCGATAACATTAGCATTAACAGTACTGTCAGGCGATTTATGAAAAAGTTAGTCAGCAGTGTATTCTTACATACAAATTTTCAGCTGAATATGAGGCACCAAGTTGGTGTCATATTTTATACCTTCAAATATAACACTGGTTTGTCGTGTTATGTTCAGTGCGGTGAGGTGAAATGGGGTTTAACGTCGCGTCCAAGATTATTGCACTTATATAGCGACGTGTATATGTGTGTGTGTGGCTGCTTGTACTAGTCCGGACTGATGCCGATTTATAGTGCTAGCACACTGAGATACCATGCCGCAGTTAAACATGAATACCCCACTCAGACACAGTATACTGACTCCGAACCGACCAGTCATTGTTTAAGCCCCTTAATGCCGAGCGCCAGACAGGGTGACAACAAGTACCATCTTTTAACGTCTTTTGGTATGACGCGGCTGGGGATCGAACCCGGACCTTCCGCTCTCTGGGCGGACGCTCTACCATTAGACCAGGGAGGCGGTCTATGTTCAGTGCACTCGTCTTCAACTGAGTAAGTAAGTACGATTTTACGTTGTTTTTAGCAATATTCCAGAAATAGGGGACCCGGACTGCACATACCGTAGCTATGTGAAAAACAGAACCCGGGCCTTCGGCGTGACGAGTGAACTATAGGCTCGTTTCAGAGTCAAATTAAGCAACAGGAACATGGTTTGACAGGACTGGACACTCACAAAAAGACGGTGTTACATGTCCCCGTGAGCATACAGCTGATCAGATAATGTTAAATGTTCAATATTCTAAAAACAATCGATGCAGAACAATGCAACCAGGTATCTTATTATGGTGACAGATCACAAAAAGTCTGACCCTCAGCTGAATATACAAAGTAGATTTTTGTTTTCACCTTGCCATATTTAGATATTTAAAGAATACAAATATTTTAAGGCTTTTATGCGGGGTAACTTCCTCGACAGAACATCGTTGAGGTCGGTCATCCTAGATTCTCCATTACATTTTGAAACAAAATGGTTGTGTTGTCATCGAAGCCCTTCGGGGAGCTAGTGGTTGGTTGGTTGTTTTGTTGTTTAACGCCGCACTCAGCAATATTCTAACTATATGACGGCGGTCTGTAAATAATCGAGCCTGGACCAGACAACCCAGTGATTGACATCATAACATCACGCAATTTGGATACGTGACATGCATCAACCAAGTCAGCGAGCCTGACCACCCGATCCCGTTAGTCGCCTCTTACGACAAGCATAGTCGCCTCTTACGGAACGCATGGGTTGCTCAAGGCCATTTCTATCCCGTAATCTTAAGGGGACTTTTGAAAAATAACAGAATGGAGATATAATACACTGGAAAATCGAGGATGGGTGGCAGTAAGAGAGTTGAGTTTGACGATTTTGAAGTACATTGCAGCTACATCAGGGCGGTCAGCTGGTTGTGAAAGATTCCAAAGGGACGTAGAAACTTTGGTTTGTTGTTGCATTCTGCAATATTCCAGCTATATGACGGCGGTTTATAAAAATCGAGTCTGGGCTAGACAATACAGTGATTGACATCATGAGCATCTGTCTACGCAAATAGGATACGATGACATGTATTAACCAAGTCAACGAGCCTGACCACCCGACCTCTTCAGCCGACTCTTACGACAAGCATGGGTTCCTGAAAACCAATTCTAACCCGGATATTCTCAGGGTACCAATTTTTGGTGAAACCACTAAGCATAGGTATGATGTCGCCAGACCAAGGGTTATAACCAGAACGTCAGTATTGACAATAAGCCATTTCCTAATTACGACAACACGAAGGATCGGGTACAATTTCATTCAGGACATTTAATTGCACCACTGAATTGACCTTGAGTTTGCTGGTCTAGAACGCTCCTAACCCACACGTTATAAAGTATCCCTTTCGTCACGTGATCTGTGATCGTGTGTGACGTCACGTCCCCGACTATAAGAGACAAAGTCGACTCGGTGTTGCTGTTCTGCAGCCATATTTCATACTCCAGTGTCTTATAATCCAGATACATCACATTCCACGGACGTTCCCATGACAACGTAACCCTATGGCCATCGGAACCGACGTCACAAACCACCTGCCTCACTGGAGAAGGTGTGAGTTGGTTCTCCGCTACGAGTCTGACGGTACTCTCAGAAAGAGATTGCTTCAGCAACACTGTTAATGCAGGGATGTCGACTTTAGTGTCTTGATATATATGAAACAACCACGATGGGTCCTCGCAGCAAAGATGTAACGGGATTTCTGATTGGTTGATTATGTCATCTTGTTCCTCCTTGGGCAGGTCAAGTATCCCGCCAAGGTCTGCGGGCCAATCAGAATGCATGATTGTGTCTTCGCGATTCTGATTGGCCCATGCTTTATAAACAAGCTGCATACCTCGAATTTCCGCTAGTGTTTTGAAAGGTGTATAGCTATCTGGGTTGATGGCGTATGGAAATAATTCAATTACAAAACTACCCGGTTTAAGAAATGTTGATAAAATCATCAACGAACCATGCATACCAATAATACCTCTAGAACTGTGAACTATTTTCATCATTTCACCGACAGAATGGCTTTCAAACCCAATCACCACCACTTTGAACCCAGTTTCTCGAGCAATAGCCATTGTCAATTCTACCTCGTTTAATATCAATCTGTTTAATCGTCTGGATATAAGGACGATATACTCGCCAGTGTCACAAATCTGACACTGTTCTGTGGATTCAGACAATAGATACTGGGCTGCAGTACGGATGTGCTGACTTGTCACTTGTAAACCTTCCAGTGGGGCTTGTGGACTGTCAAAGCCATACTGGTACCATGTGGTCGTTTTTGAGATTCCGACATGACCACTCCTGAAACAAACCATTTCTCCAAGAATACCGATTTTGTCTTTCGTTAAAATGTCATAAGACGTAAAATACGAATAAATAGATTCAAACTCCCCCATGTCCCACCCTTCAAGAACCACAAGTTGTACATGGTGGCTGAAACGATTGGCTCCAAGAGACACCAGCTGCAGCGTGTGATGAAGAGGCAGGATGTCGTCATGGATGACGTGCATTATATTGTCGGGTTTAAACCGATTAAAAACCAGCGTCTCTTCTTCAACCCAATGAACGCTGGCATCCTTTAAGATCCGAGAAGGGGCATCCGCAGCTCTGAACACGTGCGTGGTATGACCTTGAACTGTCGACAGGTCTAACAAGCCATGGCGAACACTTTGCATGTCAGCGCCTTCAACAAAACTCCCAGGACCATGCACGAATACAAAATCGTCCTTCTGGGGATTATAACACAAGTTTTCAAATTTGCAAATTCTTGACGATCTGTCGTGGCCTGAGCACCATAGTCTTGTACTGTCGCCATATACCTTTGCCGTGGGAGGAGGGGCACGTTCGTGTTGGTCTCCTTTCTTCAGGTAATCATGGTTGAGAGAATCAGGTTCTTTATCATGGAATTCTGTTCTGTCTTCATGGTGAAGTCTGCAATTTAGTTCGAGGTCTTCATAAGCAAACTTTAGCTGGAGGTACTTCCGTAACAGTGTGGCGATTACGGCGAGGGTCACTGCGTGCGTTATGTTGTGAAGGGAGGGCATCTTCAATTGGCTGCATGGCAGGCGATCTGGAAAATAAGGTTGATGTGGTAAATAATTGCCTTATTCGGGTGGGGGAGTTTGTTTGTTGTTTACGGCTTCATTCAACACTATTTCAGTATGTGACAACAACCTGTAAAAATCGAGTCTGGACCTGACAAACCAGTGATTGATAGCAGCAAGGTCCAATGCTGTTTGCCTGCGAAGACCCACAATCAACCAGGTCGCCGAGCCTGACCATCACAATCGAGTCTGGGCAATTCAGTGATTGACATCATGAGCACCGATCCACGTAATTGGAATACGGTGATATATAATAAACCAATCGAACCCGGTCCGCGTGACAAGCGAACGCTTTATCAACTAGGCTACCCCACCGCCCCTGATATCATTCCGGAATATTGACAAACATCAGTATTGTGATATGCAAACAGCAGCATGATATAAATTCTAGCAGACGCGTCTGTGTGACATCCCTTCATTGTGGTAATTCTTTGTCTTTGATAAAATAATGTTCTGGGAGAGAAATTATTATATCACACTGTATATGCAAGCGACCTTACCTATATACATGCAAGATGACATAACAACTGATAATACATTATGTCAAAATGGTGAATACATGTCCATGGTCATATCGTTTTAAAAAGGGACTTGTCAAACATTTTTCTAACCTTTAATTTATAAAACAATACAATTAATACAAATACTGGATACATAATTGATATTATCTGCTCATCGTGAAAATCCACCTCCATTACAACATTCATTCGCGAGGAGATCATCCGCATTGTTCGTTGTTTCTAAAATCTGTAATTGTAAATCTCACTTAAACGCATGTGCGACCACGTATACAGAGCCTCATATATTTCCGGGGTTTTCGTTATGAACAACTACAAAACACATTCACATCCTGGTACAGCACATACACAGGAAACACAGTACCTGAAAAGTGTACTTTTCTTCATGAGGTGCGATCCTCCATAGCGGTGTCTCAATAATTCACTATAAACAAAGGAAATTGTTAATCGGTGGGGAAGTTTGGCTTGCCTAGGCGTATCTAAAGGTGAAGGCCGTTGTAAGCGGAAATGACCTTTGGTGTTGTGCGCGGCGGGGAATATCGTAAATGTTCGAAGACAGGAATGTTCTTATTGTGCTTGTATGGTCGATCGATATCCTATCGATGTCTCCCATGTCCTGGAATCTGCACGCGTGGAGCACAATTTGTTTCCTTGCATTCATCAGCAGTTAGCGGATATGAACGTCATTTTGTCTGTGACACTGGATATGGATTTTTTAGTAATTAGAGGCCCCGGCTTCGCCAAACCATTGCCCTCTGGTGATCTATAAGCTGGTCAGAAAAGATGAATAGCAGCATGGCGTCTGTTTGTTCTCGTTAAATATTGGACGTGGACTGTTTGTTACGATTTAAACACGCAATGTATGTGTTTCGTTACATAAATAACATTCTGTTATGTGAATAACTTCGGTGCATATACCCACTTAAAATTGCTCCAAAGCTTGTCTGCATGCCGTCGCTTTATATTAAGGCCTAAATTTAATGAGCGTATATTAATATATCATACATGCATTAATAAGGTGCCATTTTATTGTTTTTTTTCAGTATTTATTCAGAGCTCCAGATAAGCTTTTGGTGTTGTGGGTATTTTACCCATGTATTTTAAAATCATTGGGTATCAGTAATTCTATCTGGGTATTCAAATTTCTGTTACCCACTTGTTTTTTCACATGTGGGTATTTAAGTTAAATATTTAAAAACACTATTTATCTAGTCCCTGCAAACTGGTGTCGTGTGGGTTCGAGAGCTTTATAAGACTCAAAAATACCACGATACTTCCACAAGAAAGTGTGATGGCAAATGATCATGATGTAACTGTCATCATGGAGTTTGGCAAGGTTGACGGAATGCCCGTTTATAATTTCAAAATAAGTTGCTGATTTGCTAATCGAATACGCAGGGTTACTTCACAATTTTGATGATATGCACAAGTTTTATTATTGTAGCGTATGTGTAATGTTCGTTGCGTATTTGATACGCTTGGATTTTATTTTACTGCGTATTTCTGCATTTCTGATGCGTATTTCACGCAGATACGCAGCTTATCTGGAGCTCTGATTTATAAGCCATTACAGTGATAGAAACTAACTGTTTAAGTCCACTAGTCCTTATAATGATAACATATAGCAAAACCCTTAATACTGGCAAATTTACACTAGTCCTCATCATACCTTAACTATTGGGCAGTTTGGCAAGGACTATAGAACTAGTGCCAATTTCTAACGCTGCATTTATTTATATCAAGGCGATTTTATGAGGCGCCGCTGCATGTATCAATAATCCATTATTGATATAAAGAATTAGATTTACCGATGTCTTAAAATCGAATATGTGATCAATCATTGCCAAGTATTTGTAGAATTCTTTATTAATATATCAGTTTTTCTTTTTTCAAATATTTTAAAATGATGAGTTATATCAATAAATAAATATTTAGATATCTCATGATATTTTAGATGCTTGATGATTTTGATTGTTTATTAGTTTAAGTCACAGTGAGTAGTGTTCCAGCTCTATCTCGGCAGCATGTAATAATCAAGTCCGGGTCGGACAAAGTAGTGGTTGATATTATGAGCATATGAACAACGCCCCACGTACACACAATCAACGGGTGGCCCAGTCGTCTAAGGCGCCGCGATTCGCTGTGCAGAGTTGCGTCCCTTGGGCACGCCAGAAACCTATGATTGTTGGTTCGAATCCCGGTTCACCCCGATTATGTTTCTAGGTTTGTCAGCACCATACCCGTGCTCGTGGGTTTCACCGAAGTGGTAAACGTCTGAGACCTGCATCACTTCGGGCTTTCCTCCCACATTAAGCTGATACGCCGCGATATAACTGGAATACTGTTAAAAGCGGCGTTAAACCCAACTCACTCACTCACTCTTTCCCGGAATCCCGACGGATCCAGAGATTAAAAGGCACGATGCACGCCGGGAAATGCGAAGACACGCAATCAACCAGTCCCCCAGTCGCATCGCGCCCGGGCCATTAAGTCGCTTCTTACAACTAACGGTTTCGGATTCCCTACGGGACAACCAGTTATAATTAATGCAATTATCTATGTGTAATCGAAAGTATTGCCTGCAGCTGTAATTAATGAACGCAAGTGTTCATATGCACCGGGAATTATCGACTTGATGTTATTTAACGGACGAGCTGCGAGAAATAAATCCAAGCTCCGCATTCTACAAGACCCGAGAAGATTCCGGGGTAGAATAGGACTTCAACAACCCGTGCTTGCCGTAAAAGGTGACTATGCTTGTCGTAAAAGGCGACTTACGGGATCGGGTGGTCAGGGTCGCTGACTTGGTTGATGCATGTCTTCGATCCCAATTGCGTGGGTCGATGCTCATGATATTAATCACTGGATTGTCTGGTCCAGACTCGATTATTTACAGACCGCCGTCATATAGCTGGAATATTGCTGAGTGCGGCGTTAAACAACAAACCAACCAACCGCATTCTACAAATGACCCATTGACCCGTGAAAGTCCGGGGTAGAATAGGGCTTCAGCAAACCATGCTTGCCGTAAAAGGCGACTATGCTTGTCGTAAGAGGCGACTAACGGGATCGGGTGGTCAGACTCGCTGACTTGGTTGGCGCATGTCATTGTATCCCAAATGCGTGGATCGATGCTCATGATATCAATCACTGGATTGTCTGGTCCAGACTCGATTATTTACAGACCGCCGTCATATAGCTGGAATAGTGCTGTGTGTGGCGTTAAACAACAACAAAAAACCAAAAAAAACCTGTTCACCAATATATTACCCATTCTACATATTAGCCATTAAAATTTAAGAAAGACAATACAGAAAAAAATGAAATGTCAAACAAAGAAACAATAATGAGCTTCTGGTGACGTTGCGTTATCAATTTGAATATTTTGAATATTTGTATTTTGAATAAAATTATTGCTTGCTGCAACTGTTGTATAGAACTGTTCCGATGAGGTCTGACCTTATATTGCGACTTTGATCCATAATCTTTGAGAATGCACGTGCAAATATCGGAAAATTGGGATTTTTCAATCCAAGTTGTTACTTGTTGTTTAACGCCGCACTCGGCAATATTCCCGCGAAATGACGGCGGTCCGTAAATAATCGAGTCTGGACCAGGCAATCCACTGATCGACATCATGAGCATCGATCCACGCACTTGGGGTTGGTGAGCGAGTATGGTTTTACGCCGCTTTTAACAATATTCCAGCAATATCACGGCGGCCATGCACTTGGGACACGATGACTTGCATCAACCAACTCAGCGGGGCACAAGACATGTACAACCAAGGCAGCGAGCCTGGCCACCCGATCCCGTTAGTCGCCTCTTACGACAAGCATAGTCGCCTTATACGGCAAGCATGGGTTGCTGAGGACCTATTCCCTATTCTACCCCGGATCATCACGGGTGTTCAATCCAAGTATAGGTAGTCATGGTTTAATACGACGCCATATATAATACCCTCACCATGCCATGCGGCGTAAAACAACAACCACTCATGTCTGCATAAAAGTACCTTCATAATTGAAAGACGAGAAAGTAAAAAGCGTCCAAGATTATTGCCCTTATATAGCGACGTGCATGCACGTGAGGGTGTGTGTGTGTGTGTGTGTGTGTGTGTGTGGCTGCTTGTTCAAGACTGATTCCGACTTTTAGTGCTGGCTCACTGAGATACCATACCGCAGTTTAACATGAATACCCCATTCAGACACCGTATACTGACTCGGAGCCGACCAGTCCTTATTTTACCCCCATAATGCCGAGCGCCAGACAGGGTAACAACAAGTTCTACATCTTTTAACGTCATTTGGTATGACGCGGCCGGGGATGGAACCCCGGACCTTAAATTGCGCTCTCCGGGCGAACGCTCTATACCGCTTGACCACGGAGGCGGTCTAAAACACTAGAAGAAAGAGCGGTTGATTCGGTTAATCACGAAACGATGAAAGAGCAGTTGGTTCGGTTCATCTCGCAACAAGGCAGAAAATGGCCAAATGTGAGATATCGAGACATTCTTGGTGGGATTCGTATGTATCATTGGTTATGCAAATTAACTGTTAAACAATGAGAAACAGATGTGACAAATGCATGCATATATATTTGTGTGTGTCATCGAGATGAAGATAACCGACATACTGTCACGTGATTGCGGGTTATCTGGTTGTTTTTTTATCATTACGTATACCAGTCACCAGTATTAAACAACGGTTCCCCCCTGTTTTGTTTTCTTTTATTATTCTACCGAGATTAACGCATGCACCGCGTAGGCCTGTCATCATCTTTATCTCTCCTTAATGCACTCTCATAAATTCCACATTCCTGCACGCCGAGCTGATGTCAGTGTACCCCGACCTTGACATTATCATATACACATTCACATACATGTAATAAAGACTCAACTCGAGTTACCTCTTTACATAATTTCTTGTTATGATTAATGGAAAGACGATTTCATCTATTAACTGGTATTTCTTTAATTTCTTGCTAATTTTTTTTTTAACCTCATGTCTATACACTTATGCAACTGCATTATATAAAGCGCACGTCGGCATTTATTTAAATAAATATATTCATTGTATTTTTAGTTATATAACCACTGGTATTCATAACCATCCCATTATCCATGAATAATTCAGAGGAAATCAGAATAAAAAAACAAACACTGTTATTATTCATGGCTAACTTGTTTTTCACCGAAAACCCTTAGGCAAGCATATGCGTATCTATCGAGCAATTTGTCAAGCAAGCTGCGAGTCATGTGATAACTGATTTATACGCTGTCGTGCTAATACCCCCCGACATCCCTGTCAATATAGTTCTGCCGGTCGAGATCCATCTGCGCTTTGAGTATATTTGATAAGACGGTGTAATGGCAGTAGCATGGTTATGAGAACAGGCCCATTTTAAACCAATCGATGAACTACTGTGCTAGCACTGACAGTTGCTAACGGTCACCCTTGAAATCAAGACAGGCAAACCGTAGCAGACGACAGATAGAGAGATTCGTCGTAACGATCGAGGAGACGTGGTCTTGTCCACCTACAACCTTCCTACGCCAAACGCCGTTACCTTGGAAATAAAATCATCATAATTAATACCACTGTGACCTTGCAATACAACATTCGCAGGGACAGAACGGAACAGGATAGATCGTTTCAGAATGGCGGAGACTCAAGCACCCACCGTTGAACCTGCTGCGGAAGCCAAGCCTGATGTAGAGGCGCCTGCCGCTCCCACGAAAGTGATGAAAAGCGTCGTTTTGACAGGATTTGGGGGGTTGAAAATGCTGAAGGTTCAACAGAAACCCGAGGTAACTGCCGCAGGAGGAGAACTGTTGGTCAGAGTGAGAGCATGGTAAGCATTGCTTTGCATTGATTATCTAGATGGCAAGCGTTTTGAACATATTGTACCAAACGATCGGGAAATGATTAACATTTTCGCTATTTCTTGACGATAGGTTGTTAAAGTGATGGGTAATGTACACGCATATGCAAAAAAATAATTATGGCAGACTGTCATTTGGGAGAATTTCATTACAACATCAACATGATTTGCTTATTCAGCCTTTTGGATGTAAACAACACCAGTAGACTGGGATCTTTTGACAGCTGTCACTTGGAATTGATAACAGTGCCTGTTAAATTTGTGTTCCTGGAAGCTAAAACAACTGATACTTATCACATTGAAAGTATTTAACAATCCCAAATAATATATAATATATACATTTATCTTTTTACAAATTTACCAATTTTGTATTGAATTTTCAAATGGCTTGTCATACAGTGTTTGGTTTTCATTAGAAACAAACAGTTTGAAAGATAAACATATATGTGTCTATTGATTTATTTGAAAACAGTTGTTTAATCAAGTCCATATTTTAATGAACATACTATGTTGGTATCACTGAATTCATACCTTAGGATCTGTGTTGCCATTTCTGTTATATGATAATGAAACACAAAGTTGAATTTGTAAAAGAACTTATACAAGACATGATTCCAGGTTAGAATTGGTCTCAAGCAACCGGTGCTTGTCATATGAGGCGACTAGTTACTTATTAGGGATAGGGTGCTATCATACCTTGATGGTGTGGATCGTTGCTCATAATATGAATCACTGGTTTGTCTGGTCCAGACTTGATTATTTACAGGCCATCATATAGCTGATCATATGGCTGGAATATTGCGCAGTGCAGCATTAAAAACTAACAAACAAACTAACCAAGAACTAATCAGTACAGCATGAAAAATCTAATTTTCACTATTTCTGATAACCATTTTCAGTCATGCATTCATACAATAGGAAGATTAGTAGGCAGATTTGAAGCAGCTTCTTGTTCGTGTTCCCATGGCTATAAAAAAAATGTAGATGACCTGCTATTAATTTATTCAGTGCCCTGCTGGTCCAACCAGTATGCTTGACCATACTTAATTTTCAACATAAGAAGGCTTGTACATTTGTGGAAATTACAGATCAAAACAATCCTTTAATAGCCTCGGACATATTCCTATCTCAATGAATATGCTGGTTATTAATATATAAATATGGCATTCAACAGTTAACCAGGGTCAGTAACTGTTTCATCAAAGATTCCATGCCTGTATCAATATAAGAAACATATTTGTGCATGTTATTCTCCATACATTTAGGGGTCCAACATGCTGCAGGTCCCAGAACAGACTCATGCCCCTTGGAAACAGTGTTATATGAACATGTAAACACTAAAATGAACTTCTTCAGTTTGAGATAAATCCCCTTGCTAAATCATCATTCTCCGAGGTTGACCAAGGGTTTTAAAAAAGGGAGGGAAGCACATAATACTCTAGTCACAAATTGACATAATACTCTAGTCACAAATTGACATAATACTCTAGTCACAAACTGACATAATACTCTAGTCACAAATTGACATAATACTCTAGTCACAAATTGACATAATACTCTAGTCACAAATTAACATAATACTCTAGTCACAAATTGACATAATACTCTAGTCACAAATTGACATAATACTCTAGTCACAAACTGACTTGGCTAAGGGCACAGTTGACATGTAAGGTGTCTGAAAAAGGGGTGGCACCCTGCACACACACGCACACACACACACACACACACACAGGCACATGCTCTCTTTCTCTCTCTCTCACACACACACAGACACACACACAGACAGAAAGAGGCACACACACAGGCACATGCTCTTTCTCTCACACACACAGACAGAAAGAGCCACACACCCACCCTGAAAACACACACACAGCCAAATGCACATAACACACAGGCACACAGGCACATGCTCTTCCTCTATCTTTCTCTCACACACACACACAGAAAGAGGCACACACACACACACACACTGAAAACACACACAGAGCCAAATGCACATCACACACGCACAGAGGCACACACACACAAACCCTGCACACACAGGTACACACACCCTGAAAAAACACACACACACAGGCACATGCACACCACACACACTGCACACACCATGCACACACGCGCACGCACGCACGCACACACACACACACACACACACACAAACAGACACAGAGAGTGCTTGTATATTGTGTAAAACTTGAGGGACTGGATCATGTACAGTTGAAACAGTCATTTTAAAAAAACCACCTGTTTACAAAGTGTATGGCCTTGACAAAATTGCCTTGTTCTGGTTGAATCACCACACTGTATGAGTCAAGCTCACATGACGAGAATCACAAAGCCAGTGAAGCCTAAGCAATGACAAATTCACTTTTAGCTGATCTGAATCTCCATAGGCCTTGCAGTGTAGTGTTATCAACAACACCATTTCCTAGGATAAAACTTCATTTGAGAATAAGAAATGTTATAGAAACAAGTATTTTAATATACAGGTGCATTTGATTTGCACCTGTCTAACTGTCACAGGAAGTATCACTAGGATGCACTTCGAGGTGTCAAATTGACGCATCAGGGATTTACCCAGGATTTTGAACTAAGTGCCCCTGGCAGGCAAATTGGGAAGAAATAGTTATTTTGTTCCAATTTGGGAATTGTTTACTAGTCCTTATTTCTTATAATATCATAATCATATTTAGAGACTGCATCAAATGCAATAATATATAACTTAGCCAGAGCTACAGATAAGCAGCGTATGTGCTTAAACCCCACCCCCCCCCCCCCCCCGATTACTTTCAATTAACTTGCGTACAGAAACGCATGCATTAAATGAAATACTAAAATGTATAAAAACAGCACACGTAAATACCCAATGAAGCATTTTCAGCATGCGTATAATTGAGCTTATTTCTGAAACACAATTACAAGCTAATAAACTTTCAGAGTCAAGCCTATATATTTAGAACAGTTATTCACATCTAAAACATTATTTCATTTTTTTTAAGATCTTAAAATGTTCACTAATTTGGGGGAAAACCCAAGAGAGTGATGAAAATATTGGTTACCCAATGAAAAATGTAATAACCCAATAAAAATAGAAACCCTCGAGTAAAAACTCATTTGCTCAAGAAGTTATCTGGAACCTCTTAGCATTACAACCTCTTCAAATTTATTTCGTCCTGTTATCAGTGCAATACAGTTTATTTCTGCAAATACATGACACAAGCTATTTATTAATTCGCACACACACACACACACACACACACACACACATGGAATCCCTGCACACACACACACACACACACACACACACACACACACACACACACACACACACGGAATCCCTGCACATACACACACACACACACACATAGGGCTCCAGATAATGTGTGCAGCCATCGAGACACTGGGTATTGATAGTTTTCTTTTGGTATTCAATATATGTTTGTTTTTCCATAGTTTGAGAAAAGCAGGGTGCATATATCAGACCATAGTGAGTCAGATACTGTTTCGATAACAACAGCAGTATTTTGTAACTCTATTATATTCAATGGATAAGAAAACATATAACTTTATAGATAACAGCTTCTTGTATTTTTCTTAATAAAGTTGTCGGTAAAGTTGTATGTTTGCCATTTAGTAACCAACTTCTAGAATACCGATCAAACAGTTAAATTTAATGGAGGTTGAGACAAGGAGTTTTACTGTATGACTTTGGTGAGGACAGAGTTGACTACTCTTAATAAAAATTAACTTTTGGCATAACTCCATGCAGTTTTATTAGAAAATGGAAATATGTAATAAATATGAAATCTCACCTAGGTTTTGTTTTATATATAATATATCAACACAAGTTGATAAAAGTTGACAATTCTGAGGTTTGTCAAGGAGTTTTAAACTTTTATAGAGAATACAAAGACTCTCAGGTGAGATTCCATTGATCATCTAAAGAGGACCGCTGTGTAGCTTCTGTGGCAGAGTGATTAGTCATCATGTTAACTCAGGATGCTACAGTGGTCTTCAAAGCATTGTGATGCAGTTTCATCCCACCCAAGCCATATCTCCTGTGGATGATAAATTATATCAATGCTGCATTTGCAGGTTAGGCTGGTTTGGCTGAACATACAAATTAAATGCACATGAGGATGAAATTAAATGCATAAAGATCCAGCCTCCAACTTGTGTGGTTTTCTTCAAACAACTCCCTGTACTCTGTACCCAACAGTTGAGAATTCCGCTTATCTAAATGCTTTGGATGTCCTTGTAATGGAATTGTTCAATGTCAGTTAGTCATGAATATTCTGTGATTGAGTCCTATCATATTACAAAGCTCGAAATCACTTTAACTGTTCATATTTGAGTCAGGATAATATTAATATTAATTTTATGCTAATAACTTTTGCCAATATTTTGTTTATGAATTTATGATATTATGATTCTATGTTCTCTATAATTCTCCCAACTCTGACTGAATAGAAGTCCAAGATTGAGACATACATATTCAAGAAAGCCTCCAACTGATAGACTCGTAAGATACAATGCATACAGTATGTGTGAATATCTGTGTTGTGTAATGCATTTATTACTGATTGCTGAGAGCGGCGTTAAACAACAAACAAAGATTTGTTACTGGTGGTGGTATTCCCAACACATAATGGCTTTGCAAGCTCTGGAATGTATAGTTTGTTTCAGAAGTTTCATGTTTTTCAGGAACTCACAGTCTTTGAAATAAAAAAATTGCCAGACTGCCATCAGGACCCACATACTTTAGAAGCTGTCGGCCCTGACTATACTCTTCAGGCCCTTGTTTAAAAAATTGCAGCTTATTGTGATAGATATATTCACACGTAAATTTACTGGAGGCCATAAGAACCCATTCAAATTTAAAACTACTGACCTGAAACAGGATTTAACTGCCCTGGGCCTTTCATACACAGTGAAAGTCTTACCTCACTCTTAGAGTACATGTTATGAATAATATTAACTACAGATGAATACATATTATACAACGTCTTATATGTTTACAACTTGAATTTAACTATACATTCTCTGTAAAGTGTTTGTGGTCTATTAGCAAAACAGATATTTTTATTTCAAGAATTATCAGACATTTTTTTCAAATTTTTTATCAAAATAGATTTAGCATTACAATGTATTGGCATAGTTATTGAATGGTTTTGTTATTCCACAGTGGTATGAACTTTCCTGATCTGATGGTGCGGCAAGGAGTTATTGACACTCCTCCAAAGACACCAGTTATCATGGGTTTTGAGTGCTCTGGCATTGTCGAGGCTGTTGGTGAAAATACAACTGGATTCAAGGTGAGAACCAAGTATTATAGCCCAATATAAGATAGCTACATGATAAATCACAAAGAAAAATGAGGAATGAAGCGTGGTTTATTTCACGACAAAACATTCTGTCATGACATCATTTCTGGTGATTTGAATATGCGCTCGCAACTTGATGACGTCATATATTGGACGACGTTACTTTTGAGACGGAACTGTCTAGTGAGTTTTCCCCCATAGATGTAGCTGTGTCGCATTCAAAAGTGGAAGAGCTATGACAATGGGTATTAGGAAAAAAGGTACAGATAATCGACGTGAAAATATGCAGGAAATACCAAACTTAACTTGATTTGTCCGACATTTCCGAGGTTGGATGCTATTCAGGGAGTCATCATTATTAAAATTTGGGAAAATATTTTTAAATCTTTTACATTAATCAACATCCTTAAAAAGGCTGTACATAATGTTGATGTCTCATGTAAGAAATAAAACACTCCCACTTGTCATTTATTTCTTAATTATGACATATCTGCTACAGGTGTCACAATTCACCAATGTATTGAGGCATCACAAATCTCCACCTGACCATACAACAAATGTTGTGCTGACCAGTGTATCGATTCATATTTGATTCTCAAAAAGTAATATTTACTTACATTTGCAATAGCCTGACCATTTGACTACACTGGCTTTTTATACTTTACCCCCAATCACTGAAACATGCTGAATTTGATTGCATTATGCACCGCACACCTTTTTGGAAGTGGGCAACTTTAAAAAATGATGTGTGATTCATTGGTGGAAAAACACAAAAGAGTAGTACATTGACAAACAGGATGCCTGGCAATATGATCCCACAAGTAAATAAGCTGACACTTGCAATTGGTACCGATTTCTTGGCTTTATGCGAGTGTAGCGGCCATAAAATCTCGAGTCGTGTGATGGGATTCGAACCACGGACCTTCTGATCAGAGGTCGGACGCCTTGTCCACATGACCAAAGAGGTTAACCCCGTCAGCAATCTGACAAGGTAAGGATGTCATCTGTGGGATGACTCCACACCCTTTTACATACTCCCCCGTCAACAGAAGGCACGTCCTGGGCCGCAAAGTAGAGTACTGAGGCTTATTTTGCTCAAATTTAATATGAACGTGCTCAGCCCCACGTTGGGCGCCAATGTAGCGGCCATAAAATTTCCGAGTCCCGTGATGGGATTCGAACCACGGACCTTCTGATCAGAGGTAAGACGCCTTGTCCACATGACCAAAGAGGTTAACCCCGTCATCAATCTGACAAGGTAAGGATGTCATCTGTGGGATGACTCCACGCCCTGCTACACGAGGAAGTCTCAAAACTTTCAATTCAACAAAAGTATCAGCACCCAGCACATACAGTGTTTGAAATAAAAAAACATTGCCGTCCTGCCACCAGTACCCATGGACTTTAGAAGCTGTAGGTCCTGAGTACACTCTTCTGGCCCTCATTTTCAAAAATAACAACATGGTTAGAGGTGAGGTGAGGTGAAATTGGGTTTAACGTCGCGTCCAAGATTATTGCACTTATATAGCGACGTGCATGCACGTGTGTGTGTGTGTGTGGCTGCTTGTACTAGTCCGGACTGATGCCGATTTATAGTGCTAGCTCACTGAGATACCATGCCGCAGTTTAACATGAATACCCCACTCAGACACAGTATACTGACTCCGAGCCGACCAGTCCTTGTTTTAGCCCCTTAATGCCGAGCGCCAGACAGGGTAACAACAAGTACAATCTTTTAACGTCTTTTTGTATGACGCGGCCCGGGATCGAACCCTGGACCTTCCGCTCTCCGGGCGGACGCTCTACCACAAGACCACGGAGGCGGTCTCACATGGTTAGATGTAAACATAGTTTATTTGGTCATAATACCACAAAAACATTTAAAAGTGAGAATTATGTATTTAATATTTTGATTTATGAAACATTCATATTTTGTATGTTTGAAACAGCAGGCTTAATGTATCATTTGAGTTCAAAATTCGATTAAGAAGCTTCTGAATAATGAAAACTAGTTTGCTGATTGATAAACAAGGGCAAATTCCACAATTTTTTTGGCAATTCTACGGTTAATTACATTTTCTGCAAATCTTTTTGTGATTGTGGAATCGCAGAAATTCATCTGGGACTGCCTCATGCTGCTGGTCAGACATCTGATTTTCAACTTTGGGATCCTCTGTCATTCCTGGTGCAGTGCCTGGGTCTGTGGGTCAGTTCATACAGGTTGCGCGATGCACATGCAGTACATTTTTTCAACATGCTGACAAGTTAGGGTTGCATAGCTTGTCATTTTATTTCAGAATTGGATTTTGAATCAGGTGGTGCCTAAGTAATGTTCATGTGTATATTCAAAAGATCCTAGCTTAAGCAGTCATTTGAGTTACACACTAACTGGTTGATTGCAACATGGTCTTGTAGGCCGGGTGACATGAGACATGGAGAAGTTCACACAAAAATGGTGTAAATTAAATATCACAATACATATCGCCTGTGACTCAAAGAGGCACTCTGCAACATTGTACAGTATATATATATATTCCGCCAACAATGAAACATAACAATATGAATAGTTATTTTTTATTTTTTATTATGTGTCTGTCTATCCTTATCTATCGTGCAGTTGTCCGATTTTCGATCACGAACGTTGATACTACTAAATTTTGTTTATCCAACATACTCGTATGCAACCATCGATGTCGGATTAACGGGACTTGACTGTAGTAGGTGGGGGATATATATATTCTGTACAATGTTCCTCATTCAGTCCTGCTTGACAATGGTATAAGGATCTATACCGAAACGTTGCCTTTACAGTATTAAAGAAGTTGTTATCCATAAATTGTGTCTCCTTTGTCATCTGTCAACTTCAAAGTAATGCCTATCAAACAAAACAAGATATTGCTAAAAGGTCTGCCTTTGTACATTCTATACATCACTATCAATATACATCATCAACAAATGATATTAATTCATATCATAGTGAACCGTAACATATGTATGCACCTAGTGATATCATGATATTGATAACATTAAAATGTCCTTTCATAATGCTAAAATACTGACTCCTCAAATTCTCATACAAATAACAGATCAACAGAAAATGTTCTTCATCTTCGATAACCTTTCTTTAAATAAATAATACAAAATAAATAGTACAAAATATTTTCCCATCGTCCAGATAATTTACTTGAGCATTTCTTAAATAACTGACTTAATATTTACTAGATACTGTTCTGGTTGTAGCACATATTTACACTCTTCATAAAATCTTAATTTTACCTTCTCATGTTGATTACAAGGCCAATTTTCATGTGATACAAATCTTTCAATCTTTGAGAAAAAGAAACGAAAGATTATTTAACACTACAACAAGTTAATTTTTATGAATAATTGATTTTATGATTTTCCCCTGTCCCCAACATGTTTCTTACTGACAAACACTGTGTGTGATCTCAGTATTTGACCTTTCATCCCGCCTCTCCACCTGCAGCAGCTGTTTATGCCTCAGGTAGACATACGCCCCCAGATAGGTTATTGGAATCCTGGCATGAGTCTCATTTTGAGATTCAGATGCTAGATTTGCCATCAGCATGCTTTTAATGGTCGCAGTAAGGTGGTCACTGTGACAAAAACTTGCTTGAAAATCAATAATGCATGGGGCGTCCATCTCACCCAATCCTCGTTCAGCACTTGTCCTGTATTGTACTGTTGATAGCAGACCTCTGTTAGGCTGGATATTCATGACTTTGGTCAGGCGACATTATTCAACGTCTTAGTTTGTGAGTCTGAGGATTTGTCAAAGGTGACAGAGCTAATTATATGAATGGTAGTTGGTGGATTGATACCGCTGTTTCGTTTCTCATTCGCGTGCAATGTACAGTTAACTATGTTTATTATGAACACGCTTATAACGAACGCTTTTTAACCACCAGGCTACCCCACCGCCCCTTTTGCTAGAGATGATTGGCTTTGGGACATTTTCATTATTCAAGGTTCCTTCAGGCATACTGACCCTGACATGACGTCACCATCTCATTCCTTACACTTACTCCCTCACTCATGATACTTGATACAGTGTGGCAATCCTACACAACAGAATCTAGTGTATCGTTTTCATCAATCTTAGCACACTCTTCCTACCTGTGCCTGGAGGGAAGAAGGTTGGTGGTTCGATCCCCAGCTTGGTGGTTAAAACCTTTAATTACTCTTCACGCCAAAGGACCGGGTTTGTTTCCCACATGGGTACGTTGTGTGAAGATCTGTGAAGATCTGGAGTAGAATAGGTCTTCAGCAACCCATGCTTGCCGTAAAGGCGACTATGCTTGTCGTAAGAGGCGACTAACAGACTCGCTGACTTGGATGATGCATGTCATCGTATCCGATTTGCGTGGATCGATGCTCATGATGTCAATCACAGGATTGTCTGGTCCAGACTCGATTATTTACATAGATAGAATATTGCTGAGTGCGGCGTTAAACAACAAACAAACTGAAGAAAAAAAAGAATTGTGTGAAGCTGCTGTTATATTGGGGGAATATTGCCAGAAGTGGTTGTTACACAGTGGACATACTGTAACATTTAAAAAAATCATCTTAAACTTTATCCAAAGTCTTAGTTCCCACAAGAATAATCACAATTAGTCATATATATCCAACTGAATGAAAAGGAATGTCCAATGTCTATGGATTGTCCTTTATTGTCCAAATATAACAATCAAGTGGAATCTCCAAATACATGAGAGCAACAACCAAATCAAGATACAGCTAGAACACGACGGACACAACTAGTTTTCCAAAAATGCACACAGATCATGTATTAAAACTCACCTGTGATGTCATTCTATTGTTTGAACACGCCTTTATTTTTCAGGAATGTCAACTATACATTATCTTGAACCAACATTTGAAGTGGTTTCCACTTGGAATAGACTGAACTGTTTTTTGCATTTATTGACAAGTGAATAATTTCATTTTTTTCTGAAAACATGTGTCGCCAGCGGGGTTTGAACCCGCATGGTTTAATTTGAGAACGTGTAATTGTCAACCTCAGCTACGACGGCACATGAAGGTATGGTGTGAAATTAACTATTAAATATTTTCATAATTTAAAAGCTCAAAATAATATGTATATATTAGAGCAGAGCAGGTTAGAGCAGGTTACCTACAACAATGTTCATATATATATATATATTTCAATTAGATTAACCTTTAATGAGAAAAAACAAATCAGGTAATATATATATCCTTGTTCGGGGCTCTATATTTCCTATTAATCCCGTCAGCATGTATTGACAATGTGCAAGCGATTGATAAACACTAGTTCAGGTCTCAACAAAATTATGAAGAGCCATGAACCATGCATTGTAAATGTCAGCTCACGACGGAGCTTGGCGCACGTGCAACAGAGGTAGAGAACGCATTCCTCGTGCATCACGCAAGGTCGACTCACGCAGTATAAATACAGACAACAAAGAGTTCTGGAATATTTTGTCAAAGTGTAAAGGTAGAGATGAGTTTTAAGTAGGGGAATATCCTCGTAACTCTCCATTCCTTAAAATCAATTTCCCTCGGTCCCTGTGGGGCCTCTGCTCCATTATTTTTAAGGAATGGAGAGTTACTCAGACATTCCCATCTACTTCAGTGCTCAGTTTCACTTGTTTAACGAATGTTTGAAGGATGTGTTTGCACATGTCCTTCTGTCCAGTGACACTCCCTCACTCCCCACTCACTCACTCACTCACTCACTCACTCACTCACTCACTCACTCACTCTGCATGGCTTGCAGGCCAACCTTAGGACTTGGCTGGTGAAGAGTGACTCAGCACCTGCTGCAGATACCTGTGGCCAGGTTGACACGATAGCATCAGATTGTCATATATCTGTACATCTGCTGGAGTCATCAACTGTTTGATGTGTCTACATAGCTGTTTGTAAACACTGCACTGTGGGGCTAATGACATACAGGAACATGTTCCTGTGTGTGGCTGTGTGGAAAGTAGCAATGTTTAGAGTTAGAGGAAATATCAATGGATTATATTCCATGCCAGAAAAAGGGATTAACCAGAATATCGTGTGTATGGCTGTATGAAAAGTAGCAATGTTTAGGTGAGAGAAAAATAAATGACTCATTTACATGCCAGTATTCTTGGGGTCATAAAACTGTTTGAGTCCATTGGTTTACTGGGGCAAAATAAGCACTTATTCTGTTTAAAAGTGCAGGATGTTTCTAATTTCTCAGTATCATGTATTTACATCTGGCATTAACAGTATAATCGATGCTGTTTATTAAGACAAAAAATTAAGTTAACAATTACATTTTGTTAAACATGGTTGTATCTCTGTAATCCATCAAAGACGGAGCAGTGGGGCATGTGCATTAAAAATAAATTTAAACTATTTTAATTGTTGTTTCTTATCAATATGGCTATTGACTCCAGTTGGATGAATCTATGAACAGAAACATAGAATAATAATTGGCAACAAGTTTAACAGATTGAAATTGATCAAAATTGCATAAACATGTGTGAAATCTGTGTGTGTACAAGGCTGTGGTGACCAGGGTCCACTTGCACAAAGCGATCTTAGCGCTACGACTATTGTAAGTCTATGTTAAAGTATGGGAGTTATGATCATCTTAGCGCTAAGATCGCTTTGTGCAAGTAGGCCCAGTACATGTACTTGTATCAGTGTATTTGAATGGGTTTGTTCAGTGTTAAATACAACAGTTTGTAATCATAACAAGAGCATATAACTTTATGAACAATTAATTTACCAAACCTTTTTGTCGTGAATATGTTGCCAGTATCTTTCTTTCTTTTTGGGAAAGGGAAGCAAGATATGGAGACTTCTAATTAGTATTTTCATCCAACTGGACCACTTTGGTGTTAATGCCAACAAAGTTCAACAGTCTTTCCTTATTGTTATTCTGAAACATTACACAATGAAGTTAGAAGCTAATTATCAATTATGAATATTTATCACATATTTCATATTTCAATCATTATAAGTTTTTCATCATGATTGATGATTTCACAGACTTTTGTTGCTAATTATCACACAAACCAGAGACAAATTCCATGTCAGAAGAGAAGTTCCGATTATGGTTTCAATATTACGCAGGAAATGGGCAATAATGTTCTTTGAAAAACTGTGATAAAAGAAGAAGTTAAAAACCTGTCAAATTATCATGTGATTCTGACTCATAAAGGTTTTTTTATATATAAAAGTGATAGATGGTGTTCTATAGAGTTTTCTACAAGATTCTCGTCACATGATATCATCAAGGACTCAGAAGCTGATAAAATATGGAGATCAAATAATTATTTTGATTGATGGCTTTGCTGTGTCAACCTCTGTACACTTGTTATCCTTTCATAAAATGATAAGAATATCCTTTCTAAATGCCACATGGACAGAATGCATCTTCCTGAGGCAAGGATGTTATCGGACAGTAAAAGTCCAGTTTCCACCTTTGCCGATCTAGACTGGAATTTCTGGGCTCCTGTTCTAGCTTCACCAGTGGCTATTACAAGTTATATCCTTCTATGTCCCAACTATTAGCCAATCAGATTCCACATCTCATCTCAAACAAAATAGTGAAGATGATCTGATCGATAATCAAGATCTTTATTGTTATGAAACGGCTCTTACTTTGCGAAGTGCATCAAATCATGTGAGCACCTTGATTTAAAACATGAAAAGATTTGAAAAAATTCTGTTGACGGCATGTTGACGGTACACATGTTTTACAAATCCTGCAATCAACCGAAATCTGCACAGCAGTTGATGAACCCGATGTCGATTTCCTTATGCGATTTTAATTGGCCTATGCATGGAGTCTTTAGACCACCAGAAATATAACTCCATAATTTCTGCCTAGTTCGGCAAGGGTGGAAACTGGACTTTTATGTATTGGAGAAAACACGCATACGAGGTTTTGGTAGACAGAGCATGCCCTGGGGAGAGGGAAAAACCAAGGGGGCGAAAGAGCATGCCCTTGGTAGAGGGAAAAACCAAGGGGGCGAAGCCCCCACGGTTTTTCCCGACCCCCAGGGCTTGCTCTGTCTACCAAAACCGAGGGAAAGTATTTTTCCATACTTATGAACCGAAAAAAGAAACTTAAAACAACATTTATCAACATTTTAATGTTTTGAACATACTTTCAATGAACCTTAGGAAACGCGTGTAAAATATCTGTTGCTGGCGTACAGATCTTGAAAAGGACATTCTAAAAACCAGTGTGGCTTATCAACACCTCTGTAGCCTCGCAGTACACTCACTGGGCTACAGATATGAAGGTTGCGAGTTCGATCCTCGGGAATATAAAGAAAACATTTGTCATTTGATTTTACATTTCATTACATGTTACAATCTGAACGGAAGTTACATTAATAAAATACCCAGGACATTATATAAAATCCCTGGGATATTATAGCAAATATGACTTGAATATCCTATAAAATCCCTGGGATATTATATAAAATCCCAGGGACATTACAACGTCCCTGTTTATGAGATTTAACCCGACTGGAAAGTGAAACCTCACAATAGGTTTTAATGCCTATAGAAAGAAGTCTCTTACTTAATAGCGATCCCAATGAATAGGTTTATAAAGTCAGTTAACTCCCTTGCCTTGGGAAGTTGACAGACTGCAGTTGTTGATAATTACCTTGTGAAATTATTATACTTGCAGTCAACTTTTGCCATTGTTTCTCAGAAACTATTGAACCAAGTATGGTGTAATCCTATCTAAACATTGCTCCTTGAAATATTAACCATATGATGCCATGTTGGGCCCCAAAGAAATTTGGTTCACAGGGTTAAAATAGGTCCCCAGAAACCTTACTGCTGATAGTAAGAGAGCACTGAATGGATTGGTTGGTCAGAGACAGTGATGCATTTATACCAGATGTCTTTATTTCTTTGACAGGTCGGGGACCGTGTGATTGGCTTTACCAACTACAACGCATGGGCAGAGCTTGTGAATATCAATGCCAATCATGTGTTCAAAATGCCTGATAACATGAGCTTCCAGGATGGTGCTGCGCTTCCAATGAACTACGTGACAGCATATATCCTTCTGTTTGACATGGCCAACCTGAGGAAGGGCCAGTCCCTGCTGGTGCATTCTGTAGGGGGAGGTGTGGTAAGTTGTTCTTCTGGGGCCTTGTCACATTTTTGGCAGACCTGACTGCAATTCTATTTGTCAGTCTGTCATCTGTACTAAACATCTACCTGAAACTTCACATACCGGTACTTGTTTCCATCAATGAGAACACCACAATGTTTCAAGACGTTTTAATCCAAATTTGAATATGGCCACCATAGCAATCAGTTTGAAAAACCTCTTTTGAAATTAAATATGATATATAAGCAGTTGTTAAACACATTTGTTCCATTTTTGCAATATTTTAAAGTTTGACCTTGTTTGACCTTTGTGTTTGACATTGATTCTTTAAGTTTTTCTCATCCATCAATGGTCAGACAAATAAAGAAAACGAAACCATATTGTTATTAATTTTTTGATGGTTGCTTTGAACTAAGGAGAATAAATGCTAAGGATAGTAAATGTAAAGAATGTCAAGTGTCACCTTGTTCATGCTTGATTCTATGCCATGCCATTTTCATGTGTCTCAAGTTGGCACAGATTAAAACTACTGACGGGTCATGGCGATGCACAGGCAATCCCTATAGAACTATATCATGTTTCACAAAGATGTTTAGGTGTGCCCATGGGAAAGAATACTTTTCATCCATCTTCAAAGTTTTGTGGATGTCATTTCACCATGACGTAGATAATAAATGGTTGTAATTTAGAAAGTTTGCCTTGTTCCTTTTCATCGAGATTGGTAACATCCCTTTTAATATCTGAGTCACTTGGAGTATTTTATGAATCATACTGTGCAATAGATATTAGATTATATTTCTTAGTCCAGATTACCTTTGTGAAAGAACATTTATCACTGGTTTGGTATTATATACATCATCACAAGCCATTTTGGAAAAAGACAGAAGAGAGAGAAGTTTGCCCTTCAGACACAAAGATCATAATTTGACTGTGCCTTGTGAATTTAAGCTTACCATTGGAGCTCTAATACAGAAATTTCGAACCCTGCCAAGTCATTCATTGATCAGACAGTGTAAATACATGTACATGAGTGTGGGTTTGTTTTTTGTGTTGAAGATGTGAATGAATAGCCACAAATCATGAAATGTATTTACTGGACTGGCCTTATTTATCATCGTGACCTATTGGTTTCATAGTCAAGTGGTCCAATGGGTCAAGTTTAAACAAGTCTAGAATGAACACTCATTATACTGGTTATCAATATTGCGCGCATAAAATTGTTAGAATAGTGAACAAATCTTTGAAAGTCTTTGTTTTGGTGAGTATTATATTTTAGATTAAGAAAATTCCAGTTATTCAAATTGCTGACATTCTTTCTTTTCATTATTTTTTTAGACAACTAGTTGAAAGATGATTTCTACAATCCATGTTGAGTGAATTCTAAAGCAATGGCATGGTTGAAATTTGAGACTAGGTTACAATCTTTTAAAATTCATAACTTTAGTGAGTGAAATCTGCTAATGTATGGTGAAAGAAGATAAGAGTCGCACTTTTGTACCTATGTATATGTGTGTGTGTGTGTTACAGGGTAATGCAATCACCCAGCTGTGCAAGACGGTGGAGGATGTGACAGTGTTTGGTACAGCGTCCTCAAACAAACACGAAGCCATTAAGGCTAACGTCTCCCACATCTTTGACCACAACGTCGACTATGCTCAAGAAGTCAGAAAGTATGTCATGGTGGTCTTCAAAATTATTGATCAGTTAGTGAGAGAGCCACTAATAGCAGTATATTTAACTTAAATCACAACGTGTAGCTTATGTAAGAGGAAAGTTAAAGTGACACAAGCCGTCATAGGTTTCAACTACCGTATTTGACAAGAGGGCGCTCTCAAAATTAGTAATAGGGGGCTCTTATTAGAATATTATTTTGGTGCAAAAAAGATTGAAATATCTTACATTTTGTGGTTTATTCTGACAGCCTGAAATGTTTATATACGACAGATATATTTTTCCAGAATTGAATTGCCCATAATTAAGGGTGCATATAACACAGGAGTGCATTTTATACACGAATAAATAAGTCTTGTGTACATTGATATTACGTTGTATACAGTACATTACCCCATGTACATGGGAACCAAGGATCATTATTGGAGATAAACTGGGATGCCAAACCAAGGTTCAGCGGTTTCTGTCACAACCAAGGGACACAACTCTGCCTACTACTTGTGGCTTCCTTGACCAGTGGGCTGCCTGTGCCACCATTATTCATAAGATTTATCAACTGTAATCTGGTTATTAGTTACTGAATTTTGGAAGGAAAATTCTTTTTTAATGATGTAATTTGTGGATGAACTACAAAAAAATTGTATTGTAATAAAGTGGTTACATTGAGTGTGTGTGCCTGCAGGGTGGCGGCCGAGGGGGTGGACATCGTCCTGGACTGTATGTGCGGAGATGACACCAACAAGGGCATCATGCTCCTTAAACCAATGGGAAAGTACCTGTTGTATGGTGAGTTCAATATATACTGTATGTACACTACTCAAGTAGTGGTGGGGATACCGAACTATTTCATACTGTTACAGAAATTAGAGGGTACTAAGTTAATGAAATGTCTGCTTTTGTTTGTATTAAGCTGAATTGTAAACCTATAGAAAGTGTGTTCTGTGTTGTGCTAATTTAGGTCACATGACCAAATGTCAAAGGGTGAAAATATGATTTGAATTCCCTGAAGCATGCAACCGAATCTCTGTGTAGGAAATAGAGATTACTACACTAGTGTCTGTCAGATACCATTGATCTTACGAGTTGTTTCAAAACGTATCTAACGAGCGAAAGCGAGTTAGATACGCTTTGTAACAACGAGTTGTAAGATCAATGGTATCTGACAGGCACGAGTGCAGTAATCTGTTTCTTTCACACCCCAAAATAGCACCTTTTTAACTTCGAACCGATGAATTTGTCATGATTGCAGTAGCGCATTATACATGACACCACTGTCATAAGTGACGTCATCCTATGTGCTGCTTACTACTCATAAATAATGTGACCCGACACAAAAAGGTTTCAGTCATATCTGGATTATCAAGGCGATGATGAAAATGCAAACTAGACAATAACAAAGAACACGCTGGGTGCCAAGTTGAAAGTTTACACCTCAAAGAAATTACCAAATATGTACAACAATGTTTACTTCCGTATGACATCACTTCCGGTGACCGACTTTTACAAAATGGCGTGTTCACTGACAACAGTACACGGGATTTCCAGAGGAGGATTTTCGTTGATTGAGGGATCGTATACACATAAATGGGTCACGTAAGTAATCAGAAGCATTCTGACAATCTGCGTACTGTTATTTGTTTACCATGTTTTCCAATGTAAGAAAGAGAATTAGTCAGAAAAGCAGATAACTACCATCATCGTTGTGCGTGATTTAGCGTCAGTCATGGCGCCACACAGGACAGAAACTTTTGTAAACAGCTTCTGTTGAATTTACCACATCATTGTAATGTATATATGTGTATTTCCATAATTAGTGCAACGATACTCTTCCCATGAATATTCTCAAACGCGTGATCGAGCCAATGTATGCAACAATTAGACGAAAGTACCTCTAAAAAGGCTACACAGTGTAAAATCTGAATTTTGCTTTGTTTACATTTCAGCAAGTACAGTTTTCCAAGCACAGTTTTCGTTTCCATACCTAACTTATTTCGCATGATTTCATCTAGATATTTTGCATTGGTGACAAAGACCATTTATCCATTGTTTCGAAAATGTATGAGAAATTCAGGGATGCATGTATGGCATTAAACATTGAAATATACCTGATCGAATAGGCGTCTCATAACCGGCATTTTGTAAACACAATCCAATATGGCGGAACGTACACTTCGGCGTTCGTGTATGCGTATTTTCCAAAACATTCTAAACGATTCTAGGCTTATCAGCGACGTTTCAGAATTATCAGTAGTGATTTGATACCCGTGATCGCTAATATGCTAATTTCTACTTTAATTATTCGAGTAAATATCCGATATTTAGATTTCTAAACACACAGTAAATATTTATATAACGCCGTGAATTGTGATTTGGCGAGATTTACAATGTACCTAATTTTCAGAAGTCACTTTCAGCAATTTTGAATTGCCTAAAATGACAGTAAATGATAAACAGAAAGGAATTAAAAAATGTGAAGTGTATTAATCTGCGTGATGTATTTTTAATTTTATTCGATTTCGAAGTGAGGGTTGAAGAGGAGGGACATATGTGTCGCTGTGGCATCCAGGGGGTTTACACTCTGAAAAAACGATTATGTTGACTTAACAACAGATAATTTAACTGATAATAATAACAAACAAACTCACAGACCATTTCGAGTTTGTTTATTTTTATTATTAATTATACGGTGAACATTCGACTGAAGCACCAGCTACTTATGAATGACTTACACTCAGGAAAGTAGTCCGTCATCATTACCAAAATCACAATCACCATAGCAACAACAGAACGTTCGATGTTGACGCCTCACAACCGAGTAAGTACGGGGTGTTAAAGAGTGCGTATGTTTTTTTCTAAATAAAACAATAGGTTTACAATATCGATAAATACTATGTGTGTGTATAATTTCCGGGATTTTATCGAGGTATTTGCATCTTGGAAATTCATCTCAAGACCTGAAAGCGTTAGCTTGAGGGGCTCGAATGAATTTCCAAGATGCAAATACTCGATAAAATCCCGGAAATAGACACACACATAGTATTTATCTTCTAAATGAAGTTCTGTCTGTTCCACGACAGAAGCAAGTTCTATTCTTAGTAATGTATTATAGGGGGGTGATGGTCATAGGCTTTTGATGCACTAATGTACTGAATATATTGAGAGTCCCCTAATGCTTGAAATATTTTTGGATGACCCTCACCATGTACATTCAATCTCATTAAAATCAGATCTTAGTTCTCGCTACCGCTAAGCAAAGATCTGAGGACACCCCCCATTATGGGTCATATCAGAATCAATCAGAGCGTCGCTTACTAGATCATGAAAGTGACAGTCGGAATGTGATTTTCTGATCATGCAACCGTGAAAGTGTTAACTCAGGGTATTCCGAATGAGAGTGACAGGCTTTGTGACTGAATCCATAGCCATTCCAGAATATTGGTTTGTTCCATTTTCAAATTTTGAATCGGGAATTTGTCAAAATATGTTTCAAAGCATAGTCGCCAGTTTGAAACTAGTGCCTTAAAGCATGAGACTGCTGTCTCCTGATTGGCTAATGTCGACTTCTTGTCAGTCAAAGTTTGCAAAAGGTCGGTCTGACATGACCTGTAAATGGATGTATCTACTATTGCTGGGGACTACCCTGGGATTCGCATTTACCTAATGTTGCTGGTAACTACCCTGGGATTCGCATGTGTACGCTGTTGCTGTTTTCTTCAATCTGAAATATATTTTTGTTTCAGGTTCCTCCAACATAGTAACTGGTGAAACAAAAAGCTTCTTCAGCTTTGCAAAATCTGTAAGTAGGATATTTCTGTGCATCTAATTTCAGGTGATGTGAGTAAAACATCTTATGACAGTTACCCCATATGTCAATGCTCGTCCCATAACTCATTGAGTCTACCCAGAGGTAGACACCATTGGTCCAATCTATCTAGTCTGTATGTAACATAACAAGATCTTTTTTCAGAAAACAACTTGTCCCTCTGGATTGTCACTATAGTCCTGGGCCAACAGAGCAGTGGCCGTACCTATCCCTGTCTAACTTACTAGTGTTCTAATGCTATACTTTGTTACGGTACCAGTTAAATCATATCTTTTTCTTTGATTTGATATCTATCTCTGTCAGGATCTGACAAACCCTCCATTTTGGCAGTATTATATGTATTGATGCAGTAACCAATAGATACATTTGTCATGCTGAGGCACTGTCTACAATCATCAAATGAACTTCTAGAGGTCTAACCAATGTATTCTTAGTAAACTAGCAACCTGACCAAGCCAATATTTCACTTCTGAACCTGAAACTTTCATTATATGTTCTTCACAATGTTGTTCATAGATGATCATCCTTCATTGGTCAAGGATCCTCTAGATTTGCTTTAAGGTAGAAGGATCGTCCTTCATTGGTCAAAGATTCTGTAGATTTGCTTGAAGGTAGAAGGATTGTCCTTCATTGCTCAAAGATTCTCTAGATTTGCTGTAAAGTAGAAGGATTGTCCTTCATTGCTCAAAGATTCTCTAGATTTGCTGTAAAGTAGAAGGATTGTCCTTCATTGCTCAAAGATTCTCTAGATTTGCTTAAAGGTAGAAGGATCATTCTTCATTGGTCAAGGATCTTTTAGATATGCTTTAAGGTAGAAGGATCAACCTTCATTGGTCAAGACTTCTCAAGGTTTGCTTTAAGGTAGAAATTAAGGATGGGCCTTCATTGGTTAAAGTTCCTCAAGATTGGGTTAAAGGTAGAGATGGAAGATCGTCCTTCATTGGTCAAGGATCCTCAAGATATGCTTTAAGGTAGAAATGGAGGATGATCCTTTATTGGTCAGTGATCCTGTTGATTTACTTAAAGGTAGAAGGATCGACCTTCATTTGTCCCTCATGTTGGCTTTACGGTAGAAGGATCGTCCATCATTGGTCAAGGATCCTCTAGATTTGCTTGATGGTGGAAATAGATCATTGACCAATGAGACCTTTGAGGACCTTCGTAAGTGAAAACCCATCACACCTCTACATATTTTGAGTGTTCAGTTGACTTGTCCTCCATCTGGATGTGTCTTTGTGTCAGTGGTGGCAAGTGGACAAGGTCAACCCCATCAAGCTGTTTGATGAGAACAAGGTCATAGGCGGCTTCCAGTTGAGGCGGCTCCTGTTCAACCAAGGCCAACACGGCTATGTCCGTGAGGTGATTGAGAAGCTCTTCAAGATGTACAGTGCTGGCAAGATCAACCCCACCATCGACTCGGTGTGGGCCTTTGAGGATGTGAGTATCGACAGATGAGTGAGCGATCAGGGAAATGAGTGGGTGAGTGAGTTAGTGAGTGGTTTATGAGGAGACTGGATGGGCATGTGAGTGATTTTTTTGTCATTTTTACAATATGTCGGCAATATCATGGTAAGGGCCACAAGGAATGGACTAGGCCACCCCACTGTTCTCATCTTCCTGAGGCAAGGGAATCGAGTTAACTGACTATAAAAGTACAGTTTCCACCCTTGCCCAACTAGACTGGAGCTCCAGAGACGTTTATCACCAACTGGGTGTCAACAGATATTTTACAAATCTTTTCATATATTTTATCAAGAGGCTCAAGTGATTTGATGCACTTTGCAAGATAAGACCTGTTTTATTACAATATAAACCTTGATTATCAGTTAGATTGTCTTGACTCGGCTGCTCCATATTTTTTTAAGCAAATGCAAATTATATGAGAGGTGGAATCTGATTGACCAATTGGAGGAGGGACATGGCAGGGACATAACTCGTAATAGCCACTGGTGGCACTACAATCGAGCCTGGAAATTCCAGACTAGTTCGACAATGGAGGAAACTGGAGTTATTGCATCTTGTCTCCAGAAGATAAACTTTTCTATGTGAATATGGTGACTTAAATAATCAATTTGCTCGGGACATAGAATTATGACATTCTGGAATATTTTTACCAGAACTGTCTTATCATATCATTACCAATTTTAGAAGAACCTTTAAACCAGTTTGGATAGCAATCATGCTGCATTCTGCATCTTGGAATATGATCTAGTCTGGAATCCGAGATATGTGATTGTGTTCCTTTCTAATCTGTAGACATTATTTACATTTGGAAACATCTCCTCTTCACAGCCGTTTGGAATACTTTTGTGACGAGAAATATTGTCTGATAACAACACATCATGCTCCTCCCAAGCCCACCTTGAAGCCAATATTATCCTTCACCTCGTATGCCTGATCAGTTATATTAATACAAGGGACTATTGCTAATATGCTGGCCATTTAATGACAATAAATTGCGAGGGCCATTTACAGAGTCTCTGGCATTGATCTCCTTGTCTTGTCACTGTGGACCACTTCCGTGGTCTAGTCGTAGAGCGTCCGCCCGGGGAGCGGAAGGTCCGGGTTCCATCCCCGACCGCGTCATACCAAAAGACGTTAAAAGATGGTACTTGTTGTTACCCTGTCTGGCGCTCGGCATTAAGGGGCTAAAACAACGACTGGTAGGCTCGGAGTCAGTATACTGTGTCTGAGTGGGGTATTCATGTTAAACTGCGGCATGGTATCTCAGAGAGCTAGCACTATAAATTGGCATCAGTCCGGACTAATACAAGCAGCCACACACACACACACACACACACACACACACGTGCATGCACGTCGCTATATAAGTGCAATAATCTTGGACGCGACGTTAAACCCCATTTCACCTCACCTTGTCACAGTGCATCATGAAGTGTATGGTGACAAAGCTAATCTTCACGTTGGATCTAGAACATTGGGAAACCATGAATAACAGAATGTTTATGTTATTATCATCAACAATGGTATGTGCATATTGTCAACAATGCTGTTGGGCTGATGAAATCATTATTACACATGTAGAATGTTTTCCAAACTTGCTTGATTGCTATCTTCTACCTGACCGTAATAATCTTTGTTGTTGACTTTGAGAAGCCTTTGACTAACTATTGCACTGTGACTGCTGCAGGTGTCTGATGCGATGCAGAAGATGCAGGACAGGAAGAACGTAGGCAAGGTTCTCCTGGACCCCACAGCTGAGCCAAAACCTAAAGTAAGAATTCTAGCTGTTCATAGTCCCGTGCAAGCTGCAGTGTTTGTTTGTCCAACTCTGCCATATTCCAGCTATGTAACAGCAGCCAGTAAACAATCCAGTGATGCATTCCCTAAGCAGCATCCCATGCCATAGGGGTATGATGGCACCAATGAACCAAATCACTGATCCTAACCACTTGATCCGCTTTTACACCTTTCAAGACAAGTATAGATTGCAGGGGACCATACTCCCCACTGGGGGAAAGCAAAAGTGTGTTTCAGTTGGATTTAACACTGAATAACATTATTCCTGATATATTACGGCATATCATCTTATTGGAGAAGAAAAGCCAAGAGTTCTAAACGTTTTCGTATATGCTGACACACATTCCATCCCATTAGCACCAGATCATGGCAGGACTAAGGGCTGCAATTCTGCACATGGAATAAAGGCTTAATAGGTCATCTGTTCCCACCTGCAGTAGCCTACAGTCATGTGGCATATCATTTATAACTCACCAGCCCATGCCCTGAACCAAGGTGTATATATACCCCCGGGTACATTCCAATGCAATCAAAATAGCATGGCCAAACATATATTCAATTATAAACCTTCTTTACAAGTCTTGTTCCAACCCATCATTTTTTTCATTGATGGATATGTGTTAATACATTGAAACTTACTGCCATTACTACTTTTGATTTGTGCAGTGGACATTAATTGTCATAATAACACTGGCTGAAAAAAATGTTTTTACCTTCTCCCTTGAACTGTTGAACTATTGATGGTTGTGTGAAGGTGTAACTGTCATCAATTCCTGTGTATTAGGAAGACACATATGTTCCTTTTTGTAGTGAAAAGAGTAAAACCTCACTGAAGGTTAAAGAGCAAGACATACTGACCTTGTTTTTCATTAACAAAACTGTCAGCTAACCCATGAATAGTTCTGAAAGGGTCAGAATATGTCCACGGCATCTCATGCTGACTGGTTGGTTGGTTGGTTTGTTGTTTAACGCTGCACTCAGCAATATTCCAGCTATATGACGGCGGTCTGTAAATAATCGAGTCTGGACCAGACAATCCAGTGATTAATATCATGAGCATCGATCCACACATTCGGGATCAATGACATGTATCAACCAAGTCAGCGAGCCTGACCACCCGATCCCGTTAGTCGCCTTTTACGCCAAGCATAGTCGCCTTTTACGGTAAGTATGGGTTGCTGAAGACCTATTCTACCCCTGATCTTCACGGGTACGACAAGCATGGGTTCCTGAAGACCTATTCTACCCCTGATCTTCACCGGTACGACAAGCATGGGTTGCTGAAGACCTATTCTACCCCTGATCTTCACGGGTACGACAAGCATGGGCTCGATTTCAGGAACTTGACTTAACTTGCTCCAGGTGCATGTTGAAATGTCAACCAAGTTGCTGCAAACAAAAACAGGTTGCACCCTGGTCTCATAAATTTACCAACGTTGAAACACAGGCCGACCTGATGCCAGTGTCACATATTATTAGTTTATGATGCATTACTGTAAAATCTAATAGGAACATGTGCACATAATCTTGAAGCACCCACAGTTTGATAACGTCAAGTGCAAGAAAGAGTGACAAATTACACATAACAAAGCGATTAATAGTGATGTAGTACAGAAAATTAACGTAAGAGGTATTGAGAGTGTTCAAAAGTTGAGGTGTGGACAAGGAAGGGTTAGTAAGACAGAAATATGATTTATGATCACCATCTCTGTGTTCAGGATGTGGAAGCCGAGAAAGCTGCTGTGTCTACCGATGCTGAGTCTGGCGATAAACAGGAGAAGAAAGAGGAGAAACCAGTTCAAGATGGAAAGTGGTGAGTTAGCCATGTCATCAGGTTGGACATGAATGGTCTGCTGGTAATATGCTGATAGGTAGAAATCAGGGAACATATATAGAAAAGAAAGTTTTGAGCTTTGATATGATTTACCCTTGCTACCCTAAATTTTGTAATGGTCTTTGTGATATAAATGATTTAGAAGTCATGTTTTCAGTATGTTTCGTACCTGAAACGGAATACCCTTTATTATATACTTCAGTGTGAAAAACTGAGTTTTCTGAAGTTGAGAAAAGTGATATTTTCATTGCAGTGAACATAACACTTTGACAGAATTATTGTCATTCAAGAGTTGCCTCCCCTTAAATTGTCTCCCTTTATCATGTCAAGCGCATACACAAACTGTTGACGTCCTGTTTACGCTAGTTCCACATTGACAAGGCAAAGTAATGACAGATGGTTATTTATGGAGTTAATATCACTTCTTGCCGTTTGATATTCTTTCGAAAATGTTTCGTTAACTGTAAATTTCTCATCTAACTCGTCAATCGAGATTGTTCGTTTCACAAAGCGCCATTTTTGTTACTTGACCAGAGTGAATTCTTTCGCTTCCAACAGAGGTCTCCTAGTTTTCAAGTATATTTGTCGTAATGTTGATTTTGTATATAATCCTATTGAAATGTATGTTAAAGAATTTTCGTGACCTTAATATTTTTTTATACTTTCATTTACATTTTTTAAGATTTTGCAAACACAAAACTACTTTTTCAAGTCGCAAATACAAGGGGTGGTGAACTGTCCCTGTGTGTTAAGTAGGGAGAATTTATGTTTCAAGGTTTTACATTTGTAATGAAATAATTTAATTTTCCGGTAGACAACTACACAAAAAGTATGAAATAAATAGGATTTTCCATGTGTCTCGTGAAATGTCATGTTTCTCTCATCTTGTGACGGGGGAAAGGAGATATTTTCACGAGTGGCTCCTTTACCCCATCACGAGATGAGAGAAACTTATTTCACTCAACACATGAAATAGCCTCTACGCTTTACTTAATTGCCTCATTTATGAAATCACTTGGAATGATATGGAATGTAGTGATAAGCTACTAGGGCCATTCAATATATAACCAGCCTAAGCTATTTATCAGATCTTAACGGTTACATGCTTGTCACGTGCTGTGCACCAATGTATGTCACGTCACGTGCATAAAGTTTCACTGAGGAAATTGTATTTGAAGTCACACACGTGATCTATAAAGATGGCAAGGGTAGATTCTGCCAAATTTTCGTCAAAGGTTGAATACAGGGCTGTTATTTGGTACCTCTACTTAAAAGGGAAACCGGGCAAGGAGATACATGATGAATTGTCAGATGTTTATGGTGACAGTGCACCTTCGTATGCACAGGTCAAATTCTGGGTTGCAGAATTTAAGAGGGGTCGGGTGAACCTGGAAGATGAGCCATGCCCTGGCAGGCCTGTAGAGGTGACCAATGACCAAACCAGTTTGATTGTAACAGGTGTTCATATTGACAGAGGAGAAAGTGTTGTCTTTGTTGGTTAATCTCATTAAATTGAACTTTCTAATAGGCCAATCAGTGTCGGTGTACAAATGATCTAAACATTCAAAGCATAATATCGAATTTCGCTATCTTGAAAGCAATCATAAAATGTCCAGTCCAAAATGCAAATAAATAAGGCAGCACCATTGTATTCTTGTGATAATTTATACACCTTGTTACTCTGAGAACCATAGGAGTTCCATAGAAGCAATACTTGTGCTCTGTGGTTTTCTTTTGTTAAAAGCAACTTTTTTTAAAAGAGATGGTAACGAAATGAAGCTGAATTGATTTAGTAAGCTGACATCTGATTGGCACTATGGATGTGTTGTCAGATCTTAATACAGGGAGAGATCGTATCAGAGTCAAAGATCTGACTTTCATGAGATTGAGTGTTGGTATGTTTGTGTATAGTATTAGAGTATCTAGTGTAGTGTTCTGTGGCCATAGAGTAGTCCTGTAGCTGATAGTTCAAGACTTTTTCAAGAGCTGCTTATTCTTACAAATACATTAAACCAGTGCTCCTTCCTAAAAGATGACTCAACCACAATCCTGAAACCAATATCTTCCTTGATGATTACATCACTGATGCTTTATAAGCACATTGTTCAGACAATCAGTTCATTCGCTGTAATTGTTGCCTGCGTCAAAAGTTTTGGGCCAGTTTCATGTGATTAGTGCAACGAAGAACGGACATGTTGTTTTTTACTGTTGGATTCATATACCTCATTAAATTTCAGTTACTAGACAACGACGGCTTTGAAAGACGTAATACAAATAATGCTTCAACTGACAATGACTCAAAGTCAAGTTTTGCTTTCACTCTACTAGAGTGTGGGTGATGTTCCCATATGCAAAGTGAAAAGATACGCTATGTCAAGTTTTGTATCAATGTGACAGATACAAAATATCAAATTGTGTATTGCTGATTGTGTCAAACGTCAGTACCAGTGGGGCATGAGTGGCCCAGTGGTCTGAGGTACCGCAATTTGTGGAGTTGTGTCCAGTGTCAGAAATAATTGCCTGCCCACCTGCTCATGGCTGTTTAATTTTCTGTCGGTCGAAAGTTTCCTCCATCTGCTTGGCTGTCTAGCAGATAAGTTTAAGACTACTTTCATATTCAGTTTTATTATAACTTCTTGTAGATTTTCAAGTGATTTGTTTGCCTTATTTCAACTGAATCAAGATGCGATTTGTCTCTTATGTTTTTACGATATTAAATATTTATAATGTCTGAATGCAGGCAGGTAACTTAGAAGATGGGCAGGCAACACTTATGGGTCACCGGCAGATTGTCTTGTTGGGTTTTAAAAGCATTTTGAACACTGGTTGTGTCCCTTGGGCAGTCCAGAAACTTATGATTGAGATCGCCCTGATTATGTTTCTTGTATGGTCTGTACCATACCTGTGTATGTGGGGCTCACCCAAGTGGTAAACATTACTTTCCTACCACCTAAATCTCACCAGCAGTGATAAAACTGAAATACTGTTCAAAGCTGTGTAAAACCCATCTCACAACTGTACAGCCGTGATACAGCTTTTGTCAGAGGCAGCAACATGTGTGGAACCTGTCTGTACTTTTGTAAGATCAAACTCACCTTTGTCTTTATGTAGGGGGCACTGCATGTTTGTTTATCTTGCAGATCAATGTCCTTCCCCTATTTCGATGTCAGCCACATCCCTTGGAGCCTCCCTCGTTCAAGCAGGCCGCATTTGTATAGCTACGTAGGAACGCCGTGTACAGCTAAGCAGCTCCACACTACGTCATCAACTCAAACACGTTTAACTGGTATCAAGGTCCTTTCACAATGCTGATGGATTAAATGACTGTGATATACGGTGCATACCACTTTTAGTCACTATTACCTATCCACTATCTGAGATGACCAAACCTGTAGCATATTGTATGTCACTCACTTCGTGCAACCTTTAGTATGTATTGTTTAATGGATTCGGTTTTGTTAACGATGTTGAGATTACACAATGTTTTATGCTAAAGTTTAAAAGATTTTAATCTTAAATTCTAATGAAATGATAAGTGCATTCTGTATATTGGTTAGAAACATGAACATTTCGATGTTAAAATTATGCATAGCAGGGGAAGAAATTAGTACTAGCCTCTTAGCAAGAGTAAGTTTCACTGAAAGCTAAACAGCGTTACAGGTGACCTGAGACAAAGTAAATTTTGAACTTTTAGGGATGTGTTTTGTCCATGCGGGTTGGTTTACTTTCAAGACTAATTTCTAGCCCTGTATGAAAGTTGCTAAGTACAAGATAATACATCACAAGGTGTAAATAACAGTGTATTTGCTCATTTAAAATGTCAACTTATTCAAAATCTAGGCATAACTTTAACCTGTTACATTTATCCTGTTATGGTCTTCACCCCCTTGACATTTCTGTTACACTTGCTGTCAGTAGCCAGACCATTAAAACCATATAATCCATGGACTTATGAATCATGAACGTAAATATACTGGTGTGTGCTAAATTATTACTTTTTTCATGGTAACAGACCCATTTGATGACTTGTAAAACAGTTCTTATTTCTGGCTTTGCCTTAAGCACCTTCAGAGCACATAACTCTTACCGGAAAAACTCCATTCTTGAGGCCAACCTCCCATGTTGATCATTGTAGAGGATTTTGTCTGAAAGATATTTTAAAAGATGCTTATACTGGCTGAATATTTATTTCAAGAAAATGGCCTGAACATTTCAGTGAGAGACCTGTATTATGTGTTTTATGAGCAAGATGACCCGTCCTTGGTCCATTTCTAGAATGTACAACACGTCCGACCTCACATACTAACCACCTATAGTGACCCTGCTTCTAGATGCAACAATGCCATCAGGTGCTACTGCTGTGTTTAAAGTACTGGCCTGTATTCACAAAATAATACTCCTGTTTCTATATTAAACTCATAATTAATAACATTTTATCTCATATAGAATGGAAGATCATCAGTTGTGGGTATTTTATGATGTATTTCTAACCTGGTTACCATGGCAACAATTCTGACCCATTTTAATCTATCGACATTGTCTTGAATGTTTTTGGAAGAATAAGCCATCAAATATAAGGACCAAATACAAGCCATTAATGCAATGTGTATGTTGAACTATTTTGTGAATATGAGGCCATCATTGTAGGTACGATTCAGAACGTAGTTTATCTTTCCCAGTTTTTGAATCATGTCGAACTAGTGTGTTAGAGATGAAGCGCAGTTTCCTGAAAGGTATCCAAGACTTTCACTAGAGTAGGTTGGGGTTTTTTAACCATGAAAAATCTTATTATGCAATTTGCAAAGTGAGCGCAATTGTATGTGGTGGAATACATTCCTCGTCTGTGTCTGCGATGCCAGTTCTTCTGTGTACATGACCTATTTGACCAACGGCCAGTCTGTTTAGGATCGGTAGTCGTCAAATATATGCTCTTATATGGTTTTAGTGTATAACACTGAAATTATCTAAGGAGGCAGATTGATAGTGGAATTACTGAGAGCATATCTCATGCTTCTATTAGTATTTTGCCCCCATAAGTGATTCAGACACTTGTGTATAATGTTACTGAGGGCATTCATGTTATCAAAATCTAAAACTGCAGGAAGAAGAAATTAATTTTTGATTTAGTTAAATATTTTGGAATGATTTGTAAGCATTTAAGTATTATCTTAAATGAAATAATGAATATTTGTAGCTTCGACAGGCATTTACGGCATCTTTAGCACAATATGTCTGTCTGTGGTAAGTACAGCAAACCTTAAACAATACTTGGTAGTGCAACACTGAATGTATTACATTAACCACCATATTCAATGTTATAAGACCCTTACATATCAAAGATAATAATCACTGCTTGATGTGTCTTAATGGGAGGAATCCTCAAATATTTTAAGTGCGTCATTTTGTAATTTTCCTTCAGAAGATATTTAACCTTCATTAGTAAGAACCACATCTTTTAATAATTGAACAGTCAGAATTTTCAGTTAAGAAGTCACCCACCAAACATAGATGTGAACGCTTATACACTCAACCACTGGCTGTTTTGTTTAACTTATGTCAAATATGTTATTGTTTCATGCTGCTATCTGATGTTTGTACCAAAAGGATGGTTCTCTCTGGTTTCTTGATTTTAAATCTTGAAGACATGTATTTTTTTGTATCATTTTTATGTTTGTATTATTTCATAAGCTTTATATATTCTGGCTTACCTAGAGTTGAGCTTTTGCTGCTTTTCAACTTATGTAAATGAGTGTATTATTGTGACTGTTCCTTGTACTATATGTATCTTGTTCTGTGTATGACAGCTGTGTCCATGTGCGTCAGTGGGTCATCTCACCATTGTTGAAACTTGTCAGTTTGCTCACAAAGTGGTTGTGCTCTATGGTAACAAATGAAGTCAAACATTGTCAAAACTTGAACAGGATTTAGAGGGCATTGATGTTGAAATCAGAAGCTGTGATCCAAATGTTGCCTATTTTCTGTGTAAAGTCTCACTGATGAGATGATGTTCCAAGATGTAGCACTTCTGTATCCGTCAGTAATCAAAATACCGTGTTTACCAACGTCAATTTGTTGTGCATGTGTTTTATTTGCAAGTGTTGATAGTTTGACGCACTGACAGAATTGATATGAGGTGTTAACGGAGATACCGTATTCGACCAAAAAGTTAACAAGGCATTTAAATGAATTAAAAGGACAAAATTCCAATAAGAATATGCCCAGTCTAACATTACATCCGTTATCAAGGATTTCCAAGTTTGATCCATCTCGGTATAGATGTACAGCATAACCCTTACTATATTTGTAATCGGATGGTTATCAGGTTGAATATTGTAATAGTAAAAACTCAGGTACAGCGCATAATGTTTTCAAAATTTTACTCGTTTCAATGTTCTTTTGGGACCAATGATAATTTATTTTTAGAACAGACAGAAATATTTTGTTCCATTTATTATGTGAAGGTGCTAAAGATTTAATACATTTCACATGCACTTGTTTCTATATGTTTACAATGACATAAAATGGCAAATAATAAATGTACTGCCAAAAGATTTCAAAATGTTTTGTGATAATAATCAAATGAAGTTCTAGAAAATTTATTTTGCTTTAATATTTTTCTATATATTTTTTATTCTTTAATTATCAAACATTCATTGGAAAAGGTGGATTAATTAATTGTTTAAGTAAACATCTGCAGACGAGCAAATAATTGATATTATGACATAAAATCAAATGATGAATTGAATGAATATGGATGTACACACAATGTGATCATTAGTTCCCTTGAATGTGATCTAGAGATATACATATATATATCACTTTCTCAATAGTTCTAGAGTTCAGATATAGTATTTTTGTCCATAATAATTGTTGTTGAATTGTGATCAATAGCTCCACTTATGAGGATTAAAGAAATATATGGGATGTTCACTCGAGTTGTGTTGATATGACGACCTGTTCTGTGGTTGTGTGGAAAGGGTTGGTTCTATGGTGTTTGTTTGAATGTTGACATTATTTCTTGTAGTTTAAGCTCACTCTTAGCGTTTATTCAACCTCTCATTATGTCTTACAGTTTTTTCTCTATTACACATTCTGCATGAAAATAGATTCATATAGGCATAGGTAGTATTTCATTCATTTCTGTAATTATATGACCGTCTGCTAGATATTAACAAATAAAAAAATTATCTATCCAATCTAAGAAACCAAGGATGAAAATATAGTTTATTCCATTCTCTGTCATTAGTTTTCAAATGTCAATCAGTAAATCTGCAGTATCTAGTATTCCAAACTATGTGCCCTCTGCAGGCAAATCTGCATATTGCAAAAATAGATAATTATGTTCAATATTGGTATTTTTTGTTAAGGTTCTTATTTTATTAAATTAGGACAATTTTTGACATTGCATTCAACATGTTGAATGCAAATGTAAAAATTAGCCTGTAAAGGATGATGGATCTCCTTTACTGATCCCGTTACCAGTTACCTCTACAAAATCATAAGTTGAAACTATTACAACATGAATAGGGAACTGTCATATTCCAGTTTGGGAATTTGTACTCTCATTGGTTGCAGACTTAGATAAATGCCGTACTGCAGATTGGTGCTGCATAGCCTGTTAATACCAATAATAAACAAGTCACTCACTGAACATATAGTTTGTGAAAAGTTTGTTTTCTACATAGACAAAAAACCTCTAGATCATGCAGGATGTGTTTACTTATCGCTGATGACCCATCAGAATCCCTGAATGTTCCCCAGTTTCCGAATCACTGAACACTCGCTGGTATACTGAACATTTAAGCATGAAGAATATATATTTTGTTGCAGATCATAATCGAAAACATCAGTGGCATCAATCAAAAACATACAATGACCTACTGTTAGTCCAGATAAGGAAGAGATGCCTACTGGTGTCCTTTGACACATACCTACACTGCACTAGACTCTTCCCAAAGGTAAAGGATAGCTGGATGTTACTGGATTAATCCAGATACTGATATGGGACGGATAAACAACCCGTGTAACTGTCTCCTGTGTCGTAATGATCCTGTTCAAACACATCCTTTCCTGTCCATGCTTGTAAGGTTTTGGCAGCTATGTGGTTATGCCGCTGTTCTTTGAAGCTTTTTCTCCTGTCTAGAACTAAGGCAGACCCTTGAAGTCAGTAGTGGACTCTGGTTTTCCCTAATCCAGGATAATTCTGAAACCCCAGATCTCCCGAGGGAGGGAATAACTGACTCGGAAGTATAACTGAATAGCTGGCAAATGTGAATTAATTCTGTAATTTCCTTGCCTTGACAAAGAATTTACACCAATAATTCTCAAGGGAGAAAATCAAGTCCGGAGTAGCAGTAGTGTATAATTTTGAGACAATATTGTAGGCAATGACAGGTGGCTGTTTCATACATTCAAAGTCAAACAAAAGTTATTCAAATTATGAAACCGAAATTTCAGTCATTTATTTTTAAATATATTGTTGAAAAGTTCATCTGGCTTTGACTTTAAATTACAGAGATATTTTTTGACAGGTTGATTTTGCTATATACAGTATTCTGTGAGCTGATCAATTTTAATCTGAACTGTAAGATTTAAATTGAACTAAAATATGTAACTTACCAATAAATGTTTCTTTATATGTTTCCTGGACAGGAGTATAAGCCTTCCTCTGTGATAGTCCTAGACTAAGGTCATATTTTTATGTTCTTTATTGCATAAATTGTGATATATATAGTTAATCTATTGTTTAGTCCAGGATTGAAATGCCCTCTTACACCTGTTGAACTATGGATATTCCTGTTTAATGTCAAATGGTACATGTCCCATGTGCAATATTGTTGATGTTGAAAATGCAAAACTGAATATATATTTAGTAGTAGCTATACATTAAAAGGATTTATGCCACATCTGAGTTTGTAATTTTTATCCCCCTGGTTTGAAAAAGAGAGAGCGTGAGGGAAACAGTTTGGCTCTGTTTTTAGGTAAGGACCCTGTTCCACAAAGCAATCTTAGCGCCAAGTTGATCTATACCCCCAATCTTTATTGTTGACTTATGCCAGTTTATAGCACCAAGTTTGTGTGTGGAAGGGGCTGAGAGTCTTAAGGCGATCGAACACAGCAACTCTTTGGAACACTGCCCCTGTTTGCGTTATTTGTTGTTTATGGCCGCACTCAGCAATATTCCAGCTATATGATGGCGGTCTGTAAATAATCGAGTCTGGACCAGACAATCCATTGATTGACATCATGAGCATCGATCCACGCAGTTGGGATACGATGACATACATCAACAAGGTCAGCGAGCCTGACCACCTGATCCCGTTAGTCGTCTCTTACGACAAAACATAGTCATCTCTTATGGCAAGTTTGGGTTGCTGAAGACCTATTCTAACCCAAATCTTCACGGGTCTTGCGTCAAGTAGTCACTATCTCTTGCCTGTTTGAAAGCAGTTCTGAAAACTCATCTTTTCAGACTACATGACTCCAAGGCTTATTGTTGTGCTTATGTTTTGTTTGTTGTTTAACGCCGAACTCAGCAATATTCCAGCTACATGATGGCGATCTGTAAATAATTGAGTCTGGACCAGACAATCCAGTGACTGATGTGAGCATCGATCTACACAATTGGGATACAATGACATGCATCAACCAAGTCGGTAGGCCTGACCACACAATCCTGTTCGCCTCTTACGTCAAGCATCGGTTGCTGAAGACCAGTTCTTATCTTTAGGGGTAGTGGAGTGCCATGAACATGCATTCATCTGTGGATGTAATGGAATACAAATGTCCAAACTTATCTTTATCATTATCAGTAAGCTCAAATTTGAGCTCTGTCTCTGCTGCTATTATCATCCCTATCAATATCATCAACTGAGGGGCAGTCGGGTAGCCTAGTGGTTAACACGTTCACTCGTCACGCCTAAGACCCGGGTTCGATTCCCGACATGGGTACAATGTTTAAAGCCCATTTCTGGTGTCCCCCGCTGTGCTATTGCTGGAATATTACTAGAAGCGGCGTAAAACCATACTCACTCATCATCTAAACTCAATAAGCACCTGCTCATGTGCTCTCACAATAAAAACAACAAATTCATTTACCCAAGCAACTTAAATACTGAACTTTATTTTTCAAAGTTCACATGGCTCGTATGAAACTGAATACAATCTAAACAAAGATACACTGTTTGAACAATTGGCAGTAATGCATGTGAAGTATTTGACATGGCAATGAGGTCAGTGGTTGCATTGTGTGGCAAACCCTATGTTATCACCCAGGAGGGCACTTTGCTAGAATTAGTGCCATATACAACTCCAGCTGGAGATAAATAACACTATATGTCCATACACCTACAAATGCATGAGGTATTAGGGATGGGACGATACATCAATGTATCGGTGGATCGCAATTGTTTACTTCTTGACACAAGCATCGATCACAGTTGCACACTAAGTAAAAAAATATTGATTCATATCTTAAATGTTTGCTTTAATAAACGTTACCCCAAACTCTAATTAGTAGTGAAAACATAAATATTTTCATCCATTACTTGACAATGCTAACTGTAAATCATCAGTGTGCCAGATATTTGGCCATCCTGTATTGGAAAAAGATGGCTTACGCACCACAGATAAGTGCACATGGAAGTATCGTGATACGTATCGGATCGTGAGCAATGTATCGTGATGCATATTGGATCGCACAGTTGGTGTATCGTCCCAGTCCTATGAGGTATGCAGGATGAAATTATTTCATTCAATTTTATTAAAAAGATGACATGTTTTTTCCAACATTTTGAATAAACAAGTTGAATCAGAAGGTCCTAACAAGTGGTTAGCATCAATTATAAGCCACAGTTTCAATTCAGTGAGTCCAGATCCTTTTGAAATATGTCCCTTGATAACTGTTTTGTCTTCATAAGTGTGAGGAAATATCAAGGTAAGCCCATCAAGCATGGGGGAGATCACAAGCCATTGACAGAACACGGTTCAAAATTTAGAATCTTAAAGGGATCAAAAATGATTAGAAATGTAGCTTTCATTGAAACAAGCTTAATTTTCCTGAAAAGTGAACTTATTGCCAGGAATCGTGTAAACATTTGTAAATGTTAAAGAGTTTTGAAACATTATCATAGTTTTTTCACGCTTTATCAAGGTATTCATAAACTTAAGGCCTTTTCTGACTTGAAAGATGTTCCGTTGGGGTTTATACTAAATTAACCTCACCTACGGCTGAATTTTTTTTAATAATCTTGGTTCTCAGGCACGGCCCGCATCATCATGAAGTCTGCCGCACATTTAATTGCATGCAGTTACTTACTAGTTTGAACAAGCACACCCCCCCCCCCCCTTAAAAAACCCACCATTTTCAAAAGTCATTACCTGAGAACCAATTCTTTTACTTTTTAAAGCCTAAGAGTACCATACAGTTATAATGTTGCAGTGCTGTCACCTAGAACTGCAGTTAAACATTATTATCATTAACCATAATTCCTAGCCATAACATGACACTGTATGAAACCCTACCGTATTCGACGTAAGGCGCTCTCAAAATTAGAAATAGGGGGCTCTTATTAGAATATTATTTTGGTGAGAAAAAAACATAGTTGAAAGAAAAATTTCGTGGTTTATGCTGACAGCCTGAAAAGTTTATGTACGACAGATATATATTACCAGGGTTTGATTGCCCATAATTAAGGGTTCATATAACACACGAGTGCGTATTATACGCGAATAAATAAGTCTTGTGTACATTGATCAATCGGAAGGGATGCTAATTGGGATTAGGAATTGGGACAGATTGGGAATTGCCAATACATTAGCAAATATCACCGTGAGCGCTTATTAGAGCGGGGCGCTTATTACGTCGAATACGGTAATTCACAATCATATTCATAACTTAATTCTCCAATAAAATAGTGAATGAAATTAATCTGATGTTATTAAATGCATGTCTGTTAGCAGGTGTGACACATGAAATGCTTTGTACAAACAATGACCATACCGGTATAGGAGAACATGCTCCAACAGTGTAAACAACAGTCACTGTTGACAAACATGTTCAGCCTGAAAAAAACATTGTGGTTTTCACAAGTCCATAGCATGGATGTCATCTTACACCGTTATCATTATCAAATGTAAAATATGATTACTTCAGAATGAAAAAGTCTAGCATAAATGTTTCCCAAAACATTTAAATAGTGCCAAAAGGCTGAAAAGATATACAAGTTTGTCTCTGACAATTGCTTTTAACATATTCGGCTGGGAAGCAACCTTGCTGACACTATGAAAACGCATAGTGGAGTTTGGGAAATAATTTTCAGCAAACTGACAGAAGACAAAGAAATTGGTACTTGGTAGTGAGGTCTGTTGGCATGCAACATTGCAATAATGTTGTCTGAGTTTGAATCCTCATTCACGTTGTCATACCTCGACATAAGTTTCCAGTCACTTGTTACTTATCAAGAGGCAAACTCCACTACGTGTTTTGAAAGTGTTTCAGTATATTAGTGTTCAAGTCTCAGAAAGCGTGCTATCCATTTTCCTTTCATTCTAAAAAAACAAATGCGTGAGTTTATATAACAACATTTTTAAGGCTTTTATAAGGCTTAACCTTTGAATATTCTGCCACACATTATCTGTTCTTGAAGTTAATGAAAAGTGAGAGAGACTTTTTGGTGCTTACAATTCCCCAAAGAAAAAACCTAAAAGACAAACAAGTAATCAGCACTAGTGAGGGAGTTCGGAGGGAACCAGCTGTAATACCACAGTGTCTGTCACAGCACCAGCTTTAGGAGCCCAATAGTATTGAGACGCACCCCATGGTGTTGTGCACGTGCCATAGATCCAGCGTTCCAGAGCCCTGTAGTATACAAGCAGTCCATGGCGTTGTGTGCGTGCCACAGCCCCAGCCATCTAGAGCCCTATGGTGTAGGAGCGCCCCTTAGGGTTGTGTATGGAGAGGGCTATGGGGTCCTGTATAGCCCACTCGTACCACACGTTCTTGTCCGTGCACAGTCGCCAGATGTCAAGGACCACCTGACTCTCCTTCTTTAACAGGAGAGGACGCTGAAATATGCATTGGCGGAGAATTAACACATCGTTTCTCAAGTGTGGTTTTATGTCGCTTAACATTCCGGCAATTTCACAAGGAAGGGGAACCAGAATTAGACTTTATACACTATACCTATGTGGGGAATCAAACCCAGGCGCCTTCAGCAATACGAGCAAACACCTTAACCGCTAGGATGACCCACCACCACCCATTTCATATTTGCCTCCTGATCATGATTTACAGTGGACAATAGGTCCACACTCAGAATAAAATTGTCAGAGATAGATTTTCATGAAAAAAACCAAGTTAATTATTTTTCATTTTACGACACATCCCTTACAATAAATCTGAATGTGTGTTACACAGCAACGTTTTCTTACTATGACATCACAGTACACAACCTCATTTGACATTCATATTATCTACATGGATTAAACAGTCTTGTGACTGGCATCATCTAAATACATATACAGGACAAAAGACTAACCACAGATGAACATCATCAGTAAAGTGATGAACTCTCAGTGGGAAATCTTGAACATTACCTTCCACTCAAACATTTAACTGTATATGCAGCCTTAGAAATTAATCTTTTTTAAAACTAGTCCACAGGACTAGTGTAAACCTTATGTCAATAGACCTTAGAACCTATAGATAGTCCTGCTTGAATGAGACAAATCAATTCACCGTTTACATTTTCTGACAGTCTTATTCAGTTCCAATTTGTTTGTTTGTTTGTTGTTCCACGCCAGACTCAGCAATATTCCAGCTATTTGACGGCTGTCTGTAAATAATCAAGTCCGGACAGTTCCAAATTGTAGCAAAATTGAGTAACATCTGACAGCATTAATTCTTAACCCATTCTCAATGTTTCAATTTTAGTTCCAATTTGTAGCAAAATTGAAGCATTGAAAACAGGTTCAGAAATAATGCCTTCAGATGTTACTTGTTACTTGTCAAGAAGGACGACCAAACACTGGAACTTTGCTCGTCTTCAGCACAAACTTGGGCAAGCAGAATAGCATGAATTTCAAATGCTGATATTTGCCCAAATATCAAATAATTTGGTTTGTTTGTTGTTTTACGTTGCACTCTGCAATATTCCAGCTATGTAAGGGGGTCTGTAAATCAAGTCTGGACCAGAAAATCCAGTGATTGATATCATGAGCATCGATCCATGCAATTGGGATCGATGACATGCATCAAGCAAGTCAGTGAGTCTGACTCAAATAATTTGAAAAAGCTAGATTTTGGTTAACATGCAAGTATCTACCGTGTGGCGGACATTAACATGAAGACGTACCTTGATGGGGAAGAGTATCGGGAACCAGCTGAACATGCCGGGGGAGTGTGTGGCCGGTACTATACCTACAACACAGCAACACTTGTACACAGGGGGACCACATAACCACTACTACACAACACTAAGTGAATAGCTTGTTCAGTTCAGGGCCCACTTGCACAAAGTGATCGTAGCGCTAAGACTATCGTAAGCCTATGTAAAAGTATGGGGGTTAAGATCATCTTAGCGCTAAGATCGCTTTGTGCAAGTGGGCCCTGGTTGGTTGTTTAACGCTATGGTCAGCAATATTCCACAACATCACAATGTCGAGTAAATTATTAAGTCTGGGGCAGACAAACTAGCAACCAGCAACCATGATGAACATCCCATGCCATCAGGAAAAAATGGCTCACAATCCACTGTTACCAATTCTGATCACCCAAGTGTATGTGTGTGTGTGTTTGTTGTTGTTTAACACCGCACTTAGGAATATTCCAGCTATATGAGGGTGTCCTGTAAATACTCGAGTCTGGACCAGACAATACAGTGATTAGTAGTATTGACGAAATCTGGCCATCAGGGTACGATGATACCCAATCAACCAAATCGCGGAGTCTGACTACACGATCCATTTAGTCACCTCATGACCAGCATAGGTTGCTGAGGACCTATTATACCCCAGAATCCCAATGGGGGCCACTCGAGTTTGTTTGTTTGATGTTGTTTAATATTCCATCTATATAACTAGAGTCTGGACCAGACAACCCAGTCAATCCATCCACGCAATTGGGATTGTACATGCGAATTAATGAATATAGGATGTAGGTTTCTATAGTATGAGGTGAGGTTAGGTGAATTGGGGTTTAACGTCGCGTCCAAGATTATTGCACTTTTATAGCGACGTGCATGTACGTGTGTGTGTTTGTGTGGCTGCTTGTACAAGTCCGGACTGATGCCGATTTATAGTGCTAGCTCACTGAGATACCATGCTGCAGTTTAACATGAATACCCTACTCAGACACAGTATACTGACTCCGAGCCGACCAGTCCTTGTTTTAGCCCCTTAATGCCGTGCGCCAGACAGGGTAACAACAAGTACCATATTTTAACGTCTTTTGGTATGACGTGGCTGGGGATGGAACCGCGGACCTTCCGCTCTCCGGGCGGACGCTCTATATACCGCTTGACCACGGAGGCGGTCTCACTATAGTATGACAATATGTGATCAGTGTTTGATATGAGCGTGCAATCACTATGGGATCACTGGGATATTTGAAGCTTCTGTAACATGGCAGTATGTGATCAATGGTTGAAATTATTTGTTTGTTGTTTAACTCAACGATATTCCAGCAATGTGATGGCTGTATGCAAATATTCAAATATTCACGATGACATGCATCAACCAAGTTAGTGAGCCCGACCACTCAATCACATCTTGCCACAAGCATAGTCGTCTCTTACGTCAAGCATGGGTTGCTGAAGAAACCACTCAAGTAGTGAATAACATCACTATGACATGACAGTGGCACTGAGTGACATAGAGATCATGCCGCATCACTGGCCTGTAAATCATTGAATCTTGACCAGGAACAACAAGCCTGGACTAGCCAATCAACATGAAGCAACAATGAGTGGAGCGGAGTAGAGGGGAGAGTGGGAGTGGAGTGGAGTGGAGTGGAGTGGAGTGGAGTGGAGTGGAGTGGAGTGGAGCGGAGCGGAGCGGAGTGGAGCGGAGCGGAGTGGAGAGGGGAAAGGGGAGCGGAGCGGAGAGAAGAGGAGAGGGGAGGAGAGGAGAGGAGAGAAGAGGAGTGGGGAGAGTGGAGTGGAGTGGAGTGGAGTGGAGAGTGGAGTGGAGTGGAGTGGAGAGAGGGGAGAGTAAAGTGGAGCGGAGTGGAGTGGAGTGGAGTGGAATGGAGTGGAGAGGAGAGGAGAGAGAGGGGAGAGTGGAGCGGAGTGGAGTGGAGTGGAGTGGAGTGGAGTGAGGGGAGAGTGGAGCGGAGTGGAGTGGAGTGGAGTGGAGTGGAGTGGAGTGGAGAGGAGAGGAGAGGAAAGGAAAGGAAAGGAGAGGAGAGGAGAGTAGAGGGAAGTGGAGTGGAGTGGAGTGGAGAGAGGGGAGAGTGGAGTGGAGAGAGGGGAGAGTGGAGCGGAGTGGAGTGGAGTGGAGCGGAGTGGAGTGGAGAGGAAAGGAGAGGAGAGGAGAGTAGAGGGAAGTGGAGTGAAGCGGAGTGGAGAGAGGGGAGAGTGGAGTGGAGAGAGGGGAGAGTGGAGTGGAGTGGAGTGGAGAGAGGGGAGAGTGGAGTGGAGTGGAGAGAGGAGAGGAGAGGAGAGGAGAGGAGAGGAGAGGAGAGAGGAGAGGGGAGAATGGAGTGGAGCGGAGTGGAGAGAGGGGAGAGTGGAGTGGAGTGGAGAGAGGGGAGAGTGGAGTGGAGTGGAGTGGAGAGAGGAGTGGGAATGGAGTGGAGTGGAGTGGAGTGGAGTGGAGTTGAGAGAGGGGAGTGGAGTGGAGAGAGGGGAGAGTTGAGTGGAGTTGAGTGGAGTGGAGAGAGGGGAGTGTGGAGTGGAGTGGAGTGGAGTGGAGAGAGGGGAGTGGAGTGGAGTGGAGTGGAGCAGTGGGGATTGGAGTGGAGTGGAGTGGAGTGGAGAGAGGGGAGTGGAGTGGAATGGAGTGGAATGGAGTGGAGTAGTGGGGAGTGGACTGGAGTGGAGAGGAGCGAGTGAGTAGGGTTTAACACCGCTTTTAGCAATATAGCAATATTACAGCAATATCACGGCGGGGGACACCAGAAATGGGCTTCACACATTATACCCATGTCGGCAAACGAGCCCAGGTCTTCAGCGTGACGAGCGAACACTTTAGCCACCAGGCTACCCGACCGCCCCAGAATGCTCAGTGAACATAATGTCAACAATATCTGTGCCCCAATGCATAATACTAAGCCCCGACATCTACTTACTTAATGTAACATGTCCGAACAAGATACAGTCGAAGTAGCCGGCAAACCCATGTAAGACACAGTCGTTGGATATGGTGAAATCTAAACTTTTGTACCTAGAGTTGTCTATTACTTCATCTGAAACAAACAATTTACCAAAATAACAGATCATCATCAATGTGTCATTGATGTAGAAGAGAGCTTCATCACTTCAATGAAACCCAGGGGAAAACGACATTAACACAGAAGATGTGTTAGACATGGTTCATACAGATATGGACCACAAAAATCAAAGGCATTTTTGTTGGAATAATAGCCTCAATCAGTCAATATAATTTGTAAATCCAGCATATAAAAAGCAGTATGAACATCATAAATTTACAAACAAGATTGATTTTCAAAACTAACAAATAAATTAAAAGTCTGTCATGAATTCTTCCAAAATATTACTCCATAATTCCAGCCTAGTTCGGCAAGGGTGGAAACTGGACTTTTACAGTCAGTTATCTGCCTTGCCTCGGAACGATGCATGATTGGTTACTGGTGAACAAGTTAATTGCTATCTCCTCCAAAAAGCACCTTGACACAGGCAGGAGTGTTTACCTTTGTTGGGGTGTACAAACGTGAACAAGCACCTTGACACAGGCAGGAGTGTTTACCTTTGTTGGGGTGTACAAACGTGAAAAAGCACCTTGACACAAGCAGGAGTGTTTACCTTTGTCGGGGTGTACATACGTGAACAAGCACCTTGACACAGGCAGGAGTGTTTACCTTTGTTGGGGTGTACAAACGTGAAAAAGCACCTTGACACAAGCAGGAGTGTTTACCTTTGTTGGGGTGTACAAACGTGAACAAGCACCTTGACACAAGCAGGAGTGTTTACCTTTGTTGGGGTGTACAAACGTGAACAAGCACCTTGACACAAGCAGGAGTGTTTACCTTTGTTGGGGTGTACAAACGTGAACAAGCAGGAGTGTTTACCTTTGTTGGGGTGTACAAACGTGAACAAGCACCTTGACACAAGCAGGAGTGTTTACCTTTGTTGGGGTGTACAAACGTGAACAAGCACCTTGACACAGGCAGGAGTGTTTACCTTTGTTGGGGTGTACAAACGTGAACAAGCACCTTGACACAGGCAGGAGTGTTTACCTTTGTTGGGGTGTACAAACGTGAACACCTTCTGGGGCTCAGACAGGATCTGGCAGTTGTGAAGGCGGACAACGTACGGCATCTCGAACGGGGCCTGTTGGTGGACAAAGTACAGGGAACAATTACCCAAACACACAAACCTCTATACACGATACAACAGACTTAGTTACCAAGCACACAAACCGCTATACACGATACAACAGACTTAGTTACCAAGCACACAAACCTCTATACACGATACAACAGACTTAGTTACCAAGCACACAAACCTCTATACACGATACAACAGACTTAGTTACCAAGCACACAAACCGCTATACACGATACAACAGACTTAGTTACCAAGCACACTGGAGACCAGACTGTCACTATGTCCAACTTACTCATCTGGGTACCGTTTCGCAAGGTTATCGTAGTGCTACGAATATCGTAACTCCAAGACTTTAACATAATAGACTTAGGATCGCTTCAATTGCTACGATCCTTTGTAGGGAGTGAGTATGGTTTTACACCGCTTTTAGCACTATTCCAGCAATATCACGGCAGGGGACACCAGAAATGGGCTTCACACATTGTACCCATGTCGGGAATTGAACCTGGGTCTTCGGCGTGACGAGCGAACGCTTTAACCACAAGGCTACCTGACCGTCCCAGATTCCTTTGTAAAAAAAGAAAACATTGGCCCCTGCTTACTGCATCTACAAATGATACTGTATCATAATGTTGTTTTATGCCACAGTGGATTATCAGGTACAAAATCAACCAAGTCTGACATCATGATCCAATTTGGTCACCTCTTACAAGACCAATACAGTTCAGGGGACCTATTCTATCCTGTTTCCCCACCTGGTGAAATCACTGTTATGTTTAGTGAATCAATACAATTCTACCATGATTTCAGCATTTGAAACTTCACGCTGTGTGTTCGGCTCCAAATTCAATGTGGCGCGTTAAATCTACAGGTAACTATCTCTACATTGAAAATAGTATGTTTATCTCCTAATATCCTAATGACACCACTTGTGTCTTATAATCTGAATCAATGCGGGGGCACGGGTTGCCCAGTCGTCTAAGGCGCAGCGATTCACTGTGCAGAGTTGATCCCTTGGACAAGCCAGAAACCTATGATTGTGGGTTCGAATCCCGGTTCGCTCTGATTATGTTTCTAGGTTTGTCAGCACCATACCCGTGCTCGTGGGTTTCACCGAAGTGGTAAACGTCTGTGACCTGCATCACTTCGTGTTTTCCTCACACATTAAGCTGCCACACCGCGATATAACTGGAAAACTGTTAAAAGCAGTGTTAAACCCAACTCACTCACTCACTCACTGAAACAATGCATATTGAAGAGCTTATTTATTTTCAAGGCATGCTGACGAACCTCTGGCCCCTTGTCCTTTTCCTTACACTGTCGCACCTCGTTGTACAGCTTAGCTGACTGGATGGGAGCTAGGTAGGAGGTGTACTTGCAGGGGATGCTGATCCCATCATCTGGACAACAAGCAACAGTCAATTATGCATTCTGGACTTGTTTGTTTGTTGTTTAACGCCGCACTCAGCAATATTTCAGCTATATGACGGCAGTCTGTAAAAAATCGAGTCTGGACGACAATCCAGTGATTGACATCATGAACATCAATCCAATCAATTGGGATACATGCATCAACCAAGTCAGCGAGTCTGACCACCCGATCCCGTTAGTCGCCTCTTACGACAAGCATAGTCACCTTTTACGGCAAGCATGGGTTGCTGAAGACCTATTCTAACCCTGATCTTCACGTTTTGCTTAGTAGTATTAAGTATTAACTTAAACAGTAAACATGGCAGAATAACAATTTCTACAACATGTCAAAAATATACCAGAATCTGCACTGTACAAAGAAGTATTATCCCAAGTATAACATTTGTTACTGCCTGAATATCATTTTTTTCTGATGCCTGACATGTTCAAAGCAAGAAAAAAAAAAAATTATAGAAAGAAAAGTATTTTAATTTGTTGTTTGGGATCGGGTGGTCAGGCTCGATGACCTGCTTGATGCATGTCATCGTATCCCAACTGGATTGATGCTCATGATGTCAATCATTGGATTATTTACAGCCAGCCATCATATAGCTGGAATACAGCTGAGAGTGGAGTTAAACAACAAACAAACTCACAAAAAACTAAAAGGAATGACCATTTTCTGGGGTTACAATCACCCCCTATAACAACCCACCTTTAAGAAATCTCTGTGCCCCATCGAGACATTCAGGGGACAACTCATTATCGCCGAAGGACCCAAGAAGCTCGCTGATGAGGATGTCTGTCTTCTCCGGTGCCTCCCAGGATCTCATGTCACACGAGATCACATCCACCTGCTCCCCCCACATCTCATCCTTCAGATTCTCCAGCCTGACAACAGACAATCAATACACATGGAAGTGAGGCATCAACATGGCGCCAAACTCTTGGTTTCTTCAAATTGAATTTACAATGAAATAATTTTCCCATTATTTTAACACAGGCATGTTTAAAACAGTATGAGTGAGTGAGTATGGTTTTACGCCGCTTTTAGCAATATTCCAGCAATATCACGGCGGGGGACACCAGAAATGAGCTTCACACATTGTACCCATGTTGGGAATCGAACCCGGGTCTCCGGCGTGACGAGCGAACGCTTTAACCACTAGGCTACCCGACCGCCCCTAAAACAGTATGAACTAAATAAGTTTCCTTAATGATAAAAGTTTACTGTAAAATCATTTGGATTAACTAAACAAAGAAAGCAAACAAACAAACATAAGCTAACACTATTTATGCTTTATACATATACAAATACACAATGCCTTATAGAAAGTGGTCAAAAGTAACAAAATGTTATACTTGGGATAACACTTCTTAGCAAAGTACAGAATCTTGTACTTTTGGGGGTTCAGTCCCATCCGGGTTTCGAACCCACACACTCAGAGGAATCGCCAGCACACAAAGTCAGCAATCTAACCTACTCAGCCATCAAAGTATAAACCCAAATATAACATTTGTCTATGTTTATACTTTTTCATGTTGCCATTTTGACTTCCTGCTGTGGCCCCCTCTTTGACTAGGGTGTCCACAGCCATTTTGACCTGTTACCATGGTTACCGTCATACAGACCTTTCAGAAAAAATGTCCCCGTTTTATTATTGCGGTAACATTTCTCACAAAAACGTCACGCATTTCTTGGTTTAAATAAAAATAAAAAAGTCCATGTGTGATAAATAGTAGTGTTGATCATGTGTTGTTAATGAACTGTTTTACTTCAGTATGTTGTAAATAATGGTCTTTTGGATATATCACATGATTCAGTAATCAACAATTATTTATTGTATAATTTCAGATTCATAAAGCAAATATCATCATTGCTGTTCCTTCACTTATTGTATTTTCAGTTCAGGCTGAGTAAGATATATAAGCAGTTGTAAGCTAAGCATCATCAGTACAGCTCTAGTCTTTTGTTGTGTTCAGCTCATGGGGTCAGTCCACTAGAGCATAGGGTGGACAGGTACATCTTTGGTGATCAATCAAAGTTGAAGCTTGGGTGTTTTCCTGATTGGCTAGATTTTAAATCTCAGTGTCCTATTTTCAAGTCCTTTGTTTTCACCACTTCACTTTCCACTCACACTTCACTCTCTACTGGGAAGCAGACAAGATCAGCAATTTAAAGGTTAGTAGTTGAAGTAAATATTTCAGAGTAACATATACATGGTTCACACAAATATGGAACCCAAAATTTCAAGGCTGCCAACTGTCATTTTCAAGACTTTTTTAAGCCTTAGCCTGTCAATATTTAATTAAATCCAGCATACTATATATTAGTCATAAGACCCAAAAGCAGTAATACCATCACACATTTTCAAACAAGATTTATTTGTCACTCAACAAAACATAAATGGAGTCTGTCATGTATTCTTCAGGGTCTTTGGCACACACATCTATCACTGTGATAATCTCACTTAAACATCATTGGTCCATATTTTTGTGTGCTTCAATACTTTGATTAGCAAGTATTATGGCATTTGGTACAAATTCAAGGCTTTCCAGACTATTTTGGTGATTTTCAAGGTTTTCATGGTTGGCACTAAAAATTCAAGGCTCTTCAAGAGGGACCCTAAAAATCAAGGCTTTTCAAGCCTGTAGGAACACTAACATAAATCACTGTAGGTAAATACATGTCTATATCTCATTCATAGCATTTGATCATGTTATATATGATAGTGTTTGTGTGTGGCAAGTGTATGTGTACTAGATAAATCCATGTCATTGCATGTGTGTTTGTGTTTTGGTCTGTGTGCTAATTGGATCAATGTGTGTATTCAGTAACTTGTATTGTACATTCATGATTTGAGGATAGTCCAGAAGTAATTTTTGTGAGTGTAAATAGAAATGTCATCATGATGTGACTTAGGGGCGGTCGGGTAACCTTGTGGTTAAAGCGGTTGTTCGCCACAAGACCTGGGTTTGATTCCCGACATGGGTACAATGTGTGAAGCCCATTTCTGGTGTTCCCCGCCGTGATATTGCTGGAATATTGCTAAAAGCAGCGTTAAACGATACTCACTCATGATGTGTTTTATATGACGGACAGGTGTATCGTGAGGACTCATTCATTGTACCACCTCAATACATCCCAGTCGGATTCTCCGGGTACATACAAACATGTATATTATTTATGCATGATTTTGCCTATTGGACAAATATCATCCACTATTACGTTTATTGTACCGCATGTATATTATAGGTGTTAATGTAACAATTAAGATGGCATATCTAAGCTTATAACTACAGAATATCATAATGAATATCCTGTAGGTGATTAGTAGTGAGTGAGTGAGTTAGAATTTAACGTCATATCAGCTATATTTCAGCCAGGGGACACAGGTGGCCCAGTCGTCTAAGGCGCCGTGATTCGCTGTGCAGAGTTGCGTCCCTTAGGCACGCCAGAAACCTATGATTGTGGGTTTGAATCCCGGTTCGCCCCGATTATGTTTCTAGGTTTGTCAGCACCATACCCGTGCTCGTGGGTTTCGCTGAAGTGGTAAACGTCTGAGACCTGCATCACTTTGGGCTTTCCTCCCACATTAAGCTGACACGCCGAGATAAAACTGGAATACTGTTAAAAGTGGCGTTAAACCCAACTCACTCACTCACTATATTTCAGCCATATCATAAGGAGAACAATTTATATATGATCAGTAGTAGATTATTGCATTTTGGGATGGAAAAGTATACATTGTTACAGGTTGTCTTTTCCATCACAAACATACATAAACAAACCTCACATCACCAGCCTGTGTCTTCATGTTTTTACCACATCAACAACATCCCTGGCTATTACATATACTTTTGATTCAATTACCTGTAATTCCCATAGACTTTCCAGAAAACTATGGCTGCTGTGGAATAACATTCCTTATAAATATCACAAGGCCTTTGTCTGAACAACAGCTACAAACATCCCATCTTCCCGAGGCAAGGGAGTTAACTGACTGTCAAAGTCCAGTTTCCACCCTTGCTGAACTAGGCTGGAATTTCTGGGTTTGATTGTGTCACCAGTGGCTATTACAAATTATGTCCCTTCTATGTTCCTCCATCTTCCCGAGGCAAGAGCATCCACTAGCCTTTTTATCAAAATCTTGTTTCCACCCTTGCCACATCAAGCCCACTTTTCTGTTCTAAATATGATTGGACCATAGCACATATCGATAGTCCAATCAGAGAACGTTTCACAAAATCAATGTCTGGGTTCTGAAAACATGGCCGCTGTAATAAAGTTTGTCTAATTTGCACTGAAGTTTTTTCAAATATTAAGCGAAGATAAGTAAGTTTTAAATCAATTCGCCCAGGTACTGTGCTTTCAAGCGTACGATGATGAGAACATTAAACACAGCTGGTACACATTCGTATGAAAGTGGTTTATCGCTGCCTGTCCTTGTTGATGCAAATATTTCTTTTCTATCTTTTAAGCCCCTCAACGATTGCCTTTGTCTGCCAGGGGTGAAATTGCGAATGTTTTCGTTATCTGATCGACAAGGTACTTGTCTATGGTAGTCGCCATCTTTGTGAAGCTGTATAAGATAAGAGCAGCGATCTGATTGGGTATCATGTTTTCATTACAAGGGGCACTCGTGATCTATGTGAGGTGGCACCACAACCGAGCCAATATAAGTAGACACGCTTGCCTCAGGGAGGTGATGTCCCTCCTACAATAAACCATATTTGAGCAGATACTAGTACAGTATCTGGATAAGTGCGTCATATAAATGTATAATATGATATCATAATATTTGTTGGGTACAATTAACACATTACACCACAAGGTACAAGAGACCCATGCTTACTCGCACAGTTTGCCACTGCAGGGCCTACTTGCACAAAGCGATCTTAGCGCTAAGATGATCGTAACTCCCATACTTTAACATAGGCTTACAATAGTCGTAGCGCTAAGATTGCTTCGTGCAAATGGGCCCTGCAGGAAGACAGACAACAAAGGCTTACTCACGTAACAACAGCATTGGGATTTTTCTCCACAGCATACAGCTTCTTGATCTTCCTGTCCGCCTGTGACGCTGCTGCAATGGCTGCCCGGACCAGCGGCCCTCGTCCCGCACCAACAACCATAACTATCCTGAAACAGCAGCATAATTCTCAACTCTCCAGACACCATTTACAAATGCTGGTTCATGGCGTTCTGGGCCATTCACAATGGCCCTGTCAGCAAGCTTGTCTACGCGATCTTGTGAGTCACCTCTTACGACAAGCATTCTAACCCCAGGTTTTAAAGGTAGGCTCTGGTACTGACATGATGGTTGATTTGTTGTTTAATGCCGCACTCAGCAATACTCCAGCTTCATGACGTCGGTCTGTAAATAATCGAGTCTGGATCAGACAATCCAGTGATTGACATCATGAGCATCGATCCACGCAATTGGGATACGATGACATGCATCAACCAAGTCAGCGAGCCTGACCACCCAATCCCGTTAGTCGCCTCTTATGACAAGCATGACTTGCTGAAGACCTATTCTACCTTGATCTTCACGGGTACCACTATTCTACCACAGATGTTCATGGGTATGGTACTGATATGGCTGATCTGCACCATCTGTAGTTTTCAGAAAGCAACTATATTTGCAGAATATTATTTTTTAATCATTTACACTAAAATACATATCTTATCAATGTTCCAAACAAAACGTCTCTGGTGGCACACAGACTTTGTGATTTGCAGAGAGCAGAGTGATAATGTCTGACCCTTTTCATTCTAAATACCACGGTGATCTTGGATGTTTTATTCCTAATCACCTCAAATCATCATGAGGTATTTGATACTTACACACTTTTTGTGTCCTTTTCATCTGGTTTTATTTTGTCCAGTAATGCATAATATATTGCCTGAAAAGGAAAACACATACATAAACAATATTACTTATTATTCACATAAATCATATCCCCTTGAATACATTGAGTCAAACGTAAGATAACAGAAACCATCAAGGAATGCATTCAATTTGGTAAAGATAGGAGTTCAAATTAAGAGCTGAAGGTTTTTTCTGGAACTTACTGGTGAATTTAACAGCTTCATTCCACAGTGAAGTTTTCTCCACTTGTTTGCCAATTGCGATCTGACAATATTGTTCTAAAGTCTAAAGTGAGTGTTTGGCCATGTTTGCCTGAATGTTAATGAATGCCTCAGTCAGCAACATAGCCAGCTATATCATTGTGGTAACCAGTGTTAAAAATAGCTGCCTGCCTGCTGGCCAAATGCCAGCGACTTTTAAATTGGGCTGGTAACTTTTCCGTCATTCTATGTCCAAGTTGTTGTCATTTTGTTTTCATTTCGTAGTATATCAGAAACAGGGTTTTTGCTGTACGCTAATTATAACTGATTAGTGATGCGTGTGAAAGTCTAAGATCCACCCAAAACGTCAGACTTATGTAGTGTCTACAGTACCAATCAACTTGTCAGCTTCGCCATTATTTAGCGTAATATTCTCAGGACTATTTTCATAAATATGGCGGCCTCCATAAAGTAGAGCTAGTACCATATGATGGGGACTTGAAACATTTTTTAACAAGCCCTCCTGGCCAGTGAACTTTGGAGTGAGTGAGTGAGTTGGGTTCAACACCGCTTTGAACATTATTCCAGTTATATCACGGCGTGTCAGCTTAATGTGGGAGGAAAGCCCGAAGTGATGCAGGTCTCAGACGTTTTACCACTTCGGTGAAACCCACGAGCACGGGTATGGTGCTGACAAACCTAGAAACATAATCAGGGCAAACCAGCATTCGAACCCACAATCATAGGTTTCTGCCGTGCCAAAGGGATGCAACTCTGCACAGCGAAGCACAGCACCTTAGACGACTGGGCCACCCGTGCCCCCAGTGAACTTTGGAAACTAATTCATACACTAGTGGCAACCAAGTCTGGACAAGGCAAACAAGTGACTGAAAGCATGAGCATGTCCTTCACAATTGTGGTATGATGAACACTCACTCATCCAAGTCCCAGAGCCTGACGACCCCATCCAGGATAGTCGACCCCCATGACAAGCACACCAAAATGTCACTAGTGAGTGAGTGAGTCGGGTTTTCTCTGCTTTAGCAAAATTCAACAGTATCACCATTTAGGACACCAAGAATGGGCTTCACACACATTATACCAATGTGTGGGTAAAACCAAGGGCCTTCGTTGTGATGAGCAAACGCTTTAACCATTCACAGCAAATAGACTTACGGAACGTTTTACAAGTATACCCTGTATGGCATTATGTCTTACCTTTTGATATTGCGAGTATTTTATCGGGTCTTTCTCGAAGATCTCATATGTTTGAGATTCCAGGTTGTCCATCAGTGGCTGCAAAACACAGGGAGTGAGAAAATATATTTCATACAGCAATCTGAAGCTATATCAAGGCAGCCTTGACACTCTGCCAGCAAAGTCACAGTGTGACTACCTGACCCATTCTGACCTAGAAACCACATTTCATTTTGGTTTGTTGTTTATCGCCACATTCAGCAATATTCCAGCTATATGACGGCGGTCTGTAAATAATCGAGTCTGGACCAGACAATCCAGTGATTAATATCATGAGCATTGATCCACGGAATTGGGATCGATGACATGCATCGACCAAGTCAGAGAGCCTGACCACCCGATCCGGTTAGTTGCCTTTTTCGGCAAGCATGGGTTGCTGAAGACCTATTCTACCCAGGAATCTTCACGGACAGAGTATCAGTGAAGTGGGGTGCTTCCATCTCAAAACTCTGGGAGTGTTATACTTCTGACATAATCTCATCAAAATTGGACCTTTAAATCTGATACTTCTCTGCATTAAGACCTGAGGACACCTTCATAGGTTGCGCGTCAGGTGAATCCTGAGCGAACTTTGACATCTTAATCTAATTGAATGCGTGGGTTCTTGAGCCAATCACACTGAAGCACATGTAACACAAGTGGTGTCTCCTAGGTCAAGTGACTTTGTTCGAATGTGGGCCTCTGTTCACCAAGCATTGAATGGGTACCCAGTAGGATGAGATTGCAATGTGGTTGTTAACCTTCCAGCGGTTGTTAACAAGTAGCTTGGGTTGTCTACTCCCCAGGGAGCTGAGAATGATTCTTGAGTGCACATTGATCCAGTGACCAGGGTAATAATAGCCTTTTGAGCATGACCCCCGAAATACGGAAATATGCGCAATATAAATAGCCTATTATTATTATTATGTCAGCTTTCTCAAACAATTCAGTCTCACCTCGATTTTGAATTTTGATTTTTACAAAAGAAAACTCACACAGTGACAGAATACGAAACATAATAATGTCATTATATTGTTTATTCAGAACAAGTTGATTAACTTTGTAACCTTGATCTGTTTAACCTAAAATGAACACAAATTATTCACAAATGATGATTCCCCTTCAAATTTGATTGACAAAATGGCGGAATTGAAAAAAAGTGATTTTCCTCTCACGTTATATCCCCTACAAAATGGCAGCCACTGACCATGCTGTGTAATATTTACTTAAGTAAGCAGAAAGTAGGATCTGCAGGTAAATCAGTGTCAAACACTATCGCTCCCAATATACCACAATACATATCGCAATACAGATAGATGCCTGTATCGCAGTATACAATCTTCTTTGGAAGTGTCCTCAGATCCTCACACTGTAACATCGTATCAGAAAAAAAAAAGTCTGACACATCATGGCTGCCCACAGGGCCCAGACCTCAACAAGTCTATTTACAATGGTGAGGTGAAATCGTGTTTAACGTCGCGTCCAAGATTATTGCACTTATATAACGACGTGTGTGTGGCTGCTTGTACTAGTCCGGACTGATTCGATTTATAGTGCTAGCACACTGAGATACCATGCTGCAGTTTAACATGAATACCCCACTCAGACACAGTATACTGACTCCGAGCCCCTTAATGCCGAGTGCCAGACAGGGTAACAACAAGTACCATCTTTTAACGTCTTTTGGTATGACGCGGCTGGGGATCGAACCCTGGACCTTCCGCTCTCCGGGTGGACGCTCTACCATTAGACCACGGAGGCGGTCCTCTTTACAATGTCTTCAACAGCCAGTATGGGGTACCGATTTGTAATTTCCCCTTTTTGTTTCAGAAATAGAAGGACGGTTCCTTGCTGATGCCATGCCAAGGTTATTTCTAATTTCCAACTTACCTGTAGAGGAGACTGTAGGTAGTCTTCATAGCCCCTGGCGAACTGGCTGATGGCGTCTGGCGGAGTCTGGTTCTGTACATAAACAAAGTCATCAGGTTCACCGCACCAGCAATTAAATCATGTTAATTATCATTATCATAATACTTTGGTGAGTCTGGGACTCGAACAACAAGCTGATCCTGGCCAAACTAAGGGACATAAGTATGTACAGCCACTAACAGACACATATAGACATGAAACAAGAACATTTATTGTAATCCGGTTCAAATTACACAAGTCATGATAAACAGTGCACTGAACATAATATGAACAGCACAAAACATGGAACATGACACCTGCAGCATGGTACATGACACCTACAGCATGGTACATGACACCTACAGCATTGTACATGACACCTGCAGCATTGTACATGACACCTGCAGCATGGAACATGACACCTGCAGCATGGTACATGACACCTACAGCATGGTACATGACACCTACAGCATGGTACATGACACCTGCGACATGGTACATGACACCTACAGCATGGTACATGACACCTGCGACATGGTATATGACACCTACAGCATGGTACATGACACCTACAGCATGGTACATGACACCTACAGCATGGTACATGTCACCTACAGCATAGCATGGTACATGACACCTACAGCATGGTACATGTCACCTACAGCATGGTACATGTCACCTACAGCATGGTACAAAACATGGTACATGAAGTGTCCTGACCTGCCAGAGATGGTCCAGATACTGCTGGTACGCCCTGATGCCCTTGTCTGGGTGTCGGTCCACGCCGGTCAGAATCAGCTGCGCATCCAACTGACAACATTCAACTCAAGTTCATACACCAGCATCCAAAAACATTCCATGACTGCAAACACCAGTCGAAATATGCGAGGCTGTCTGTGAGCTACAAAGTTTCAATTACTCGTCATCATAAGGTATAATTGCATACGTTTGCGGATATTCACGTTTGATTGTATTTTGTACATAAATTACAAAAATGAATTGATGTGAAGTTAAGATGTAATTCAAGGTCTTTCCAAGTCATGTTTTGTTTGTTTGTTTGTTTGTTTGTTGTTAAACGCCACACACAGCAATATTCCAGCTATATGACGGTGGTCTGTAAATAGAGTCTGGACCAGACAATCCAACGATAGACATCCTGAACATCGATCTGCGCAACTGGGATACGATGCCATACATCAATCAACCCAGTGAGCCTGACAACCCGATCCTGTAGGTCGCCTTTTACGGCAAGCATGGGTTGCTGAAGACCTATTCTAACACGGATCTTCATGGGTTCATGTCATGGTTATTTTAAAGGCCTTTTCAAGGCAAATGTCTATTAAGGCCTTTTCAAGCCATGTTCCCACCCTAAAATCGTAATGAATGGTTTCCTGGATCCTGTTTCACAATACTCTCGTTATACGTCATGAATGTCAAGCCACAGCACCGGTTAAGTCTTATTGCATCAGAAGGGCTACAATTGTTTTTGAGAAATGGGGCCCTGAGGTTTAAAGATATTTGTATCACTGTACCCTAAACAGCCTCCTAAGAAAACCCTGGTGGGCTTTGGAGAGAACTGGGTAGCCTTTCTTGTTGGTGAGGAACAGGTTTGTGGATATGGTGACTGTCTTGATGGGTTCGGACAGCCATCTCTCCAGCACACTCTCACAAGGCAGATCAGCAGTCATCTCGAGACAAACGCCGAGTCTCTTGTTGCAGTCACACAGCGTACGAAACAGATGCCACCTAGAGGATACACAAGTAAATAGCTGGTGATGACATGGGTTTATCTCGGACAACGAAGTAAGTGCCCTCATGAGGCAAATTGGAGAATGAAGAAAATGGTTAGGGAGTCTTACAGCCCCCTCTGTGGTGGCAGGGTAAAAAGGTGTCTTACAACCCACTCTGTGGTGGCAGGGGTAACAAGGTGTCTTACAACCCACTCTGTGGTGGCAGGGTAACAAGGTGTCTTACAGCCCACTCTGTGGTGGCAGGGGTAACAAGGTGTCTTACAACCCACTCTGTGGTGGCAGGGGTAACAAGGTGTCTTACAGCACACTCTGTGGTGGCAGGGTAAAAAGGTGTCTTACAACCCACTCTGTGGTGGCAGGGGTAACAATGTGTCTTACAGCCCACTCTGTGGTGGCAGGGGTAACAAGGTGTCTTACAGCCCACTCTGTGGTGGCAGGGGTAACAAGGTGTCTTACAGCCCACTCTGTGGTGGCAGGGGTAACAAGGTGTCTTACAGCACACTCTGTGGTGGCAGGGTAACAATGTGTCTTACAGCCCACTCTGTGGTGGCAGGGGAAACAAGGTGTCTTACAGCCAACTCTGTGGTGGCAGGGGTAACAAGGTGTCTTACAGTCCACTCTGTGGTGTCAGGGTAACAATGTGTCTTACAGCCAACTCTGTGGTGGCAGGGGAAACAAGGTGTCTTACAACCCACTCTGTGGTGGCAGGGGTAACAAGGTGTCTTACAGCCCACTCTGTGGTGGCAGGGGTAACAAGGTGTCTTACAACCCACTCTGTGGTGGCAGGGGTAACAACGTGTCTTACAGCCAACTCTGTGGTGGCAGGGGTAACAAGGTGTCTTACAGCCCACTCTGTGGTGGCAGGGGTAACAATGTGTCTTACAGCCCACTCTGTGGTGGCAGGGGTAACAAGGTGTCTTACAGCCCACTCTGTGGTGGCAGGGGTAACAAGGTGTCTTACAGCCCACTCTGTGGTGGCAGGGGTAACAAGGTGTCTTACAGCACACTCTGTGGTGGCAGGGTAACAATGTGTCTTACAGCCCACTCTGTGGTGGCAGGGGTAACAAGGTGTCTTACAGCCAACTCTGTGGTGGCAGGGGTAACAAGGTGTCTTACAGTCCAATCTGTGGTGTCAGGGTAACAATGTGTCTTACAGCCAACTCTGTGGTGGCAGGGGAAACAAGGTGTCTTACAACCCACTCTGTGGTGGCAGGGGTAACAAGGTGTCTTACAGCCCACTCTGTGGTGGCAGGGGTAACAAGGTGTCTTACAACCCACTCTGTGGTGGCAGGGGTAGCAAGGTGTCTTACAGCCCACTCTGTGGTGGCAGGGGTAACAAGGTGTCTTACAACCCACTCTGTTGTGTCAGGGGTAACAAGGTGTCTTACAGCCCACTCTGTGGTGGCAGGGGTAACAAGGTGTCTTACCATTCCCATGTGTCTTCTGTTGGGGAGTCTCCACTATCCAGTCCCTCGATCACCTCATCTCTCTGGTCCCATGGAGCGACGAGGGGCACCTGCACCCAGAACTGCTGCAACACGGACAATACACAATTACCCTACTGTAACAACACCATTGACTTCCTTTTCAGTGCTCAACACATTGTTTGATGAAACAGCAAGATAAGACAAAGACTGCAGTGTCAAATCTTGTCAAATCTTGTATAATCAACAGTATAATATCCTCATTCATTCATCCTTTATGTTAGCTGTCCTGTCACTACTGGGGTCAGTGTGTACAGCAGAAATGAGCAGTAGTTTTGAAGGATTGCAATTTTTTTCTCCCAAACTAGTACTGGATTTCATTTTCTAAAATATTATAAACACAGCTCGATCTCTAAAGTTCTTATCTTAAACTGGCCTCTCGACCCATCATGATCATGATAGTAACCCTTCCTCAGTCAGTGCAAGTTCAACTAATGTATAATACAAAGGGCAGAGTTAGTTCTATACCACAAGCTGTGGGCCGTGTGGTTCATACACTACCTTGAACAACTCAATCGCATTGAAATCAGATCTTAGATTTCGCTACCGATAAACAAAGACATGAGGACATCCCATTACGGGTCACCTTGCGCGAACTTTGACCGACCAATGAAATGACTGACAAGAAATCGACATTAGCCAATCAGAAGGCTGCTTTCTCAAGCTTTACTATACCAGTTTCAAACTGGCAACAACGCTTCGAAACATATTTTGATGTATTCTCGATTAAAGATTTTAAACTGATCAAAAGAACATTATGGAATGGCTTATGAAGGGCCTAGATGTATGGATATAATCATAAAACCCGTAACTGTCGTTCAGAATACCCTCTGTTGAATATTTTGGGGTTGCATGATTAGAAAACACTTGCATGATCTGGTAAGCGATGCTCTGATTGGTTGGATGAAAGGTCGTTCTGACGTGACCCGTAATGGGATGTCCACAGATCTTTGTTTAGCGGTAGCGAGAACTAGAAGCTTGTGGTACCTGCTGGAAGTAGCTGCCGAGCATATGTTCGTTGAGGCAGCGGGCCAGGTTGAGGATGCTCCGACTCTTCAGCGGCACCATGATGGCCGGCATCCCCAGGTGAGCTGCATACTTCAGCTCCTGCCTCAGAGCCTGGCAACAGAGTGAGTGAGTGAGTGGGTGGGTGGGTGGGTGGGTGAGTGAGTGAGTGAGTGAGTGAGTGAGTGAGTGAGTGAGTGAGTGAGTGAGTGAGTGAGTGAGTGAGTGAGTGAGTGAGTGAGTGAGTGAGTGAGTGAGTGTTCTTTAACGCCTTACTCAGCAATATTCCAGCTATATGATGGCGGTCTGTAAAATAATCAAGTCTGGACCAGACAATCCAGTGATTGATATCATGAGCATCGATCAACCCAATTGGGATGGATGACATGCATCAAACAAGTCAGCGAGTCTGACTGCCCGATCCCGTTAGTCGCCTTTTACGACAAGCATAGTCGCCTTCTACAGCAAGCATGGGTTGCTGAAGACCTATTCTACCCTGGATCTTCACGGGTCGAGTGAGTGAGTGAGTGAGTGAGTGAGTGAGTGAGTGAGTGAGTGAGATGGGTTTAACACCACTTTCAACAGCATTTCAGTAATATCACTGTGTGTCAGCTTAATGTGGAAGGAAGGCCTGAAGTGATGCAGGTCTCACTTTGGTGTAACCCTCAAGCAAAGGTATGGTGCTAACAAACCTAGAAACATAATGGGGCAAATCGGGATTCGAACTACCATCATAGGATTCTGCTGTGGCCAAGGGACACAACTCCACACAACGAATTGTGATGCCTTATTCGACTGGGCCACCCTGGCAACAGAGAGAGAACGGCTTGGCTATGCTATTCCAAAGCTTGTCGGCTCTTACACAGAGGGGAGCGGAGGGGTAGCCTAGTGGTCAAAGCGTTCTCTTATCACGTGGAAGACCCAGGTTCGATTCCCCACATGGGTACAATGTGTGAAGCCCATTTCTGGTGTTCCCCACTGTGATATTGCTGGAATATTGCTAAAAGCAGCGTAAAACACTACTCACTCACTTACACCGAGTGTAATGGAGCCTACTGGTAAACAGTTGTAATGATGCATTTGTGAAATGCGAGCTCAGTGACGCCAACCATTATAACTTTGAAGTGTGTGTGTGTGTGTGCGTGCGTACGATTTATAGTGCCAGTTCACTGTGATACCATGCCGCAGTTTAACACGAATACCCCTCTCAGACACAGTATACTGACTCCGTGCCAACCAGTCCTTGTTTTAGCCCCTTAAAGCCGGGCGCCAGACAGGGTAACAACAAGTACCATCTTTTAACGTCTTTTGGTATGATGCAACCGGGCATCGAACCCTGGACCTTCTGCTCTCCGGGCAGACGCTCTACCACTAGACCACGGAGGCAGTCAGTTTGAGTGAAAAAATGCAATGGAAAAGATGATTTAATTTCACCCAAACCATACAGTTAATGATGCTATTGATGATTACTGATTCTACTACAATGAGGCCAAAGAAGACATGTTTTTTTCATATGACCATAGTCTTCTCTCAAGGCCATGACAGATTAACTACAGTCAAATGCAAAAATCTTGTGTTCTTTAACTTCTTTTTAGCAGTATACTTTACACCCAAATTATCCCAGATCTTCCTTCTTGCCTGAATAGCACAAAAGTACAAGGATTGATCAAGGCGCTCTCCAAGGCTTATATTCAGCCTAAAGTAAATGGACAAATGTTGGTAACATTCCCAAATTAGAATTAAAACATTTCCAATTCAGCTTATCACAGTTATTTGGCATGTAAACAAAAGATATCTTGTAAACAAAAGATAACTTCTCCAATATTCAGTCAAAGGCTTTATTACTCAGTACACTACCTTGAATGTTTAAAGGCCTCTGAATTTAAGAAAACAAAATCTCTGGAAATATTCCCAATTTTGTTTGTTTGTTTGTTGTTTAATGCCGCACTCAGACAATCCAGTGATTGATATCATGAGCATCCATCCATGCAATTGGGATCGATGACATGCATCAACCAAGTCAACCAGCAAGTCTGACCTCCCGATCCCGTTACTCGCCTCTTACCACAAGCATAATCACCTTTTATGGCAAGCATGGATTGCTGAAGACCTATTCTTCCCCATATCTTCACGGGTTATTCCCAATTTTGGATAAGATAATGCTTTCTAAATATTTGGCCCTGAACAATCATTGTCTGCTTATCGTAATGCTTGATAAATGACTTACTGCATCAGAATTCTTCCTCACAGTGTCGATTTTGGAATCATTCTGTAACCATGGTGATACTTTCCCAACAATAAGGCTGCTCCAGTCTGGAAGAAGACAAAAACATCCATCAGTACTGTAACCATCATACACCAAATAGGAAAAATGAATTACACTTTACTTTTTACATACCTTCTTTAATCTAAACAAATTTATGACATCGACACTAACAATATCTTTCAAAAATAATGTACACAAAATATTCAAATTAGTTTAGAGAAGAAACAAGATACAATGATTTCTGATTATGTATTTCAAAGGAACTAACTCAAACCATGGCAACATGGAGTGAGTGAGTGAGTAAGCTTTTACACGGCTTTCAGCAACATTCCAGTAATAGCATGGCGGAACACCTAAAATGGGCTTCCTACATTGTACCATTGTTGGAAATTGAACCCAGCCTTCAGAATGATGAGCGAACATGTTAACCACAAATCTACCCAACCACCCCTGGAGTGAGTGAGTGAGTAAGTGAGTGATTTTGGTTTTACGCCGAATTTAGCAATATTCCAGCAATATCCCGGCGAGGGACACCAGACATGGGCTTCACACATTGAACCCATGTCGGGAATCGTTGGTTGGTTGGTTTGTTGTTTAACGCCTCACTCGGCAATATTCCAGCTGTATGACGGCGGTCTGTAAATAATCGAGTCTGGACCGGGAATCCAGTGATTAATATCATGAGCATCGATCCACGCAATTGGGATTGATGACATGTATCAACCAAGTCAGCGAGCCTGACCACCCAATCCCGTTAGTCGCCTATTACAACAAGCATAGTCGCCGTTTAAGGCAATTATCGGTTGCTGAAGACCTATTCTACCCCGGAATCTTCACGGGTCTGTCGGGAATCGAACCCGGGTCTCCAGCGCCCCTGGAGGAGGGGACAGCTATCTGTATATTCCCACATGATGACCTGCTCTGATTTCAGGGATGAATACGTCCCCAGCACCCCAAGCTTGTCCTATGTATCAACTAAAGATGGTCAGGTGGTCAGACTTAGGACTTGGCTAATTTGACAAGGAATCATATAGAGGTATGGAGCACCCACTTTTGACAAATCTATCAATACATCTGTGTGCACCAGTTGGTCCCCATTACATCATGGCAAATATTGAATCGCATAGTCAGATTCTGAAAGCCTGATTGTGTGTCATCATACTCGCTGTGCAGAGTTGCATCCCTTTGGGCATGCCAACCAATGATCATGGATTCAAAACTCGGTTGCCCAGATTATGTTTCTAGGTTTGTCAGCACCATACCCATGCTCGTGGGTTTTACCAAATTGGTAAATGTCTAAGATCTGCAAAACTCCCGGCTTCCCTCTAACATCAAGTGGACATGCCATAATATAACTGGAATACTGTTCAAAGCAGCATTAAAAACCCAACTCACTCACTCACCCATCCCTCACTAAGATTCTTACCTTGACTGGAGACCACCATATCAGATCGGGTAAGCGCACCAGGTCTATTCTTGGCAGGGCCATTCATAAACTCTCGCCGATAACGAGGATTTACAAGTGGCAGGCATACAAAATCAAACCTGTAAAAAGATATTTGGATAATATACTGAACTAGTCTCCATTTTATTGGAAAAAATGTTATTAATGTCTTACAATATGTTAAATAATAAAACAAACTGAAACATCATAAATATAAAACAGCAATTTAGTACATGGTTTCCAAGGAGATGTAAAAATTGAAACGACAGGCTCCACACGCCTCCGCTTTATAGAAACATGGCCTATTACATGAGCATTATTATCCCCAGTCATACTAGCCAGTCTAGTCTGACACTATATTATCACGGCATCAGAAATTTTGTTATCCATAACCCATGTCGACTGTTTACTTATTTCATTGCTGCACTCCTGGAATGAGATGGCTACTCGTAAGTAAACCTACTAACTACTTGATAACAGTTCCAGGAATGTTTTGGAAGTGGCATTATCCCTACCTCCATTTCAAAATGGTTAGAAAAGAATCCATTTGTTTGGACGATGTTCGTATGCATATTGATTATGCATGATTTGCAACAGGAAGTGATGTAAAGCATATATTCAACACGCATCACACCACAATAGTGGGATCACATTAATATAGAGTTGTCCCCTCCTTCAGTTGCTATTGGCAGATAGTTTGTTTGATCAATCCGATCTGATATGTCATAAAAGTTGGAACAAATAACAGGAAACAATTTGTGTATAACATAAGACCATTATAAATTAACTACCGCGGTTATGAAGCGTACCATGCTACTTCTTAAGTGAAAGCAAAAACATTCTGAAACTCAGGGCTTTAACTAGGCACTCCGGGACATGTAAGAGGCTGATTTCTCAATTCAGGGACCATCTCTGTGGTCTAGTGGATACACAGTGCCTGGCGCTCGGTATAAAAGTGGCTACAACAAGGACTTGTCGGCTCAGGATTGGTATATTGGTATCTGAGTGGGGTATTTATGTTAAACTGCGACATGGTATCTCAGTGGGTTAGCCCTATACAATTTGGCATAAGTCCAAATTGTACAAGCAGACACACACACAAACACACACACACACAGACACACACACACACACACACACACACACACACACACACACACACACACACACATGCATGCATGTCGTTATAAAAGTGTAACAATCCTCGAATGCAACTTTAGAAACTATTTCACATCACCTCGCTTCAATTCAGGTTTTCCTTATGTCAAAATCTTTGGCTTTGCAGCAGTTACATTACCACAAAATCTGTTTTCATGTTTCATTCCTTTTTTTTTTAACAGAATAAAAACTTTTTGTAGATAGGAAGCAGAAAGTGGTACTGGTAGTCAATTTCTGAGAAACCCAGAGCAGAAGTTTTGGGCAGACAAACCAGTATTATAATCAGGGCTGGGGATAGAAAAATCAATCAGCGGATCCTGGTGGAACAATGGTATACAACCATGCAAAACAATTTGCAACGACTTGAACCATTGGGCCACATCATCCACTTATTATTATGATTGAATCCCATAACCATGAAAACACGTACGACACTGAACAAAATCACTACATTTCTGAATGTTTGCTGGATTCTGAGGAGCTGACATCTACAGACAGAAAGTGGTAGGTATATATAATTGAACAACGTAAGTCACGACAATGAATCTTATCCTATCTTCTGCGCAACAATTAAATGACATCGTACTCACGAAAATAGGGGTCACAAATGCATAGAGTTTCTGCTGGAGGAACCAACGACTATAAATTACGACAAATCATATTTCTCTCCATCCACATCTACTTACCCGGATTTGCATGCTGTGTCAAGGGCTGTATTTATGTCTGGAACGCAGTGGAAATCTCTACCACACGAAAGACGTGCACACATTTTTGGCATTTTCTTTCCCACACTCAAGACTATCTATAGTGCGGTACTGGTAAATATTTATCTCAAGCTTGTGCGACAATAAAATAAATCATATATTTCGAAGTCAGTAAAATATTCACTGTGGACCATTCGCTGCCATTCAATTGATATTCTGAGTGTGGTAAGGCTTTTTTTCCTTTATAAAGAGGGAAACATTAACTGCTGAATTGAAAAATGTCAGCGCCCATGAAACACATGTATTGCTAGGCAGAGTGGCAAAACGCGGGAATGTTTAAAAATGTTCGGGCGAAAGCGTAGAAATTTGGAGATCTAGATCTACATGAGCATCATACATCAAACAAATATTTGCAATGTCTGAAATTAAGAGTAGAAAAAACATTCCAGTTCTCATTGTTGAGGATCATCATGAGGTTTGCAACTGGTTAATATTCACTCTTTGCGTTATAATGTGCTAGTTAATGATAGACATCATCGCTTTATTGTAAGTGAAGCGTGAAGTAGTTACTGTATATCCTCTATTTGACGCCTGGTTCTACTAAAGCCGGGGTCCATCATTTGATGAAATTTATTTTCCCTGCTACATTAACTTTCAGCATGTAGATCTAATGATTACCGTATTCGACGTAATAAGTGCCTCGCTCTAATAAGCACCCGATATTTGCTTATATATTGGCTAGTGAACAATCCCAATTAGCACCCCTTCTGATTGATCGATGTACACAAGACTTATTTATTCGCGTATAATACGCACTCGTGTGTTATATGCACCCTTAATTATGGGCAATTAAATTCTGGAAAAATATATCTGTCGTATATAAACATTTCAGGCTGTCAGCATAAACCACGACAGTTACGATCTTTCAACACCAAAATAATATTCTAATAAGAGCCCACTATTTCTCATTTTGAGAGCGCCCTGGGCGCTTATTACGTCGAAAATGGTATACTCCTTTCACTTTATAGTGACCGTTTCCTGCAATTGTATCCATTGTATGACTGTAGAATTTGGTAAAGTAGTTAGTTACCAATGTTCCTTGAATAAAGCGCCAGGACGTCGACCATTCTGAAGCATTTTATCCTCGAGCTTGCCCATTTCCCGAGAGAACGGGAGTCATACAACTGAGGCAATTACTATTGTAATCTCGTCTTTGATAAAAACTGGCTGCTAATCAAATCAATCTGGCAATTACTATTTTGTAATTCATCTGTAAGAAAAACACACAAGCTTTCTCTTCAATTCACCTCCAATAAAAACATGGCAGAATCCTTTTTTCTTCTGCACAGCGCATGGGTTGTTGGCTTTTTGCTGTGCGGAGCTCTATTGTTTTGGTTTGAGAATTGAATCGTGCATAAACTAGAGGTGTGACATTACACTCAGAAATCATTTCATGCATGAGTTAAGGACATCCAGAACCGTAGACCCTTATGCCCTTTAAACAGATTAGAGGCCGGGTCAACGGCTTGTGTGAAATTAATAGATGTCTAGGCATCTAATTGAGGATATGTGGTAAACAATTTCTTGTAATTTCATGATTTTACAAGCTCTTTAGATTCCCAATGACTTCCTTTCCACGTTTGAATTGTTATTTTCCTGTCAACTATATTCACAATTGTATTGTTTCCTTTCATTTTAAAATATGTTCAAGAATAATTCAGTATTGTTCATTCTAAGGGAGCCGTGAAGATCCGGGGTAGTGTAGGTCTTCAGCAACCTATGCTTGCCGTAAAAGGTGACTTTGCTTGTCGTAGGGGCGACTGACGGGATCGGGTGGTCAGACTTGCTGACTTGGTTGATGCATGTCATCGTATCCCAATTGCATGGATTGATGCTCACGATGTCAATCACTGGATTGTTTGGTGCAGATGCGATTATTTACAGACTGCTGTCATATAGCTGGAATATTGCTGAGTGTGGCGTTAAACAAAAAACAAGCAAATCTTTTTCAAGGATGGATTCTTTTTATTATGTTTAAATTTCAGGTTGTTCCCCACATTCATCGAAATATTGGATCGAAACACCTCCCATTCAGTGACCTAACCTTGGTCCATTTTGATTCTCATCCTGATATGCTCATCCCTGTCGACATGCAGGCTGACACAGTCTTCGACAAGACAGCACTATATGAGTAAGCAGCTCTTTCAATTCTTATACTGAAGTTTACTTCTCTACTGATTGCACAGATGGCCCTGTCATCTATGGTGCTGCAATGACTCTGTGCAGAGAAGCATCTGCTAGGCATGCCATGGTTTGAATCCCGGTTCGCCCCGATTCTGTTTCTAGGTTTGTCAGCACTATAACTGATGCAGGTCTCAGACATTTACCACTTCAGTGAAACCCACGAGCAAGGGTATGGTGCTGACAAACCTAGAAACAGAATCGTGGCAAACCGGGATTCGAACCCACAATCATAGGTTTTGACATGTCCAATGGACGCAACTCTGCACAGCGAATCGCTGCGCCTCAGATGACTGGGCCACCCGTGGCCCCTCCTTGATGAGTAAAATACTGGATTTCAGTATTTGACGACCGTAGGACTTTATTTTTTTAAATGGAAATAAAACCAACATGTGGTATACTTTAGGATGAAGCAGGGGGTGCCTGAGAACCAAGACTATTATTTTTTTTAACCTTATTTGTGTTACAGTGCTTTGAGTATAGAGAACTGGATCCTACCACTAGTGCATGCCGGCCACATCAAGGACATCTACTGGTTGAAACCACCCTGGTGTACTCAGATACAAGACAAACATGTCACATTTTATGTCGGCAAATGTTGTAACACTGGAACCATCAGGTGTGTAGCCACTCGTAAAGACCCGGGATAGAAATAGAGTTTCTCACCCGAGTGTCAAATATATCAACACGAGTTGATAAAAGTCGGAAAACTCCGAGGCTTGCCGTAACCATGGTAACCAATGACGTCACAATGGTCGCAAAGCATTGTGATGCAATTTCATTGCAGCGATATCTACGGTGTAGATATCGCTTGATCTCACCCAAGCGATATCTCCTGTGAGAGCCAGTTTTGGATGATAAACAGTTTTCAGCAACCCATGCTTGTTGTAAGAGGCGACTATACTTGTCATAAGAGGCAACTAACATTTTTTGTTTTGGTTGGTTGGTTTGTTGTTTAACGCCGCACTCCGCAATATTCCAGCTATATGGCGGCGGTCTGTAAATAATCGAGTCTGGACCAGACAATCCAGTGACTGACGTCCTGAGCATCGATCCACGCAATTGGGATTGATGACATGTATCAACCAAGTCAGCAAGCCTGACCACCCGATCCCGTTAGTCGCCTTTTACGACAAGCATAGTCACCTTCAACTAACAGAATCAGGTGGTCAGACTCGCTGACTTGTTTGATGCATGTCATCGTATCCCAATTGTATAAATTGATTCTCATGATAACAATCACTGGATTGTATGGTCCAGACTTGATTATTTACTTGAGTGTGGTGTTAAACAACAACAAACAAACAAACAAACAAGGAAGGTAGCCATTGAATAGGGAGTTAATGGTGTGAAATGTCCATAACCCAATGATTGACTAAAACAGAGATTAAGCCGTGATTATGTAGACCTGCTCAGGGGCCGATATTCAGACAACCAAGTGATTGACATCATGAGCATCGATCCAGGCAATTGTGATACGATGACATGCATCAACCAAGTCAGCAAGCCTGACCACCTAATCCCGTTAGCTGTCTCTTACGACAAGCACAGTCGCCTTTTATGACAAGCATGGGTTGCTGAAGACCTATTCTACCCCGGATCTTCACGGGTCCCAATAGGAAGAGGATGCAAAGCTTACTGGTAGTTTTATGTTTTTGCATTGAAGACAAACTCAAAATACAATGTTAAAACACCTCTGAATTAAAGAAAATATGAAATAAAGACTTTTTCCTCCAATTTTTATGCCAGGGCCACTTAGCATAAATCCCTGTTAAATCACTACATTGAATGTTTATTGTGGGACGTATGGGGCAGTATGTGTGCCCAATGCCTCATTCTTGCCATATTCAAATAGTGCCCCTTGCAATGTCCATTCTTACACCTATCAGTGCTAATTACCCCCCCCCCCCCCATTTGCCCAGTGTCCATTACATTTCAGGCTATCAGCATAAACCACGAAATTTACGATCTTTCAACTCTGTTGTTTTTCACCAAAATAATATTCTAATAAGAGCCCCCTATTTCTAACTTTGAGAGCGCCCTGGGCACTTATTATGTCGAATACGGTAAGTGTTGGCTTCCATTGTCTATTGCTAATCACCTATCAGCGGCATTCATTCACCTGATGAAGGAGTAAGCAAATACTCCGAAACGTTGTGTTCCTCAGAATAAAGAAGTTGACATCCATATATTCTCTTCCTTATTTTAATCACTTCTAAATGCCTTTCAAATACCTATTCAAATATTACTTGGATTATGAGTTATATATGTCACAAGCAAGGTGTACAAGATGTTATGGGATGGATTTACACTACAAGGTGAAAGGTCAAGAGTGTACACGAAAGTCCAGCTTGCATACAATCTCATCGGGATAATTACTGTTGTGAAAGCAACAAGTATTCATTTCTGCCAGACACGAGTTTGGTCTCTTTATTTGGTTGTGCTTCCTGTTTGCAAATGAAATTGTATATTTTTATATTTCTGAGCTGTCAAGAAAAGAGTGGGTAAGTAAAAAAACATTAAAATTGTGTCTTCTTACCACCTTGCAGAACCACATGCACAGAGAGCTACTTTGTGAGCGAGACGCTTTATGTTCCTGAAGCTGAACTAGTGGAGAAGAAACTAGTATCACTAACTGTCATCACCGTTGTCCCTGAAAAGTGGTCAAATGTTGCCACGGTAACAGAAACTTCACAAGTTAGAGTGAACATTGTATCAGGAGAAACCGAGTCTGGTATCCTGGATAAGAGTCAATCTCAAGATGTGAAGACGAAGACCGAGGATGAATGCAGTAATTCGCCAACATCACCCAAACGGAGAAAGACTGACGAGCTTTTAAATGATTACACTGATAAAAATAAATGCTCGGAACTAAACAAATCTTTATATTCTTGCCTAAAGGAACTTGCAGAAAGACTAGACAGTAAACATTTTATTCTGGATATTGATTTAGACTTCTACTCCACCAAGAATCCATTCCAGGGAATGTACACATCACAACAGATGGCCTTGCTGAAGAGACTGTACAGGTATTCGGGCCCCGAGGAGGACTCCAGACAGGTTTGTGGCGTTGGCAATACTTTATTGATTTGTGTACACTGCTTTCCTCACAATCTCATTGACCGCCTCCGTGGTCTAATGGTAGAACGTCCGCCCGGAGAGCGGAAGGTCCGGGGTTCGATCCCCAGCCGCGTCATACCAAAAGATGTTAAAATATGGTACTTGTTGTTACCCTGTCTGGCGCTCGGCATTAAGGGGCTAAAACAAGGACTGGTCGGCTCGGAGTCAGTATACTGTGTCTGGGTGGGGTATTCGTATGAAACTGCGGCATGGTATCTCAGTGGTCTAGCACTATAAATCGGCATCAGTCCGGACTAGTACAAGCAGCCACACACACATATACACGTGCATGCACGCTGCTATATAAGTGCAATAATCTTGGACGCAACGTTAAACCCCATTTCACCTCACCTCACAGTCTCATTAAAATCAGATCTTAGTTCTCGCTACCGCTAAACAAAGATCTGAGGACATCCCATTAGGGGTCACGTCAGAACGACCTTTCATCCGACCAATCAGAGCGTCACTTACCAGATCATGAAAGTGACAGTCGGAATGTGATTTCTTATCATGCGACCTCGAAAACTTTAACACGGGGTATTCCGAACGATAGTTACTGGTTTAACGACTGAATCCATACAGTCTAGACCATATATTTGCCATTCCAGAATGTTCTTTTGTTCAGGTTTCAAATTTTTAATCGAGAATTTGTCAAAATATGTTTCGAAGCGTAGTCGCCAATTTGAATTTTGTGCCATAAAGCACGAGAAAGTTGCCTTCTGATTGGCTAATGTCGACTTCTTGTCAGTCCTTCATTTGGTCGGTCAAAATTCGCGGAAGGTCGGTCTGACGTGACCTGTAATGGGATGTCCTCAGATCTTTGTTTAGCAATAGCGAGAACTAAGATCTGATTTTAGTGAGATTGCTTTCCTCAAGACCGCCTCATGGTTAATAAAAAATAAAAGATGGAGTTTGGTGTTATCCATCTTCCCGAGGCAAAGGAGTTAACTGACTATAAAAGTCCAGTTTCCACCCTTGCCGAACTAGGCTGGTATTATGGAGTTACGTTTTGTTTTGTTTTTGTATGCATAGTCCAATCAAAATCTCGCACTGAAATCAAAATCCGGTTCGTAAACTGTCGTGCAGATTTCGATTGATTGCAGGGTTTGCAAAGCATATGCATCGCCAATTCGTTGTCAGCAGATATTCTCCAAATCCTTTCATGTTTTTAATCAAGGTGCTCACGTGATTTGATGCATTTCGCGATGTAAGACCTGTTTTATCACAATATAGATCTTGATTATCGACCAGATCGTCCTGTCTGGGCGCCACCATTTTGTGTGAAGCAAACGCAAGTGATATGAGAGGTGGAATCTGATTGGTCAAAAGGAGAGGCTTAGAAGGGACATAATTGGTAATAGCCACTGGTGGCCCAACGATTGAGCCCAGTAATTCCAGCCTAGTTCGGCAAGGGTGGAAACTGGACTTTTAAAGTCAGATAACTCCCTTGCCTCAGGAAGATGGGTGTTATCCTGCCTGGCACTCAGCATTAAGGGGATAAAACCAAGAAGGTCAATATTCTGTGTCCAAGTGGGGTATCCATGTTAAACTGCAGTGTGCAATCTCAGTAGGCTAGGACTAAAACGGCATTAGTCTTGACTAGTACGCGCACACGCACCCACACACACACACGCATGTGCAGTAATCGTGAACGTGAGGTTATACCCATTTCAAAACATATGGAGGCATTGTGGCGTTGTCGCTGTTTTTACTAACAAATCTAGCTATGGCCTGGTTCAAGTGTGAGGGAAATCTACGAGTGCTCAGATTACATCACACAAACAACATTTCTCATCCAACAGGTGCGACAGCCTTTCCACTGTATACTTGATTGGATGCCATTACTAATGGGTTGTCATTTAAACATGACAACTCAACTGCGTGGATCGATGCTCATGATATCAATCACTGGATTGTCTTGGTCCAGACTTGATTATTTACAGACCGCCGTTATATAGCTGGAATAGTGCTGAATGCGGCGTTAAACAACCAACCAACCAACCGGGGTAGAATAGGTCTTCAGCAACCCATGCTTGCCGTAAAAGACGACTATGCTTGTCGTAAGAGGTGACCAACAGGATTGGGTGGTCAGGCTCGCTGACAGACCGCCGTCATGTAGCTGGAATATTGCTGAGTGCGGCGTTAAACAACAAACAAAACAAACAAATCTTTTCAAAAGTGACAGCAGCACCACCATCACTCCTATGACAAACTCAGCACAGAATTCCTCTTGTGAGAGTACAGTAAATGGGCTGGATGGCTTATTTAGCATCGTTCTATTTGAATGAAAATATATAAAGCTGGTATTGAATGAGCCTAGTGTGTAAAGGTGCCTGTTATTTTGTTTTCAATTGTCCTCATTTTTCAAATGTTTTGAAATTCATTTGTTTGCCCTGCCCCAAATTTTGATGCATATATTAGTGGACCATGTATCTCCTATTTCTGCTTCATATTTGATAATAACCCTGGTTTCTGTGCTGTTTCCCTTGCCAGGCTATACAGAGATGTGTATCTCAGAGACAGATTCAGCTCTCGGAACTGAAGTCGGCCATCATGACACTTTCCAAAGATGCTTCTGCAGATGTAGATATGGAAGCGTCAAGGTATGTAAACACCTAGGTATGTTCATCTTCCGGAGGCAAGAGACTTTAAAAGTCCAGTTTCCACCCTTGCCGAACTTGGCTTGAATTCCTGGGCTCGCTTGTAGCGCCACCAGTGGCTGTTAAGAGTTATGTCCCTTCTATGCCTCTCCTATGGACCAATCACATTCCACCTCTCAATTTGCTTGCAATTGTTTCAAATAAAATGGCGGCGCCCGGTCAAGACGATCTGATCGACAATCAAGATCTATATTGTGAGAAAACAGGTCTTACATCGCCAAGTGCATCAAATCACATGAGCACCTTGATTAAAAACTTGAAAAAGTTTGGAAAATATCTGTTGACAACGAGTTGGGGACGCACATGCTGTGCAAATCCTGCAATCGACCGAAATCTGCATAAAAGTTTACGAACTGGATTTCGATTTCGGTGCGCGATTTGATTGGACTATGCATAGACTCGTTAGCCCAGCCAAAATGTAACTCCATAATACCAGCCTAGTTCGGCAAGGGTGGAAACTGGACTTTTATAGTCAGTTAACTCTCTTGCCTCGGGAAGATGAGGTATGTTTTATTCCAACTGAAATGACTGGCCCCTGTAGCACCACATTTTGCATCATAGGAATGTGTCCTTCACCCATGTAAGGATCTGTTGACCGTTCTGGTTGAGCCCCAATGCTAATGATTAAACTGTGGACCATTAAACTGCAACATTAAAACTCACTTGCTTATTTTCAGTAAATGTTTATATTTATCTTCTGACCTTTCATCCATCACTTGAAGCCATTAAGATTGTGTAGACTATCTTTTAATTATCAATGCTGAATTGGGAAGTCATTCAGGCTGCTTTTGAGGCTGCCACCCCCATTTTGGTTTGCGGGATTTGGTGTCTACTCAGAAGGTATTTGGGACTCAGCAGTGTGGTACGCGGGACACAAATAAAATCTTATTTGGTATGCAGATTCAACATTTCAACATAATGATGTACATAAGGCTAAAAAAATAATAGTCTTTGTTCTCAGGCACCGCTTGATCATCATAAGGTTTGCTGCATGTTTCATTTTTATTTCCATTTTAAAAACAAAACGAACAAATCCATAAATATTTCAAGTTCAAAGGTATTTTAATCATCAAGGAATACATTTATGTCGGGAGGCCCTTTCACAGGTTGATGGTACACAATTGTTTATTTGGTTACACAACTGTTTATTTGGTTACACAACTGTTTATTTGGTTACACAACTGTTTATTTGGTTAAATACTAGTTTGAACAACCAAATAAAAAAAAAAGACAACAGCCCACCCACACTATATTTTCAAAAGCCCTTGCCTGAGAACCGACTCTTTTATTTTGTTAAGCCCAAATACTATATTTTTTCAGTAATTTAATTGAAACTTTTCTCAATGTTTTTGAGATTTGTGTTAAGTAGCACATGTATTCGGGATTGCAGGGATGGCGGGTTTGGCACCCTCTAGTTTATGAGCATCACAGTATAGCCCTGTTTAACATTACGGAATGCTGTGACGCATTTTTGGCGGTTTGCTTTGAGTCAGTTGTTTTTGTTGTATTGTTCAACAGCATTAAACTTTAAGCTTGAAGGTCAATAGGTACTTGCCATGACCCATTTTAAAACATTGAGGATTAATGTTGTTATAAAGCAGCAAACCTCAATGACCACTTGGTGTGCAGAGCTGCATCCCTTGGGCAACCAGTAGCTAGTGACCATCGGTTCAAATCCAAGATTATTCCTGGTTTTTTTATTATGTTTGTCTGCAGAATACCATTGCTTCCGGTTTCACCATAGTAGTGAACATCTTAATGTTTGTTTGTTTTTTGTTTAACGCCGCACTCAGTAATATTCCAGCTATACGACGGCGGTCTGTAAATAATCAAGTCTGGACCAGACAATCCAGTGATTGATATCATGAGCATCGATCCACGCAATTGGGATGCGATGACATGCATCAACCAAGTCAGCGAGCCTGACCACCCGATCCTGTTAGTCACCTCTTACGACAAGCATGAGTTGCCGAAAACTTATTCTACGCCGGATCTTCGCGGGTCAGTAAACATCTAAAACCTGTATCACTTCTGGCTTTCCTCCCACATGAAACCAATCTCACTCACATTCACCCAATGTCATTCTGAGTTATCTCCCTTAGATGTGCAGAGACGATGAGCACTGGTAATATCGGGGTAGCTGTATTTGTCTTGGAGTCATTGGTTTTCCATATGTTACAGACTGGAGATGGTGCGCGAACTAGTGTCAAGTTTCCAGAATTGTGAGCCTGACTTTGATATATTACACGATGCTGGGTGTACGATGGACGACACCGAGTTGCCACATCATGTCAGCTCGGAGAAGGAGATATGTGTCCTGGTACAGGAGACAAAACAGATACTGGAGGCTTTGCCCAGACCAGCTCTCATCACCATGTCCAGGTGAGAACTCCCACTGACTGCATCACTGGAGACTTGGGGACAAGACAGTGCTAGATTTGACAGAATTTAAAGTGTGTTTCATAATTATGCACAATTTAGTGCTGGTTTGTAAATTATTGAAAGTCTGGTTCAGGTAGTGTCCCCATGGAGATTCCAGGCCTGGGCCCCGTTCCACAAAGCCATCTTAGCGCTCAGGGCCCTGTTCCTCAAAAAGATCTTAGCACTAAGGTGATCGTAAGTCCCATACTTTAACATAGGCTTAGGATCATCGTAGTGCTAAGATCCCTTTGAGGAACGGGGCCCTGGTGATCGTAACTCCCATACTTGGACACTGGCTTACGATAGTCTTAGCGCTAAGATCTCTTTGTGGAACGGGGCCCTGAATGGGTTGAACATCATGCTTGTTGTGAGAGATGACTAAAACAAGGATTGGGTGGTTACAATATTACTTTTAGACTCTCATCCAACACAACAATCTCTGGTGTTTAAACTGCTCTAGACTCCTAGTCACTGCGAATGCTTATGGCGTGAATCGTTGGATTGCCATCTCAAAACCCCATGATTTACCCAGTGTGTGTGTATCTGTCATGTTGTGACAGTAATGCAAACGAACATCTACACCTTCACTTATACTAGGGTAAATTGTTTTCTGCAAAGATTTGTAATTCTCAGTAGAGGCTCAGTAGCGCCAGTCCCATAAGATCTTATGTATACCCAAATTTGTCATGAGAGCTGCTAAAGAGTGCCCATGTCAGGATATTACTGGGTATGTTGGGGCGGTGGGGTAGCCTAGTGGTTAAAGTGTTGCCTCATCATGCTGAAGACCCAGGTATGATTGATTCCGCACATGGGACAATGTGTGAAGCCCATTTCTGGTGTCCCCCACCAATATATTGCTGGAATATTGCTAAGAGTGGTGTAAAACCATACTCACTCATTAGGTATATTGTTTATGTTTATTACTGAGTGATTCATTGTGTTATGTCAGGTCGAGTGACGATGACTACTGCCCACCTGATCAGGTAGACTACATTGAGGAGGCCGTGTCACTAGCTCTAGAGGAGGTGTATGTGTACACTCAGGTCCAACAGCACTACCTGGACACTGAGGACGGACCAGTCGTAGGAACGTCATGTTGAGCTCAAGAGCAGATGTATTCACAGCTCTGCAACCACATCCACAAACACTGGACACTGAGTACGGAACAGTCGTAGGAACGTCATGCAGATGAACACGTCTGCAACCACATTCACGAACACTGGACACTGCAGATGGACCTTGTCACTGATGTCGCATCACATTGGCTTTCAAGTCAAGTCTAAATAGCCCAAATGTTCAGACTCATTCAGACCACTACTGATAATCTTGAGCGATAGTTTGTAAACTGACACTTTGTCAGGGTGTGTGGAATCCTGCTTTGATATTAGGGAAACAGATGTGGATTATTTTTCATCATCCTGCATGAGAGTAACAACTCAATCTCATTAAAATCAGATCTTAATTAGTGCTCACTACAGAAAGATCTGAGGACATCCCATTACAGGTCACGTAAGAAAGACCTTTCATCCTACAAATCCGAATGGCACTCACTGTTGTTGTTTTGATTTTATTTTCAAAATAAAATAAATACATTTACACTGAATATAAAAAAGTATATATTCCTTTGTCAAGGTGAGTTTGTCCCTTTTTGATAAGAAAAAGGGGATAATTTGTCTAAAAACAGGTCTGAAATTCAGTTATTAAATTCCAACAGACTTGTTCCAGCAAGAATAAAACCAGTGAGTGTTCAGACCAATGAGTGAGTGAGTGAGTGAGTGAGTTGGGTTTAACACCGCTTTTAACGGTATTCCAGTTATATCGCGGCGTGTCGGCTGAATGAGTGAGGAAAGCCTGAAGTGATGCAGGTCTCAGACGTTTACCACTTCGATGAAACCCACGAGCACGGGTATGGCACTGACAAACCTAGAAACAGAATCAGGGCGAACCGGGATTCGAACCCACAATCATAGGTTTCTGGCATGCCCAAGGGACGCAACTCTGCACAGCGAATCGCAGCTCCTTAGACGAGTTGGCCCCTGGTGAAGGCCACGAACATAGGTAGGGTGCTGACAAACCTAGAAACATATTCAGGGAGAATCCAGGATTCAAACCCACCTGAGTTTCTGGCATGCCTAGCAGATGCTACTCCGCACAGAGTCATTGCAGCACCATAGATGACAGGGCCACCTGTGCACCCAATAGAGTAGTAAACTTCCCTTTAAGGATTGAAAGAGCTGCTTACTCATATAGTGCTGTCTTGTCGAAGACTGTGTCAGCCTGCTAGTCGACAGGGATGAGCATATCAGGATGAGAATCAAAATGGACCAAGGTTAGGTCACTGAATGGGCGAATTGCGGCGCCTTAGACGACTGGGCCACCCGTGCCCCCGTTCAGACCAATGAGCACTCAGGTTACATGTCTATGTATTCACAGGTGATGGAGGAACGTAGTACCACACCACACCTATGAAGTATTGGCGATGATAGCATTGAGTAATATGGTAACTATTAGAATGCACCTATGCATCCTAATGAACTACTCTGTATTCAGGCTCACTGTCTTGGCTGATGCATGTATCGAATCCTGATTGCGAGGATCGATGTTCATGATGTCAATCACTGAATTGTCTTGTCCAGACTTGATTATTTACAGACCACCGTCATATAGCTGGAATATTGATGTGACCTTAAACAACAAACAAACTTTGTATTTGTTCCAAATCACTGTGGACTGGGGCTGGTGAACCAAAAAAAATGCGCTTTCTAAATTTCTGTAAAAAACTTGAACATCCAAATAATGGGTTAAAAAGAACAAAAGACACTGTACTGTATCATCTTGCTGAGCAGACATATACAATATTTATTGACCTGTACATATATTATTTACAAACAATTCTTAGGGTCTCTATAATTTCACTTATTTATCCCCTTTTGTTTTTTAACCTTCTTGGATACAACATTCTCAGCGTGCCCAGTTTTCTCTCCAGATTTGTGTTTATGTTTCTTCTTCTTCTTCTCTGGTTCTTCCTCTGGTTCTTCCTCTGGTTCTTCCTCTGTTTCGTCTAGGCCATGTTTTCTCACCAGAGTGTCAAGAAGATTCAACGCATCCTCGTCGTCAGAGTCCTGGAACAATAAGCTCAAAGTTACGTTTGAGGAACAGCAGTCCAGGGACACACAATGTCTACTGATGATTAAAATTGAAGTCATGTGATCCTGGAAGTCATGTGATCCTGTGTTTGTCATACCCTGACATTGATGATCGTTGCTCATGATATCAACCACTGGTTTACAGTCTTTTCGTGACATACAGTCAAGTCAGGTTAATCTTGCATAAGATTATGTCGGATTAATGAGTATGTTGGATAAACGCAATTAAGTAGTAACAACGTTCGTGATCGAAAATTGGACAACTACATGACAGATAATGATACAAACACATAATAAAAAAATATAAATGAAATATTCATATTGTTATGTTACATTGTTAGCGGAATATGTTTTCTAATCATGCAACCTCTAAAGCTCAACACTAAACAACTGTTACGGACTGTATGACTGTATGACACGGGCTGTGTACTCGCGGGCAGATGACCCTGGAGTACGCTGATCACTGTATCGGATTAACGAGACTGATTATTTAGTGATTTCGGTAATTCGTTGCAAATTAGGTGTGTCGGAGTCGGAGTGCAAGTTTACGGATTAACAGATTTAATCAGTTCCCATTTTAGTGTCGGATTAACGAGTGTTGGATTACCAAGACTTGACTGTAGATTGATAGTAATAACAAACCGGCTGCCATGTAAAAAATTATTCACTGATGCACATACCTACATTTGTACAACAAAAAATACCTGATTGTCTGCATAGGTCAGCAATGCATCATAAGCAGAAAATTCTGATTCATTTCTTCAATAACCAACACGGCATGACCCAGTAAATGTTATCAATATCGGTAACATTTGTACAAGTTAAGGGTGCAACGTTTAGGGTGTCTGTATGATATCAGGTGAGTTTAGTTCAGGAGACCTGTGGGTTGTCTTGTACCTCTCGTTTTGTGACCGTCTGCTCCTCATCATCTGGAGACCATTTATTTCGGGACTTGTCAGCTTGCTTTTTGTTTTGTTTACTTTTATCTGCCATCTTGTTGGTCCAGTCCTTCTTGTCAGTTTGGAATAATTTGGGTGGATCTCTGGTCTGGCTCAACATCTTGTTCCATGGTTCGGACTTGTCTGGTCTGGGCTTCTTGGGGAATGCAGGACCTAGGGAACAGAAACACTGCTCATGTACAGTTACAGGTCAATCTCACTAAGATCTTTTACTCTTAATGCTGAGTATGAAAATTGTCAGAATCAATACCAGTTCAGCATGAACTGATAAACTGACTTCACTGATCTGCAATTACTGACTGGAGACGAATCATTTAGTGGCATTTTAGATGCTTTAGTATCGATGAAGAGTTGAAGCAACAAGCACTTGTTAGATAAATGTACTAGCACCTTTACCGATATCTTGGTTGATTAACACCACACATTCCTGCTATATGATGGCGATCTGTAAATAATCAGGCAATCCTGGACCAGACAATCCTGTGATTGACATAAGCATCGACCCATGCAATTGGGATACGATGACATGCATCGACCAAGTCCTGTGGGTAACCGGGTCATACTTAGTACCCACTCGACACGAGTTACCCATCCCATATTAGAAACCAATTGAAAATATTAAGTGTACCGGAATCGTCAAAGAAGTCTTTGAAGAGTTTTCTCTTCTTTGCCGTGACTCCCTGCTGCGACATCCACAGCTTGCGATGAGTCTTGAACTGAGGTATGGCAAGGTTCCGGTGGACGAAATGTCCGAACTTATTACTGTGGAGTCTATCTTCATGTCTGGAGAGCTCTTCCGCAATCACAACCTTCTGTTGTGCAGAGCAGCTCTTCCACATGGACTCCAGGGTTCTGCTTCCATTCCGGTCACAACTGATGTCAAGGAACAGACCCTGTCGGGAGATAGAGTAACCATGGTTACATTGCCAGAGTTCAACAGACATTTAAAAAATCACTACCAATCTCATTAAGATCAGATCTAAGGACATCCCATTATGGGTAACGTCAGAATGACCTTTCGCGAACTTTGACCAACCACAAAAACGACTAACAAGAAGTCAACATCAGCCTATTAGAAAGCAGCTTTCTCGAGCTTTACGGCACTTGTTTCAACCTGGCAATTTCCATTTCTGACTACTCTTGAAAAATATGTTGACACAGTTCTCTATTAAAATTTTGAAAACTGAACAAACGAACATTCCGGAATGTCTAATATATGGTTGCGTTGTATGGCAGTGCTTTCCATGTACTTTGCAAAGCCTCCTCCATTCAAATGTTTATCCCCCGGAAGCGAGAGATAGAGGATACTTATGACGTAACCAGTCGTACGGGCCGTAACTGTCATTCAGAATACCCCATGTTAACGTTTTTGAGGTTGTACGATTTGAAAACATATACCGATTGTCACTTTCATGATCTGGTAAACGAGGCTTTGATTGGTTGGATGAAAGGTCGTTCTGACGTGACCCGTAATGGGATGTCCTCAGATCTTTGTGTCGGATAGCGAGTACTAAGATCTGATTTTAATGAGATTGGAATCACTACTATTGTCAATGACCAGAGAGAGCTTCACACAACATTGCTATTCATGAACATATGCCTTACTGACATGCTGAGCTCAAGGTGTGGTGATATGAGTTTAATGTTATTTTCCCAGATTGCATGTATTGCACTTATTTATAGCTTTAGTTTGTTTTGATTGTTTTGGGGGCATGGGTGGCCCAGTCGTCTAAGGCGCCACGATTGGCTGTGCAGAGTTGCGTCCCTTGGGCATGCCAGAAACCAATGATTGTGGGTTCGAATCCCGGTTTGCCCCGATTATGTTTCTAGGTTTGTCAGCACCATACCCGTGCTCGTGGGTTTCACCGAAGTGGTAAACGTCTGAGACCTGCATCACTTCGGGCTTTCTTCCCACATTAAGCTGACACGCCGTGATTTAACTGGAAAACTGTTAAAAGCGGCGTTAAACCAAACTCACTCACTCGCTCACTCAGATTGTTTGTTTTTTAATGCCGCTCTCAGCAATATTCCATCTATATGACGTCGGTCTGTAAATAATCGTGTCTGGACCAGACAATCCAGTGATTGACGTTATGAGCACAACGACAAACAAAACTTCAGAGACAGTTCAGAAAGCATTCATTGTTTTTATCCACAACAGAATTAGAACAATATATTCAAGATTCCCCATATTAAGTCACAAACCTTAAACTTCTGCAGCAGCAAATCTCTCATCTTCTCTCCAACAGTTTCACTCTCCCAAAACACGTCGATGACATGACTGCCACACCGATCACATGCCACCAACTTCAGCTCAGCTGGTTTCAGCTCCAACAAACTGCTCACAACCAGTTTGGACTTGCCAAACCTAAGCAGATTCTGCATGAGGACAGAGCCGTGATAGTTGATGGTGGTGAGCTGTTGGGGGGTGGCTGCCGAGAGGGAGGTTTTCTGAAGCAACATTGTTATCAAGTGTCAAAAAGTTGGTTAATGAAATCAAACATTCGTAGATTGTTCAGGACAATTATTGTTGCAAATATCTCATTTTCCTTCCAGAAACACATTGTTACCTGAGGATTAATTAACTCACTCTGTGGTTGAAAGTGAGGTGAGGTGAGGTGAAATGGGGTTTAACGTCGCGTCCAAGATTATTGCACTTGTATGTGTGTGTGTGTGTGTGTGGTTGCTAGTACTAGTCTGGACTGATGCCGATTTATAGTGCTAGCTCACTGAGATACCATGCCGCAGTTTAACATGAATACCCCACTCAGACACAGTATACTGACTGAGCCGACCAGTCCTTGTTTTAGCCCCTTAATGCCGAGCGCCAGACAAGGTAACAACAAGTACCATCTTTTGACGTCTTTTGGTATGACGCAGCTGGGGATCGAACCCTTGACCTTCCTTTCTCCGGGCGGACGCTCTACCATTAGACCACGGAGGGGGTCTGTGGTTGATAGTTTGAACAAAGGTCTATGCTGTGGGGTCACAATGTCACACCATCAGCTTTCAGATCCTCATTCTAATCAGCTTTATAGACAAGTTTTGGGTACTGGGAACCATCCTCATCCCATAACAGCGATCGGGTAATTTGGAAGTCCTTGATAAAAGTTAATTCAAAGGACAAGGTACAATAAGGACAAGGTACGATAAGGACAAGGTACGATAAGGACAAGGTACGATAAGGACACTTTTTGGCCCACAGGATCTACATAATTTAAGAACTAAGCAAATCTTTTGGAAATTGTTATGAAAAATCGAGTTTGATCATTTCAATACATGCTTGTTTAGCACTTACAACAATACTAAATGCATATGAAAGGCTCAAATGTGTCTAAAAGGCTGATTTTAGTAGTTTTCAGTAAAATTTTGAAAATACTTGAACATGAGGAAGTTGTTGACACACACTGGTTAACTTAGACGCAGAAAATGACAGCTAGATTTTCTCTTGAAATTGAAATCAACATTTTTCACTCATTTTGAGCCATTTTTGTCTAGCTGGAAATGCCCAAAGAAAAAACCTTGGAAGTACATGAGTGAGTGAGTTGGGTTGAATGCAGCTTTTAACAGTATTCAAGTTATATCAAAGCTTGTCAGCTTAATGTGGGAGGAAACAGCTTCATGTGGGAGGAAAGCCCGAAGTGATGCAGGTCTCGGATGTTTACCACTTCCATGAAACCTACAAGCACAGGTATAATGCTGACAACCTAGAAACATAATTGTGGTGAAACGGGATTCGAACCCACAATCATAGGTTTCTGGGGTGCTTAAGGGACGCAACTCTGCACAGCGAATCGTGGCGCCTTAGACAACTGAGCCACCCATGCCCCCTTGGTTGATGCATGTCATCGTATCCCAATTGCGTGGGTCGATGCTTATGTCAATCACTAGATTGTCTGGTTCCGACTCGATTATATACAGACCACCGTCGTATAGCTGGAATATTACTGAGCGCGGTGTTAAACAACAAACAAACAAACAAACAAACAAACCTCTGCCTGGTCATTGTCAGACTCCTCTGTTTTATAAAACACCTCGTACGTTGACAGAGACAGAAGCAGGGGAGCCAGGGCGGTATGTCGGCTGTCAGGGGCATCACAGTGGAAGGCCTCCATCAACCTCTGGTTCAACACAAGGCAAGAATGAGCTCCACAACTAAGAACACTATTACCCAAAACACAAGAGCATTTACCGGTCAAACCCCGTCATCTCAAACCTTGATGTGTTGAATTCCCAGTTATCATGATTTCAGTATATAGTCCCAAGATTTAAAAAAAGTTAAATCCTACCCTTGTCTGAGAACAAGTTCCATATTACAAAACGTTTTACGCACTCTATGTCACAAATATTGTAAAACAAATGGTTGTGTGTGCTGCCATCTGATTGGTTGACAAATATTTTAAATTCAAAACCAGGAAATCACTTCATCATGACTCATGGCAATGTTTGGAGAGAGTCACATCCAATGTGTGATTAATGTAACTGAAACAATCTGTGATGGTAAATTCTACCTTGACATTGAAGAATGCTTGATTCTGATTGGTTAAAATGAGGTATCAAATTTCCACTTGACACCACTAAGTTTAACTTAAGCCTTTTCACACAAACAATGTGGACAAGTATACACTGATAACCTACATATCAATCCATAAAAACATGGCTGCCAATAACCCGTCAGAACTGTATACTTTCAATATAGAAACATAATTGGATGTTTTTGGTGACGATATTGACTTCCTAGACCTGAACCCTGACTGGTTCAAAGATGAGATGACAACACTCAAAGGGCTACTAATCGACTTACCCTGACAAATTTATCTTGTCGTGTGTGATTTCTCTCACAGCCTGATGCAAGCTTGGACAGGAGCCCAACATGGTGTATTGCCAGGATGTCTTCCACATATTGCGTCAGCTCGTCAAAGATCTCCTCAAACTGGAATAACCAGGGACAAAACTCACATTATATTTAAGAAATAAAGGACTATCGTATAATAAAACACTGCACGAGGAATAAACCATGAGGGGCGTATTGTATGATAAACAATGACCACGAGTTGTTTATTTCTTTCCTGAGATATAAACATTATGTACAAGTCCAGTTTACGAACAGGTGGATTAAATTTTGTAATTCCCACATATTCTCACAATCTTTACATTGATTATCTGTACCTTTTCTCCTAATACCCATTGTCATATCTTTCCCACTCTTGGATGCGATCATTCAGCCATCTGCGTAGCCCAGCTACATCTATGGGGAACAACTTACTAGACACTTCCCTCTCAAAGATAACGTTGTCCAATATATGACGTCATCATGTTGCGAGCTGATATTCAATTTCCAGAAATGACGTCATGATAGAACAACGTTTTATCGTGAAATTAACCAGGCATTGTTTATCATTGTTCTTTGCGATTTATCGTGTAGCTTTTATTTCACAATATACCACTCAACACTGAACACTGAGATGTAAGAGGCGACTAACTGGATCAGGTGGTCAGGCTCGCTGACTTGGTTGATGCATGTCATCATTTCCCAATTGTGTGGATTGATGCTCATGATGTCAATCACTTATTATTTACAGACAGCCGTCATAAAGCTGGAATATTGTTGAATGTGGAATTAAACAACAAACAAACAAACCTCTGAGATAACCCATACTGTTATGAAACTCAGAAACAAAACAACTTTTGGAAATGTTTGTTTTTTAACAGTGGAATATATCGAACACTGAAATTCAAAAACTATGTCTGTTATTCAGACAAACATGAAATATGAAATATGAAATAAAATATAAAATAAAATAAGTATAAAGTCACATTACCAGTTCTTTGTCTGTGACCCGGTCAATCAGTGTCTGCAGAATGTAGTTGGCTGCTCTGTCAACAGCATAGTTGAGTAGTCTCCCCTTGAATATGGCCTTGAACACCTTGCTCTGACCTTCGTCCCCAAGACTCACAGCCACAATCTGTTGTACCAAGTAGGACCCCACTTCATTCCGCACTAACACAGGTAACCTAAGGAGTACACGGCCAATCTTAAAATTATTGATTGAAATACTTTTGTTACAATATTTGCTATCATTTTATTTGAGGAGATTGTTTTTTTACATCTTCCTGAGGCAAGGTAGTCAACTTGACTATAAAAGTCCAGTTTCCACTCTTGCTGAACTAGGATGGAATTTGTATTTTGCCTGTACTAACGAGTCTGTGCATAGTCCAATCAAAATCGTATAATGAAATCAACATTGGGTTCATAAACAACTTGGCGACTGCCATGCAGATTTCAGTCAATTGCAGGATTTGCAGAGCATGTGTACTGTCAACTGGCCATCAACAGATATTTTCCAAATTTTTTCATTTTTATAATCAAGGCACTGAAGTGATTTGATGCACTTTATGAGATAAGACCCATTAATTACAATTAAGACCTTGACTATCGATCAAATTGGCTTGACTCGACACTGTCATTTTGTTTGAAGCAAATGCAAGTGTTGTGAGAGGTAAGTTATTTTTATGGTAAACACTCCACTCAAAACATCTTTCAAACCCTCAATACCTCTACAGCAACTGAGATGAAAAGCAATGTTATGAAATAACATGGTCTACAAGAAGCAGGTGTTGCACTCTTGAGGTAGTACAAAATGAAAACCAATATTTTATTAATATTAATTAATGTTTTCTCAGCCCCACTCAAAACTCTGAAGCTGATCATGGGAGTGTGAAACACACACAAAACATGAATGACCTAAGCATTTATTGCCAGACTGAGCTAGATGACTTAACTTCAGACGAGACAGAAAACTAAGACAAGTCAATCTTGGTCCATTTAAGAAAGTGAGTGAGTGAGTTGGGTTTAACGCCGCTTTTAACAGTATTCCAGTTATATCACGGTGTGTCAGCTTAATGTGGGAGGAAAGCCCAAAGTGATGCAGGTCTCAGATGTTTACCACTTTGGTGAAACCCACAAGCACGGGTATGGTGCTGACAAACCTAGAAACATAATCGGGGCGAACTGGGAATCGAACCCACAATCATAGGTTTCTGACGTGTCCAAGGGACGCAACTCTGCACAGCGAATCGCAGCGCCTTAGAGGACTGGGCCACCCGTGCCCCCCATTTAAGAAAGATTTTGACAAGAAAACCTATTCTTAAAAATATGTGATTCTAGATTTCTGCCTTACATGACTTCAGTGTCCTCTCCTTCCTTCCCACTTTCTTCCTCCTCTTTTGGCTGGGTCAGCCCACTCTTCTTCAGAATCCTCTTGACATATTTGCGACAGGACTCAGGGTCTCGCTGCTTTAAAATGAGCAGGATGGTCTGGAACACAGGACTAGAACTGGCATCCATCAGGTGACCTGAAATATATTGTTCCGAGGTGTTGAACAATCTTGTTGAAATCAGATCGCTGATACCTTTTGCACGAAAGTCTGACAACCCCTCCTCAGAAGGTCGCATCAGTGTTGAAGCTTCTAAACCCTCGGGACAAAGAGGTAAAGCATTTAGAGCAGCATATCTGATTTGTATATCTGAAATGAACTTAAACAGCAAGTACGGAAAGTAAATAAAAAAGGCTGTCATTATATCATGGATATTATATAGACTGTCATTTGTGATCGCTATGAAGGGTTGTCAGATGTTCATGCTGAGAGGAATAAAGGATGAGGAAACAATCTGACTTTGATCATGTTGATGAGAGATGTCTAATACATTCATATTTAGGTCATATATAAGGTATACCTCATGGGCTGATACAGCTTTTATGAAAAGGGGGGGTGCACAATTAAGATCTATTTATTGTCTTTGGTGGTAATTTATACAGAAATAAATTCCCCTATGTACCTAGAAACCTTTTGTATCTGAATATATCCATTATTGCTGGGACAAGTCAAATTTACTACCCAGGTACCCATACCCCTATTACCCGACCCTACCTGGGTACTCGCTGTTGGTGTCAAGAGATAGGTACAAAATGTCCGATTGGTGATAGTTTGACAGTAGCCCTGGCAGAATGTTTTTAGATACAGGTATAAAACGATGTGGTCATGCATACACTGAAGTTGACTGAAGTTTTAGCTTTGTTCAAACATATTTAAGTCAGAAGGAACGTGTTCATTGTCATGAAGAAATGCGAAACATTAGAGACTAAAATTGTCTTGTAGTCATATAGTGTAGTTATATAGTGAATATTTGTCATGAAACAATATATCATGTGACTAACCACGGGTCCGGGTAGTCCTATGGGTACCCGGGTCCTACTCAGTACCAACCCGACCCAGGTACCCGAGTTACCCATCCCAGCCCTAATATCCATCAACATGACCGTTTTCCTTTTTACAGAAACGGCTCCATGTGAAAACTAAGCCAGTCCACACACATCTGTTGCAGTTATTCCTATAATCATATATATAGATAGATAGATGGATGGATGGATGGATGGATGGATGGATGGATGGATGGACGGACGGACGGACGGACGGACGGACGGACGGACGGACGGACGGACAGACAGATAGATAGATATGAGGGAGGGAAGGACGGAAGGAAGTTTTATGACTCTTGTAACAATATTCTAGTAATATCACAAGCAGGACACCAGAAATAGGGTTCACACGTTGTACCCATTTGGGGAGTTGAACCCAGGCTTTCAGCATGATGAGTGAACACCTTTACCACTAGGCTACCATACCACTCTGATCATGCCTACAATAAGCAGGTACAGTGAAAACAGAAGCTTGTATATCTTACCTGAATAGTCACAAAGCGAGAACACTTTCTTGACAATCTTCTTAAACCATGGGCCATATTCTTCAGGGGGATTGTTTTTCTTTGGCCACACTTTTTCATCTGTTGCGTCGATAAGAAGTTGGGATTAGAATTACGATATAAACATTATAAAACGTCCTTTAGAGTTAATTCATGTTAAGTTTTAAGTTTTTAACTTAGATTAAGAAACATGCACAATCTCATTAAAATCAGATCTTAGTTCTCGCTACAGCTAAACAAAGATTTGAAGACATCCCATTACGGGTCACGTCAGACCGACCTTGCGCGAACTCTGACGGACCAAGGAATGACCAATCAGAAGGCAGCTTTCTTGTGCTTTACAACACTAATTTCAAATTGGCGACTACGCTTCGAAACATATTTTGACAAATTCTCGATTACAAATTTGAAACCTGAACAAAAGAACACACTGGAATGGCTAATAGATGGTCTAGATTGTATGGATTCAGTCGTTAAACCCGTAACTATCATTCGGAGTTAAAGTTTTCGAGGTTGCATGATTAGAAACCACATTCCGACTGTCACTTTCATAATCTGGTAAGCGATGCTCTGATAGGTCGGATGATAGGTCATTCTGACGTGACCCGTAATGGGATGTCCTCAGATCTTTGTTTAGCGGTAGCGAGAACTGAGGTCTGATTTTAATGAGATTGGAAATTTGCATGGATAGCAGAATAAGGGACTTAACCCTTCTTCAGAAGGAAACCAAACAGCCTCGCTTACTACCAGTGTGTATGCATCATGACTGTCTTGGCTACTTTTTGCCAAATCCTCTTTATTGTGGGATAGTATTGCTGTAGAAGAGATATTGGTTACATCAGTGATACATTTAAGAAATTTCATTAACCATACACACACCTTTTGCCTGAGCTTGAGACATCCGACTTCTGATGATATCCGTCGAGACGTCCACACCTCCCAACACTTCTAGCAACACTCGTAAAATATGGCTGGCATAGGTATCAGTCAGCATTGTCTCAAGGTTCTCACTTGAATATTCACAAAACTCCAACAACAAGTCCTTAACCGATTTCTCCTCATTAATGTCAGAGTTGTCTCCCCCTTGTTGGATACATTTTGGAGACAGAGCAATAATATTCTGAAACACATGGCTGGCAAACCTATCTGTTGACACGGTGCCCCAGTCCTCGCTGAATGCCAACAGTAGCTGTGTGATGTGGTGTGGTTGAGCATTCTCTAAAAATCGCTCAATAAACCGACTGACTGTTTGATTCTGGGACACTTTAATGGCTTCAGATTCCATTTGAGTGAAGACATTGTTGAGGAACAGATCTGTAATATATGACAGCATTCTTAAATCCTGTTTGCATATACAAAGGTTTGAATGACCATATGCTTAATGCCACTATGTAAGATAGCTATGCGATAAATCGAAAAGAACAATGAAGAATGAAGTGTGGTTTATCTCACGATAAAACATTGTTCTATGATGATGACATTTCTGGAGATTCGAACATGCAAACTTGAAGACGTCGTTATTGTTTAGACGAGAGTGTCTTGTGAGTTGTTCCCCATAGATGCTGCTGAGCAGATAGATGCAATGACCGAATAACTGCATCCAAAAGCAAGAGAGATATGACTTTCGGTATTGGGAGAAAAGGTACAGGTAATCGAAGTGAGGATTGTGACAATGTGCAGGATATATCGACCTATGTTTAAAATGGACTTGTCCGACAGTACCGAGGTGGGATTCTATTGAGGGAGTCATCATTATTATAATACGGTAAACATTTTTAAAGCTTGTACAAGAGGCTGTACATAATGTTGATATCTCAAAAAGAAATAAACGACTCGTGGTCGTTGTAACTTGTTTATGGTACAATAAAACACTACAGGGAGAATAAACCATGCTGTGCCCCTCTTGGTTTACTCTCCCTGACGTGTTTTATTATACGATAAACAACGACCACAAGTCATTTATTTCTTAACTAAGTAATACTCTAGCCACAGCTATGGGCTTGTGTGTAACACAAAAATTAGTAGGTACAACACATATTTGGTCACAAACAATGTCATAGTACTGTTCCTAAAGATTAGAAGCTACAAGATCTATATATATCACATCTAATTTTAGTCACCTTGTGAGTAGTGCACTTTAAGGGGAGCCCTTATTTTTTTAATTTCAAAAAGCGCTGCATGGAGGATCAAACTCCCATAGCTAGCTTGAAGCTAAGCTAGGTTAATGAGTTAATCTACTAAGCCAACTCTTTACCATGGGACCTCGGGCGCTCTCACAAATAATTTGCGCTTTACCAAGTGATCACTACCTGATTGTTTACCTTTATGCGCATGCACAATTGCCTTTTTCTCTGCGAAACTCAAATTACATTGGATCAATGTATTTAAAGAGACAGCTAACCCATATCCCACAACTAACCCTAAGTATCATAAAAGGGTACAGGGTGGTTGGGTAGCCTAGTGGTTAAAGCGTTCGCTCGTCACGCCCAAGACCCAGGTTCTATTCCCAACATGGATACAATGTGTGAAGCCCCTTTCTGGTATTCCCCGCCATGATATTGCTGGAATATTGCTAAAAGCAGCGTAAAACCAAATTCACTCACTCACTCATAAAGGGGTACCTAAGACTAAGAATCTTAAAAAGGTGTTTCATTGGCAAGTGGTGCCCAACTCTAAGGATCGCAAAGGGGTGTTTGATCGGAAAGGCGTACCTTACCATAATGGTATCCCTAATGATCACAATGCATTCATTATTGAAAAGGGGATCCATGGGCTAATGAAATAGTTAGTGATGGCATGGAAATGCAGAATGGACTCATCCTAGGGCACCATTCTGTTTTGTGTTCCTGTCTTGGCTACATTTCGATATACAGAAACGTACCTGGGGTACCTAAGTTTTGAAGAGGCGAGAGTGAGTTTGTAGATACTTTTGTTATATTGGAATTGAATGATCCTTACTTTCCAGGTCTTCACTTACCCCAACAACCATGACAACAGTATTGGAATTGAATGATCTTTACTTTCCGTGTCTTCACTTACCCCAACAACCATGACAACAGTATTAGAATTGAATGATCCTTACTTTCCGTGTCTTCACTTACCCCAACAACCATGACAACAGTATTAGAATTGAATGATCCTTACTTTCCGTGTCTTCACTTACCCCAACAACAGTATTAGAATTGAATGATCCTTACTTTCCGTGTCTTCACTTACCCCAACAAGATCCTTACTTTCCGTGTCTTCACTTACCCCAACAACCATGACAACAGTATTAGAATTGAATGATCCTTACTTTCCGTGTCTTCACTTACCTCAACAACAGTTTTAGAATTGAATGATCCTTACTTTCCGTGTCTTCACTCACCTCAACAACAGTATTAGAATTGAATGATCCTTACTTTCCGTGTCTTCACTTACCCCAACAACAGTATTAGAATTGAATGATCCTTACTTTCCGTGTCTTCACTCACCTCAACAACAGTATTAGAATTGAATGATCCTTACTTTCCGTGTCTTCACTCACCTCAACAACAGTTTTAGAATTGTAAGATCCTTACTTTCCGTGTCTTCACTTACCCCAACAACCATGACAACAGTATTAGAATTGAATGATTCTTACTTTCCGTGTCTTCACTTACCCCAACAACCATGACAACAGTATTAGAATTGAATGATCCTTACTTTCCGTGTCTTCACTTACCCCAACAACCATGACAACAGTATTAGAATTGAATGATCCTTACTTTCCGTGTCTTCACTTACCTCAACAACAGTTTTAGAATTGAATGATCCTTACTTTCCGTGTCTTCACTCACCTCAACAACAGTATTAGAATTGAATGATCCTTACTTTCCGTGTCTTCACTTACCCCAACAACCATGACAACAGTATTAGAATTGAATGATCCTTACTTTCCGTGTCTTCACTTACCTCAACAACAGTTTTAGAATTGAATGATCCTTACTTTCCGTGTCTTCACTCACCTCAACAACAGTTTTAGAATTGTAAGATCCTTACTTTCCGTGTCTTCACTTACCCCAACAACCATGACAACAGTATTAGAATTGAATGATCCTTACTTTCCGTGTCTTCACTTACCCCAACAACCATGACAACAGTATTAGAATTGAATGATCCTTACTTTCCGTGTCTTCACTTACCCCAACAACCATGACAACAGTATTAGAATTGAATGATCCTTACTTTCCGTGTCTTCACTTACCTCAACAACAGTTTTAGAATTGAATGATCCTTACTTTCCGTGTCTTCACTCACCTCAACAACAGTTTTAGAATTGTAAGATCCTTACTTTCCGTGTCTTCACTTACCCCAACAACAATGACAACAGTATTAGAATTGAAAGACAATAAGTAAAATCCATCTCTTTCACTTTCCTCAACAGTCTTTTTCTACATGGCATAATTTATGATTGGTTCATGTATGTGTCCAAGTGTTTGTTTTTTGCAGGTTCTGTTATCAATAAAGAGTTAAATTAAAATATGGTAGGTATTGGTATTTTCTTTGAAGGATCCATTGTGATTGTTATAAAGAAATAATCCAGAAAGTATGCAAGCTGAGAAGGACAAGAGGTTCATTTCATAGTGGTGGATGGTGGGTGGAGTTGATAGGATTTGCAAGTTCTAGACTGACTCGACACCTCGTCTTCGACTTCACCGTTAATTTTGTCTAAGAGTTGGAAGTGGTTACGAATTCACCTTCAGCCGTTGAAGCTCATGTGAGAAGTATCATCTGTGGATCTATATTGTAACCCCAAATCCCCAAAGTAAGGCATGTAAACCGAACAGTGACCATGCCCATTGTGATACTTCTGACCCCCAAAATTGACCACTCTTATTATCTATTTGTTTGAACAATGAACTAAATCATGGATTTGTAGATATGTTTGAGGCAGTGTATGAAAAAACTGCCTGCCTGCCCGTGGCTGGAAACGTTTTTTGTCAGGCTCCATGAATTTTTCCTCCACCTGCCCCACTGTCTGGGGCAGGTCTAATTTAAGACTACTTATGTTTTACTATAACTCCTTGTAGATTCACAAGTAATTGATTGCATTATATTAACTTATAAAGACGTAATTTATCTCTTATTTTTCGTGATATTTCAATATTTATAATGCATGAATGTGGGCAGGAAAGTAAAGATGGAAAGGCAACACTTATGGGTCACCTTCAGATCCTAAGAAGCAGGATAGTGATATTTAGCTAAATTTATTTGGTACATATGGGTCCGGTGTTTCAGTAACATCACTATCCTGCTTCAGGGGCCTGTGGGGTCACCTGCCCGATCGTCTTGTTGGGGTATAAAAATGTTTCAAACACTGGTTCGAGGAGTGTTGCAGTGAACCTAGATCGTTGTTGATTGGCTTGATGAAACATGCGTGTGACTGTCAACAAAACACACCTTTCTCTTCTCCATCGATATCTGTCAGCGTTTCAAATACTCTTCGGTAGTAATCTAAGGTGTGGTCATTGAGAAAGCCAAGCTTGTTCTTCCTTGTCTTATTTTCGTTCGGCTTCCTAGGATTCATTGTACATTGGTATCGAAAACTTAGAACAATAATTCACGGTCTAGACACTTAAACACTACACGTGCGGAGAAAAACCGGAAGTTTACAGCAAGATTGGTATTTGCAGATTCTTAGTGATACTTTCGTATAATCAAATGCATTTTCCTACTTATAGAAGTGGTATGTGATAAAAATCAATCAATGGTGTAGATGTGTGCGGTTATGTTCAATTACATCCTCCTCACAAAGAGCACTTTAAAACGTAAATGTAGAATGCGAAACTACCGGAAGCTAGGCGCAAGTAAAAGCACCTTGCTGTTTTCGTAATGTCTGAAGCTGGGCATATTTACCTAAAGTCTGACACTGTATGATTGCACTCGATCGCCCTGAAAAATGGCATACAGATATGTTTCACTTGCCAGAAAGGGGCAACGAATTCTTCAAAGACTTGTGCCCTCAAATTGTTCATATCAAGAAGTAAGTGATGATGACCTTGCAGGTATCTGATGAGTTCTGTGAAGTTTTCTATGCTGCTACCAGCTGAGTACTGATCAATGCAATATCATTAGATAAACTTGTATCAGCTGAAGAAACAGGTCGTGTCATTTGAGACATTTTTTTTTACCAAGTATGTAGATTCGTATTGCGTATTATTTGTATGCACAATTTCATTTATACTGTGAATAGACGAAAACATTTTCCTTACATAAGCAGTGCTATTGGCGTAGAGATCATCAAAGTTGGAGCTTATCTATTATGTAATAATATGACAATAGCAACAGTGTTTTGAAATTATTTTCTTCACCTTTTTCCTTCTTATGTATATTTAGGAACTTGTAAAGTTAGATATAATCATAACCAATGACTAGACTAACACTTAACGTTGCTTATGTAAAGGTTCTGTCATCATGGATGATGAAATACTTTACAAACTTACACTATGAATCGTATGATCGTAAACATGTTGTTAACAACATCAATGAATACAAAATTTTAATGATTTGTAGAGATGTCATTATATATGGAGATATTGATGTATGAGTAAATTTTTAATTTCATTGTATTGATACAAATATTTCAATATCAACATGATCAATGCTATATTGATAATTCACTGCCACAGAAATATTTACATACATTTGGATTACCATGGTTAAGATGTTAATGAGAATGCAGAAAATTCATTTTTAGCAAAGGAATGGATCAGCCTAGTTATATGTTGCTTTTAATTGATTGATTTTGCAGGTCTACATAGTTATTTTTATCTACTGATATATATACAGAATGATTAACTTCATTATCATGATTATTTATCAATATATCAAGATAACAGGTTACTTTTGATTTGATATACCAATATTAAAATATATCCAGTCAGTAACACTCCTAAGAGTAAGATTTGATTCAGGAAACACTTAATTCTGTATCTTTGTCTGTAATTTGTTTTTGTTTTCCTTGTGTAAATCATGTTAATTATCTTTAACATGTTTAATACATCAGATCATTCAGATGATCTACAAACACAAACTGATACCATGTGTACTGATCATGCTGATAGCATACTTTCATACAGAATTAGTAAATTTGTGTTTTGAATGTTTCTGAATGATAATCATGATAACTTATCTTTGATCATAATAATATCTGATAATCATGACAAAATATGTGTACAATTTCATTTAAATACTAGATACATGTTAGAATAAAGTCAGAATTATGAGTTATCTCAGTAGCATGTGCTCAGGGTTATCTTGGTTAGCAAATGTCATCCTATTCATCATGTTCATGCTAATACATCTTTTATAGTGAACATGATCATGATGACGTAATTCATTAACTTGTCATAATTAGGATGACTTGCAACGTACATATTTCAGAGCTCCAGATAACGTTTTTGGCAATTGAGTTTTTACTCGAAGGTTTCTATTTAATTGGGTTATTACATTTTTCATTGGGTAAACAATATATTTTCACTCATCTATTCATCACTCTATTGGGTTTTTCCTAAACACATTTTGAGATTAAAAAAAATAAATGTTTTAGATGTATATAACTATGATAACGGTTCTAAACACGCTAAATATAGGCTTGACTCGGAAAGTAAATTAGCTTGTAATTGTGTTTCAGAAATGAGATCTGTTGGGTATTTCTGCGTGCTGATTTTATACATTTGAGTTTTTCATTTAATACATGCGTTTCTGTATGCATGTTAAATGGAAGTAATTGTGTTTTGAATAATTTTTTCAGGGTATTTTACGCAAATACGCAGCTTATCATGCTTATCTGTAGCTCTGATATTTACTACTACTGAAGGTCCTGCATGGGATTCAGTCACCAAATAATCAACGGTTACTTGCACTTTCACCATATTTGCCCAGTTTTGTACCTTTACGTAATGTAAAATGATAAGATTGTTCTTTGAAAAGAAGATAAAATTTAAAAAGCAAACAGTAATTTACTTTGTGATTTTATGTCCTACATCGTAGCTCTACTCAACGTTTCATTATAGGGTTATTCCTATTATTCCATGATACATAGAACTGATCACTGATTGTAGATAGTATTTTTTATAAATCTCTATCATTGCCTAACCATACTAACATGCATTATGTGGGGTTCTGGGTTAGAACAGCTTGTAAGAGTGGACATAACAGATTGAGTGGTCAGACTAGGTGACTTAGTCTTCACGCCCCGACTGGATGGATCTTTGCTCATTATCATGATTATAGCAGCAAGGCCTTAGTTAACTTTTTTTGACAGGGGGGGGGGGAGGGGGACAAATATTTGTACAAGTATTAAGTTCAAGTTAACTTTCACAAGGTAAAATGTTTTCTATAAAAATCCGGGGGGGGGGGGGGGGAGGGGGGGGGGGGCAACTGCCCACCCTGCCCCCAGGCTGCCTACGGCACTGAGCAGTCACTAGATTGTCTGGTCCAGACTCCATTATTTACAGGCTGCCGTCATATAGCTGGAATATTGTTGAATGAAGCATTAAAAGGGTTAACCAAAAACAAACAACTAAATGTTAATCAAGAGCAAAAATGGATCAGATCAGATTATAGTCGCAATATACATGGAAAATTGTTTCACTTTGTTTCAGATGCAGAGGAATCTTCATTTATTCACACGGTTAGCTAGTCATCAACATATAGGTCCCCTACTACGTGAATGGTCAGTATTTCGTCAGAATGTACCAAAGGGCTTTGAGAAATACTTTCCAGGAGGCAAGAAGGCAGCAGGGAAAGAACAGCCGACCAAACCAAAAGGTGTGAAATTTGTAGATATGTTGATTGCCAAAAAGTGTCATGCAATTTTAAGGATTACCGGATATGGCCATCTTCACTATTATGTGTTATGTTTATGATGATTGCATTCATAATTTCATGCCATTTCTTGGGTTATCATGGGCCAGTGTGGTGATGTGGGTGGTATTATTTTATGCCTTTCTCACTGTTACCATGGTTACTCAAGTGGTTATCTAATGTAACCATGGTAACTTCAGACCGTATAGACCCGTGACGATCTGGGGTAGAATAGGTCTTCAGCAACCCATGCTTTCCGTAAAAGGTGACTATGCTTGTTGTAAGAGGTGACTAACGGGATCGGGTGGCCAGACTCGCTGACTTGGTTGATGCATGTCATCATATCCCAATTGTGTAGATCAATGATCAATCACTGGATTGTCTGGTCCAGCCTCTGTTATTTACAGACCGCCGTCATATAGCTGGAATATTGCTGTGTGCGGCGTTAGACCACAAACAAACAAACAAAATATTAAGTAAAATCCAGATGTATCCCTGCATTTTGCCTGTTTATCTTTTGCTCATCACTAGTTTGGGATCTAGTACTAGGTACAATGTGTGAGCCCATTTCACGGCTCTGTTCCCTTAAGCGATGATGATACATGTTTAGGCTAAGTTCGCTTTTTGGAATGGGACCACCTTCATTTGGCTGAAATATTGCTAAACATGCAAAAGAGTGACATAAGAACCTACTCTCTCACTCAAGTGTTGAGGCAGGTTCCTGAGATCATTTACATTCGTCTCACCCATTTTGTACAATTTTGGGGACAAACGTGACAACGTGTCATTATATTCTTATTATCCATTTCAGAGCCAGTCAAACCCTCCGAGCCCCCTCCTTCCAAATCTGGATTTTCACAGAGGCCGTCTCAAGGCTCTGAAAAAAGAGTAGAGTTTTCTTTTCAAATTGGAAAGTAAGTAATGAATTCTGTGTCGTACTTGCTCGAGCCATATGCTAATACTCATGTTTATATATATCACATGTGTCTTCAAGATGAGAAGGAACAAATTGCTTTTGTGGCATGAAGCAATATTCTCTAAGTAACATGGACCCTCTCCATGATCAAATGGATAGAGCATTTGCCCAAACAGTGGAAGGTCAACTGTTTGATGTTACCAAGAAATGTCAAAAGATGGTACTTGTTGTTACCCTGTCTGGCGCTCTGCTTCTTTTAGAGGTGATAAAACAAGGACTGGTCTGCTCGGAGACAGTATGCTGTATCTGTCTGGCAAATGGAGCTGATTATTGCCGGGTATCTTGCGATACAATTCATATCACAATATTGACTGACAATACTACTGGTATCGCGATACACCACATCCCATAGTAGGAAATGATGAAATCACTGAAGTACAGCTGTAAGACCTCTTTCTTCATACATCTATTTATTGTTATCAAAGGCCGCCTCCGTGGTCTAGTGGTAGAGCGTCCGCCTGGAGAGCGGAAGGTCTGGGGTTTGATCCCCGTCCGTGTCATACCAAAAGACGTTAAAAGATGGTACATCTTGTTACCCTGTCTGGCGCTCGTCATTAAAGGGCTAAAACAAGGAGTGGTCGGCTGGGAGTCAGTATACTGTGTCTGAGTGGGGTATTCATGTTAAACTGCGGCATGGTATCTTAGCTAGCACTATAATTTGGCATCAGTCCGGACTAGTACAAGCAGACCCACACGCACGCACACACACATATGCATGCACGTCGCTATATAAGTGCAATAATCTTTGACGCGACCTTAAACCCCATTTCACCTCACCTATTATCAAAAACCTTAACAAAGTAAACCACAAGAACAAAACAGGTTGAAATGAAGAGATGGTTGTCCTCATGTCCTCTGATATAACTGAAAACTGAAGTATTGTTCAATAGGTCTGAAACCCAACTCACTCACTCACTTTGACTTGGCTTATCTCTGTTCTTTACGCAACAGGGGGAGAAGCCCTTTTGGTGACCCCAATGACCCCAACACCAGATTGTTGATTGGCCTGATCACTGGCGTCAGTCTTGTGGGTCTGATCGGACTCTATCAGACTCAGTATAAGGAGATAACATGGAAGGAATTTGTCTCCAACTACCTCTCACGGGGAAGCGTAAGTAGTGCCATGCATGTCAGGGGCTTACAGTTGTACAAGTTGTAACCATGGTAACTGGATAGTGGATGGTATTGAAACATGAATATCATTATGATCAGTTTTGATTTATCAAGCTTGTAATAGTATTGTCCAATCTCATTAAAATCAGACCTTAGTTCTCGCTACCGCTAAACAAAGATCTGAAGACATCCCATTAGGGGTCACGTCAGAAAGACCTTTCATCCTACCAATCGCTTACCAGATTATGAAAGTGACAGTCGGAATGTGGTTTCTGATCATGCAACCACGAAAACTTTATTCCGAACGATAATTACAGGTTTAACGACTGAATCCATACAATCTAGCCCATCTATTAGCCATTCCAGAATGTTTTTTGTTCAGGTTTCAAATTTGTAATCGAGAATTTGTCAAAATATGTTTCGAAGCGTAGTGGCCAATTTGAAATTAGTGCCGTAAAGCACGTGAAAGCTGCCTTCTGACTGGTCATTCCATTGGTCGGTCAAAGTTTGCGCAAGGTCAATCTGACATGACCCGTAATCGGTAATGGGATGTCTTCACATCTTTGTTGAGCGGTAGCGGGAACTAAGATCTGATTTTAATGAGATTGAGTATTGGCATTGTGTTGTGTTCTTCTGCCAAATTACCGTCTTATGCGCGTTCTCCACTATGCATTTCCAGACCAACTTTTAAGCCAATCTGTAAGTACCGTAATCTCTTAAATGCCCCTACATAGAAAAATTACATGACAGTCAACATATTCTTGTGTATATTCCAGATTTTTACAGAAAACATCAGTGCAGAATAGGTACATAATATAATTACCTCGTTACTATTGAAACAGTTATAGTTTTAACAATTTTGAACTGTTTGTTCACTTCCGCTTAATCCCTGAAAACAAAACTGACTCGATTTGTATGGTTTTAAGAAGCACATTAAATCAGCGACACAAAGTGCCAAGAATGCAAGCTGAAAATCAGGAAGAGCTTTGTTACCTTTTCAGCTATGACATTAATTGTTTCGTAATTTGTGTTTCAAGGTTGAAAAATTAGAAGTAGTCAATAAGAAGTGGGTGAGGATCAAGCTGATTCCAGGAACACAGGTGGACGGATCGGTGAGTTGAAGTGATGCTACGTGTCAGGGGAAGAACATGTAACTTGCACATTTTTAAACTTATCCTAACCGCCTCCGTGGTCTAGTGGTAGAGCGTCCACCCGGAGAGCGGAAGGTCCGGGGTTCGATCCCGGCCGTGTCATACCAAAAGACGTTAAAAGATGGTACTTGTTGTTACCCTGTCTGGCGCTCGGCATTTAGGGGCTAAAACAAGGACTGGTCAGCTCGGAGTCAGTATACTGTGTCTGAGTGGGGTATTCATGTTAAACTGCAGCATGGTATCTCAGTGAGCTAGCACTATAAATCGGCATCAGTCCGGACTAGTACAAGCAGAAACACACACACGTACATGCACGTCGCTATATAAGGGCAATAATCTTGGACGTGACGTTAAACACAATTTCACCTCACCTTAAACTTATCCTATCTCACTCTATACATTTCATCCTTCTTCTTCTGATCCGTGTGTGGAAAATTCCTAAGAAGTTTCCAGCTTCTTGGCTCATCTAGCCCAAACACCCCTTGCATCACCATGGCGACCACACTAACAATCAGGTCATGCACCCGAATCTCGTGCAGCCTGACGTACATTGTCTGATCACCTGACACCCACTGCCTCATCATTGTCTTTCTCTTTGCCTTAATGTGGAGATGTGCTATATTTTAGAGAGGATATTTCGGCCTTTATTTTCTCAAAATTTGACAAGAGTTTAACATACTACTTGCAACATGATGGGCAAGGATCAGCAGAAATGTCAGGCCTGCAAGAAGTTTGTTTGTTTGTTTGTTGTTTAACGCTGCACTCAGCAATATTCCAGCTATATGACGGCGGTCTGTAAATAATCAAGTCTGGACCAGACAATCCAGTGCTTGACATCATGAGCATCGATCCATGCAGTTGGGATATGATGACATGCACCAACCAAGTCAGCGAGTCTGACCATCCGATCTCGTTAGTCGCCTCTTACAACAAGCGTAGTTAGCTTTTATGGCAAGCATGGGTTGCTGAAGACCTATTCTACCCCAGATCTTCACGGGTGTTGCCACATATTTTCAACAGTGGATGCACAGAGTGAGATAGGATAAGTGTTATAAATATACAATTTACTGTAAAATTGACCATATCCCCCTTCAGGATTTCGGTTAGAATAGGTACCCAGCAACTATTATGCTAGTTGTAAAATACGACCAAATGGATGGGATGGTCAGGCCAGATGACTTGGTTGACTACGTGTCATGATCATACTCCATGGATTGCTGTTCATAATATCAGTCACTGGTTTGTCTGGTCCAGACTTTTTTTTACAGTGTTTACATGTTGCAATCATATAGCTGGAATATTGCTGCTGAGTGTATCGTTTAACAACAACAAAAAAAACCAACAAACAAACAAACTAACAAAATGCTATCATTTATATCAACCATGGGTTTGTATAATTTAAACCAATGTGATGTTTATAATGCTTTTTATTGTTGATGTACATGTAACCCCCCTCACTTCCCTGACAGGGGCGGCTGGGTAGCCTAGTGGTTAAAGCGTTCGCTCGTCACGCCGAAGACCCGGGTTTGATTCCTGACATGGGTACAATGTGTGAAGCCCATTTGTGGTGTCCCCCGCCGTGATATTGCTGGAATATTGCTAAAAGCGGCGTAAAACCATACTCACTCACTCACTCACTTCCCTGACAAGAGTACCAACGGTTGCCTTACTTTTGTTGCAGAGTATGATATGGTTCAACATAGGCAGTGTTGAAGCATTTGAAAGAAACCTGGAGAATGCACAGCTAGAAATGAATATCGAACCATCCAACTTTGTCAATGTTGTCTATAAAACAGAAACAGAAATGTGAGTGTTCTTTTTTCATATTCATTTACCCACATACCATTACCAACATGTTCAACATTTACCCATTTTCAGTTTAAGTTTAGACCTGAAAAATCAGGACTTCTTTGACCTCATTGGAGTAGTATACTGGAGTGGTATAATTGGTAATCATCAATAGCATCATTAACTGTATGGATTTGGTGAAATTAAATCATCTTTTCCATTGCATTTTGTCACTCAAACTGGTCCATGGTCTAGTGATGGAGTCTCAGCCCGGAGAGCAGAAGGTCATGGGTTTGATCCCCAGCCACGTCATGCCAAAATACGTTAAAAGATGGTACTTCTTGTTACCCTGTCTGGCACTCAGCATTAAGGGGCTAAAACAAGGACTGATCTGCTTGGAGTCAGTATACTGTGTCTGAGTGGGGTATTCATGTTAAATTGCGGCATGGTATCTCAGTGGGCTATCACTATAAATCGGTTCAGACTAGTACAAGTAGCCACACGCACACACTATGTAAGTGCAATAATCTTGGACGCAACTTTAAACCTCATTTCACATCACCAATGTAAGTATAACATGTAATTGGGCTTGTAACTGCATATATGTTAGTTTTCTTTCTTTTTCAGAGCATCCGTCGCATATTCTGCACTGAACATCATTCTCCCCATTGCAATTTTGATATGGCTTATAAGACGTTCCTCAAACATGTTTCAGGTAACTTCTTTGCCAAATCATAAGAATGAGATAGGAAAGCAAGGTATATCATAATGCAGAGTTGTGTCCCTTGCTTGTGCCAGGATCCAGTGGCCTTGATACCCAGATTTGACCTGATTATGATCCTTGATATATCATATTAATGTATTCATGTAGTGTATACATCACAGTGAAGTTTGACGATGTGTACTTTGTATGATTTCTAACTATAATTTTCAATATTCTCTTTGCAGGGGGGTCAGGGAGGTACTCGAAGAGGAGGAGGGGGGATATTTGGCTTCGGTCAGACAACAGCTAAAATCATGAAGGAAGACATTGGTGTCAAATTCAAGTGAGTACAGAGTACATTTGTACTAGGCGACTATGCTTGTTGTAAGAGTTGACTAACGGGATCGGGTGGTCAGGCTTGCTGACCTGGTTGATGCATGTCATCGTATCCCAATTGCGTGGATCGATGCTCAAGATGTCAATCACTGGATTGTCTGGTCCAGACTCAACTTTTCACAGACCGCCGTCATATAGCTGGACTATTGCTGAGTGCGGCTGAGTGTTGTTAAACAACAAGCAAACAAAAGCAAAAAACATGTGTATTAGTAGTGGGACAATACACCAATGCATTGTTTGATCGCGATTGTTTACTTCTCGATCGATCACAATCGCACACTTAGTAAAAAGTATTGATTCTTACCTTAAATGTGTTTTTTTAATAAATGTTACACCAAATACTGATTACTAGTGAATATGAGTAGTGACAACTTAAATATTTTCCTCCATTGCACCATACTTGACACTGCCAACTGTAAATTGTTAGTGTGCAAGGTATTTGGCCATCCTGTCTTTGAAAAAAATGGCTTACACACCATAGACAAGAGCACGTGCAAGTATCGTGATACGTTTCGGATCGAGAGGATGGTATTGTGATACGTATTGGATCACACAGTTGGTGTATCGTCCCAGCCCTAGTGTCTACATAATATTCTTGCCGTAGGTTCTTGAACATATCGGCTGATTCTTTCAAATGTTTTTCATTGTACACAGTTACAGATGTATCCTGTTACGTCGGTGTATGTTACATAGCTCAGTCATCAGTGTCAAACACTTTTTAGTCTACAAGCCTAAACTTGGCTCTCAGCATCATTTTCAATCGCTATTTAGTACAGTATTATTAGCTGAGCTTACATGACAGGATTAAACAGGTTTCCTACACTCTGGCTTCAACTTGTCTAAGGTCCAATCTCATTTAAATCAGATCTTAGTTAGCGCTGCCGCTTAACAAAGATCTGAGGACATCCCATTAGGGGTCACGTCGGAATGACCTTTCATCCAACCAACCAGAGCGTCGCTTATGAGATCATGAAAGTTACAGTCGGAATGTGATTTCTAATCATGCAACCTCAAACTTTAACACAGTGTATTCCGAACGATAGTTACGGGCTTAACGACTGAATCCATACTAGATAATCTAGACCATCTATTAGCCATTCATGAATGTTTTTTAGTTCAGGTTTCACATTTTTAATCGAGAATTTGAAATTAGTGCCGTAAAGCACAAGAAAGCTGCCTTCTGATTGGCCAATGTCTATTTCTTGTCAGTCATTCCATTGGTCAGTCAAAGTTAGTGCAAGGTCAGTCTGATGTGACCCGTAATGGGGTGTCCTATTTGTTTAATGGTAGCGAGAACTAAGATCTGATTTAATGAGATTGGCTAAGGTCAGTCTGATAACCTGGGTTTTGGGAGAGAAGAAGCAGTCCTCCGAGATATTAACAAGTCACGAACTGTTTGTTGCCTTGTCAGGGATGTAGCTGGTTGTGAGGAGGCCAAGGTGGAGATCATGGAGTTTGTGAATTTCCTGAAGAATCCCCAGCAGTACATTGACCTGGGAGCCAAGATCCCCAAGGGAGCCATACTGACGGGGCCCCCAGGGACAGGCAAGACTCTGCTGGCCAAGGCCACGGCAGGGGAGGCCAATGTGCCTTTCATCACAGTGTCGGGGTCGGAGTTCCTCGAGATGTTTGTTGGCGTTGGTCCCTCCAGGGTAAGACTAAGAATAAGATGCCAGAAAGACCAAAGAATTAATACTTGTTTGCATTTCCTCACGTGTTCATGGGATCATGATGTGTGTTGTCATGTATTGTACTGATATATTTATCCCCCGCCCAAACGATGTGTGCTGTCTGTCCTTCCAATTGTGCATGCAGCACCATTTTGTTTCCCAAGCATAACAAAGTCCATTCTGTGCTTCTTGGCAGAAGTTTGCACAGATTTCAGTCCAGCCATGAGTCGGTGCCTTTTGCCATGTTTGCTATTTCATGTGTATAGGAATTGTTTAGTATATTTTTTTCTGGTTGCCATGGTAACAAATTGAACATGGGTTCAAATGAGTGTAGGGATTGGTTTCCAGAGCATAACTTGAATACCATTCAATATTCCTTGATCATATTTTGCACAATAAGCATTCTAGCCTTGAGTGTTCCATGCTTATTTGTAAAGGGAATGTTTGAAGCCTGCTTGTGGTGTCCCCACTATTATATTGCTGGAATTTTGCTGATAACAGAGTAAAACCATGCTCACTCACCCTCAAATGTAAAGGGAAATAGGAAACATGTTATTTTAAGGAGTTTTGGCTCTTTGAGTACCACTGTGACCTTCATTCTAATTAATCACTGTGGGCACCGGTATCTCCGAGGTTAGAGTGTCTCCGTCCATTAGCTTCCTGACCCGTGAAGATACAGGGTGGAAACATCATAGACAGTCGCCTCCAATCTAAATGAACGATGTGTGGGTCCTGAGCCAATCAGTTGTCATCTTTCTTAAACGATTTGGCTTCGTTTCTTTGCAATTACAATTTGGACATTTCGATCTTAGCAAAAGGAAAACCTCCACAGAACACGAATGTATCGTTGATTTCCACCATTAAGCCATGTCGCTGAGAAAAGACAAGATGTTGTCATATCTACAACAATATACATGTACTAGTAGTAGGAATGCCCTGATCATATATATGTTTTCAAGATCCAGAAATCAAATATGCTGGTCGGAATGCTCCACTCCATCATACCAAGAATTCTAAAGCCTGGACACAGATTTGCTGTTCATAAGGTTCACCTGAATGTGTCCTCAGGTTTTCATGCAGAGATGCAATGTATTGGAGTAAAAGATTTGATTTTAAAGTGATTTAGAAATCTGACCTGGGTCACGTCAAGTTTTTGCTGACATTAGTCATTCACTAAGTTATTACAGAATGTTTTCTCCCTCAATGAATAGCAATTTGTTTTACTTGCTAGGTCCGAGACATGTTTTCCATGGCCAGGAAGAACGCTCCGTGTATTCTGTTTATTGACGAGATCGATGCTGTGGGGAGGAAGCGAGGGGGGCGCAGTATTGGCGGACACAGTGAGCAGGAAAATACACTCAATCAGCTCCTGGTGGAGATGGACGGTATGTGGTCGCGTGTGTCATTACTACTCAAGGAGAGAAATACTGTCAATCAATACTGGTCAAAACTACCTGCTGTTATTAGTATCGTGTGTTTCTTGTTCAGAGCTAATGTAACTGAAGTTGTGGTTTTCAAGGAATTTCAACAAATTCACATGCAGATCAAGATGCTGAAATTGGATTTTTCAAATATTTGGTGATCAGTTTTGTGCCCAAACTGTAATTTACATTTCAAATTTGTTTTGGTGAATTTGTCAATTAGCCAAAGTTGTCAATGTTTTGTTCTGCTTCTCAGGTTTCAACACACAAAGTGGTGTTGTTGTGTTAGCAGCAACAAATAGAGTAGACATTCTAGATGGTGCTCTTCTACGGCCTGGCAGATTTGATAGGCAGATCTTTGTACCGGCTCCTGACATCAAAGGGAGGTAAGCCTCAAGGCTCATAATCTTTACACTGGTATCATGCTCTAAGCTGATGATTTTGATATTGGGATAATGGTTTTACTAATATTTCACAATAAAGTAAGGGACAAACTATTTACGAATATTAGCTGACGTTAAACACAGAGTTTGATGAGCCCCTGCTTCCATTCAATATCCGTTTGTGAGATGAAACGAAATATGTCTGTGTCATCATGGTTATTAGAATCTTTTATTCAGGATATGGTGGCCTAAATGATGTTTATTTGTGACAGTAGTTTGAGAATACAATCATCTTCCTGAGGCAAGGGCGTTAACTGACAATAAAAGTCCAGATTCCACCCTTGCCGAACTATGCTCAAATGTCCAGGCTCGATCATTGCGCCACCAGTGGCTGTTACGAGTTATGTCCCTTCTATGTCCTACCTATTGACCAATCAGATTCCATCACTTGCATTTGACTCAAAGAAAATGGCGGCAACCAGTCAAGACAATCTGATCAATAATCAAGATCTGTATTGTAATAAAATAGGTCTTCCCCTATGAAGTGCATCAAATCACTTGAGCACCTTTATTAAATACATGAACAGATTTGCAAATATCTGTCGATGCTTATTTGGCGGTACACATGCTTTGCAAATCCTGCAGTGAACTGAAAACTGCAGGTTGAAATCCATGTTGTTTACAAACCGGATGTCTAGTTCGTTTCGCAATATTGATTGGACTATGCACAGACTCGTTGGTCCAGCCAAAATGTAACTCAGGAGTTCTTGCCTAGTTCGGCAAGGGTGGAAACTGGAAACTAGTCAGTTAACTTCCTTGCCTCTGGAAGATGGAATACAATAAGAAAAAGGTCTTCATATTATCTCAAAAGAAGTGAGCATGCAAGCATATTCTTTCTGATTTAACAAAAAAAACACAATCTAACACCTCAACTGCACACATATTTCTCCAGGAGCTGTTGGGGCGGTCGGGTAGCCTAGCGGTTAAAGCGTTCGCTCGTCACGCCGAAGACCCGGGTTCGATTCCCGACATGGGTACAATGTGTGAAGCCCATTTCTGGTGTCCCCCGCCGTGATATTGCTGGAATATTGCTAAAAGCGGCGTAAAACCATACTACACTACACTCACTACACTACACTACACTACACTACACTACACTACACTACACTACACTACACTACACTACACTACACTACACTACACTACACTACACTACACTACACTACACTACACTACACTACACTCACTCACTCACTCACTCACTCACTCACTACAGGCGCTGTGGAGAGTTTTGAGTCTGTTTAATTATTCAACCTAATGGATCACACTTGGAAGGCTAGAGATTGTAGGTGTGTATTGATTTCTGTTTCCAGAGCATCTATTTTTAAAGTGCATTTAAAGCCCCTCAAGACCCGGGTAGACAAGGAAGAATTGTCACGGAAAATGGCGGCACTCACACCAGGGTTTTCAGGTATGGACACAATAGTGGGAGTCCCACAATAGTGGGGAATATGTCAGCCATATTGCATGATATTGTGACTTGTAGAAGTGGTACAATATATCACAGATTGACTTTAAACTGCAGTAGAACATGGATATAATGAACTACAAGGGACTGGAGAAATCAGTTTGTTATATTTGTTTTCCCTTCAAAATGTCCGCCATCTTGGATAAAAAAAAACACATATTTGAAAAAAAGTTTTAAAAATGTTATGAATTTAATGTTATTAAAGGAATGTTATCAGTTCAATGCTATGAAGTGTCCACTGCTATTACAAGTCAATGCTGCAATTATGTGTTATGTGATTTAGTATTTCATGATTTACATATGGGGAGATGTGTTGTCGGTGATTTTGCTCTGGTCTCGGTTTGTTGGCTGCATTTATGAAACTGCATTGGTTTAATGTTTGTTTCACAGACAAGATTAGTCCAATTAAATGTACGGGTAAGATTAATATGAAGCAAGTTTAGCAAGGTTGAATCATCACTACTGATTGTGTTGATTCGTTGCGACTGTCTTGATTCGTTGCTGATTGCGTATAGCCAATTGTCAGTGACACTTGATACTGAGTGGTACACAGTTATTACAATCAGTATCATGTATCCCCTATTGTGTTGTAGGTGCTGACATAGCAAATGTTTGTAACGAGGCAGCCTTGATAGCAGCAAGAGATCTGAACACTGAAATCAACATCATGCATTTCGAGCAGGCCATTGAGAGAGTTGTTGCAGGTAGGTGTGGAGTTTTCAGTCTGCGGCCTTAGCAAAATATCTGAAGCCCAAGTCAAATAAAATTCTGTTCAGTCCAGTAACTTCAGCTAGAAATATTCCAGATAATGACCCAGAACTCTACTGTAAGTGATCCTGAGATTACAGTAGGCCACTAGACTCTTAAAGATTTTGGCACAGATTTTTGTATGTGACACAAATAATGTGTGCTAATGTTGCTGTCATTGTGAGGCATGAATGTCAGGTTTTGTTAATCGCAGTGGTTAATTTATGATGCCCTCTCTACGGTGAAAGAATTAGCAATTGCCAGAATCAATTTGGATTCATGGCAATTGTTTCAGCCAGTTATATATATTTCTAAGGTAATCAAGCTTTTGCTTCGAAGCTGTAATAACGATAATGATATGTGTTGTGTTTGTTTGTTTGTTTGTTGTTTAACGCCGCACTCAGTAATACTTCAGCTCTATGACGGCGGTCTGTAAGTAGTCGTGTCTGGACCAGACAATCCAGTGATTGACATCATGAGCATCGATCCACGTATTTGGGATACGATGACATGCATCTACCCAGTCTGCGAGTCTGACCACCAGATCCCGTTAAGTCAATCACAGGATTGTCTTGTCCAGACTCGATTATTTACAGACTGCCGTCATATAGCTGGAATTTTGCTGAGTGCGGCGTTAAACCACAAACAAACAAACAAACAAACAAACAAAAACACTTGCTCCTTTCAAGAGCTGTATTCCAATTATTTCATTTCGACATGACACACCATGGCATAACACACAATGCGCTACTGGGTAAATCTTGATGTATCGTGATGATGTAGAAAATAAACATGCTTAAATGAGAATTTTATCTTCAAGCTAAAGCAGGGAAACCAACTCGGCATGTTCTTTGTTGACATTTAAGAACTCTAAGAAGTTTCATTGTGGTTGTATTCCGTCTAGGTTTGGAGAAGAAGACCCAGGTACTGCAGCCCGAAGAGAAGAAGACTGTGGCATACCACGAGGCGGGTCACGCGGTGGCAGGGTGGTACCTGGAGCACGCTGACCCCCTCCTCAAGGTGTCCATCATCCCCCGGGGCAAGGGACTCGGCTATGCCCAGTATCTCCCCAAGGAACAGTATTTGTACACTAAAGAACAGGTAGGGATGCATATGGATGTCTCAACCAAAACACAGTCACTGATGATGTGTCGTGTTGATGTATCTTGTTATTGGAATCATGACGGAAATTATCGCTTGATTACACCTCCCTTCCAAAACTGGTTTTTATGCATAATTTCTTTAGTATATATTGGTGTTGATAAAAGAGCTGTTTTCAGTTTAGACCGCCTCTGTGGTCTAGTGGTAGAGCGCCCGCCCAGAGAGCGGAAGGTCCGGGGTTTGATCTTCCGTGGCATACCAAAAAACGTTAAAAGTTGGCACTTGTTGTTACCCTGTCTGACGCTTGGCATTAAGGGGCTAAAACAAGGACTGGTTGGCTTGGAGTCAGTATACTGTGTCTGAGTGGGGTGTTCATGTTAAACTGCGGTGTGGTATCTGAGTGTCCTAGCACTATGAATCGGCCTGACTAGTACAAGCAGACACACACACACACACACACACACACACACACACACACACACACACACACACACATGCACACACTCACACATGCGCTATAGTAATATGAAAGCGCCATGGTTCTTTAACTTCTTTTCAGTAGTATATATGAGCTATTATCATCAGAGCTAACTAAATAGAATTGTGGCTGGTTGAAGAATACTACTGTTTTGTCAGTATGGGTTATGACCCGTGAAGATCAGGGTAGAGAATGGGTCGCCAGTAACCCATGCTTGTCGTAAGAGGCGACTAACCGGATTGGGTGGTCAAGCTCGCTGACTTGGTTGATGCATGTCAACGTCTCTAATTGTATTTATGGATGCTCATAATGTCAATCACTGGATTGTCTGGTCCAGACTCGATTATTTACAGACCACCCTCATATAATTGGAATATTTCTGAGTGTGGCGTTACACAACAAACAAGTATAGTATAGGTTGTTGTAAAGATGTAGTATATTTCTTTTTGTGCAGCTGCTGGACAGAATGTGCATGACCCTAGGTGGCCGTGTGTCGGAACATATCTTCTTCAATAGGATCACAACAGGTGCCCAGGACGACTTGAGAAAGGTCACACAGAATGCATACGCACAGGTATAACAACACAAATCTACTTGATTGGAATTGTGATGGATAGATTTAAAAAAAATTGTCAGATATTTTGTTATAAAGTTCATTATTGAACTCTGATGGTTCAGTAGTTGGTGGGGTAGCCTAGTGGTTAAAGTGTTCGCTTGTCACACCGATTTCTGGTGTCCCCTGCCGTAATATTGCTGGAATATTGCTAAAAGCGGCGCAAAACCCTACTCACTCACTCACTCTCTCACTCACTCACTCACTCACTCACTCACTCACTCACTCACTCACTCACTCTCTCTCACTCACTCACTCACTCACTCACTCACTCACTCACTCACTCACTCACTCACCCACCCACCCACCCACGATCCTTCATGTAGCCATGTCACAATATCAGTGATGTTCAAAGCACGTGGGCGGTCGGGTAGCCTAGTGGTTAAAGCGTTCGCTTGTCAGGCCGGAGACCCGGGTTCGATTCCCGACATGGGCACCGTGTGTGAAGCCCATTTCGGGTGTCCCTGCCGTGATATTGCTGGAATATTGCTAAAAGCGGCATAAAACCATATTCACTCAAAGCACGCACGTTGATCTCATCTTATGTCTTTTAAAACTAGAGATGCCTTTCTGTTGTAGGTGGTCCAATTCGGCATGAACGAGAGGGTGGGCCAGTTGTCCTTTCAGATGCCTAGTCAGGGCGAGATGGTGTTTGACAAGCCTTACAGTGAACAGACAGCTCAAATTATTGACGAAGAAGTCCGGAACATTATACAGGATGCTTACAAGCGGACGCTAGAATTGCTGACTAAGCACAAAGCAGATGTAGAGAAGGTTGGTTCTGTAAATGGAGGTACCCCTGAAGATTCTGGGGTAGAATAGGTCTTCAGCAACCCATACTTGCCGTAAAAGGCGACTATGCTTGTCGTAAAAGGCGACTAATGGGATCGCGTGGTCAGGCTCGCTGACTTGGTTGATACATGTCATCGATCCCAATTGCGTGGATGGATGCTCATGATATCAATCACTGGATTGTCTGGTCCAGATGTGATTATTTACAGACCGCCATCATATAGCTGGAATATTGCTGAGTGTGGCGTTAAACAACAAACCCAAAACCAACTGTAAATGGAGGATCGGTTTTAACTCATTTGATAACCAATCAGGTTATTTCTAGTGTTGGGAAATGGTTTGGACCCTTTGAGATGATTCGTTTGTTCCTGACATTTTGCCATTGATTATAAAAGGAAATAGTTCTTTTGCATATTTTCCATGTATTACACATGACATATCATGCTGATTCAGATGTAAAACCTTCAGAATCCTGTGTCTTTCTTTTAGTCTCATATTCATAATGAATTATGTGTGGATTTAAGATGAACGTTTGATATATCAATTAACATTTAAAAGATGAGATGGTAAAATATCGGATAGCTGTTTGAATCACAGTGTAAGGTATCATGTGAGTAACTCAGGTTGTTGGAGTATCAAGGTTTTGTTGTATCTGTTAACGTTTTTTACAGGTTGCTCTTCGGCTTCTTGCCAAAGAAAAGCTGGACAAGGATGATATGGTGGAACTACTAGGAGCTCGTCCCTTTGCTGAGAAGTCTACCTATGAAGAGTTTGTGGAAGGGACAGGTGAGGGTGTTGCACAGAACCTTGTCTCACCATGAAGCTCAGGATCATCTTGGTGATCTTGATCCCAGCGTGAAATACAAGCTGTAGCCCTTTTGTTCCAACAAAGTATTGAACAGTGGGTAGCCTAGTGGACAGGCTTTCGCTAGTCACGCTGAAGTCCCATGTTTGATTCCCCACATGGGTCTAGTATGTGAACCCCATTTCTGGTGTCCTTTTTTATTTCTGTCATGTTCAATTATTCCTACCAAGTTTCATGATAGTTATGGACCCATGAAGATCTGGGTAAGATTAGTCTTCAGCAACCCATGCTTGTCAAAAGAGGTGACTATTCTTGTCTGAAGAGATGACTAACAGGATCGGGTAGTCAGGATTGCTGACTTGGTTGATGCATGTACAGATTTGGTCACTGTAACCCATGTTTGTCATAGGAATTGACTTAAAAGATCATGACCCACTTGCACAAAGCAACCCCAGTGCTAGGACGGTTCGATATTTGAACTTTGGCTTACAAAAAGCATAGCTAAGGTTGCTTTGTGCAAGTAGGCCCTTGTCTGGCTCTCTTATTGTGCCTCAATAACTTGTAATGCTGCTCATGTTTTCCATCACTGGTTTGTCTGATCCAGACTCTCATCATCTTTGTAGTTCTCTGTGTGCTGTTGTTAGCTCACCTTTTCATGGTTCATTATCCACCTGACCCGTGAAGATCCGGGGTAGAAAAAATCTTCAGCAACCAATGCTTGCCATAAAAGGCGACTATGCTTGCCGTAAAAGGCGAGGCTCAGTTGGTCAGGCTCGCTGACTTGGTTGATGCATGTCCAAATTGCGTTGATCGATGCTCATGATGTCAATCACTGGATTGTCTGGTCCAGACTCGATTATTTACAGACCGCCGTCATATAGCTGGAATATTGCTGAGTGCGGCGTTAAACAACAAACAAACAAAACAAAATCATTATCCTCCTGTTGGCACTAAAACATCTTTATCTGCTGCATTGAACGATTTGAGTGAGTGAATGATTTGGGTTTAGCACCCAATTATCTCACGAAATGTAAGCTTAATGTGGGAGGAAGTGATACAGGTCTCAGATGTTTACCTCTTTGCTGAAGTGCTGAAACCCACAAGCATGGGTATGGTGCTGACAAACCTACAAATATAACCGGGCTGACCGGGATTCAAACCCACGATCATACATTTCTGGTGTGCCCAATGGACGCAATTTGGCACACTGGGCCACCAGTGCCCTCTTGAACCATAAGAGAAATTGTTAGTGAATGGAATGGGTTCTATTGCACAAAGCGATCTTTGCACAAAGACAAATGTAACCCCCGTACTTAAACATATGCTTACAATAGTCGTAACACTAAAATAACATTATGGAACAGTATCTAAGATCTTAACCTCGTCCTCTTCCCATTGTTCTCAGGTTCATTTGAAGAGGACACGTCGTTGCCCAAAGGTCTGGAGAGCTGGAACAAAGAACGTGACAATAAAGACTCTGAGACCCCCGAAAAGCCAGAGAAGGCCACCAGCTAGCCACGTGGTTCGCCTAGAGTTGACTACCCTGGCTAGAGTCAACCTGTTGTGGCCAGACCAACTGACTGGGTCCCCCATCTTTTCTAAATTGAAACGTGATTGTGATCACGTAAAGGACTGATCATGTGAAGTGCTAAGAACTTCTGCAATCATTCTACAAGTTTGTGCTGTTTGAGCTGGATTTAGATTCTCAAAGCCTGTGTCATGGTTGTCATGTATGTGTTACCATGGTTAAAGACAAAACATCAGATTGTAGATATAGTCACTTTTTCGAATAATATGACTCGTAATTTTGTTTTGTCAATGAGCTATGCAGTCAACTGAGATATTTGACCATGTTTATAGACATAGATCTACATGACATCTAACTTTACAAAGAAAATATTCTTGTAAAAAAAGACTCTTTTTACCTGACAGGAAATTGAGACGATACTGACCATATGGAACTGAAATCAGTGTTCTTGTGAACCATTATAAACAATAGAAATAATTATTTGCTCCTGAAATTACTGGAAATAATAACTTTGGCTCAGTTTTTACACAGACATTGATAAAATGCAGGAGGCCTGAAAAAGTGATGTTGAAATTTATATTTGTTCAGCTCCTCCTTTGAGAGAGAAAAATTGTATGTCTTGAAACAGCGAGTAAAGAACTATTCTGTGTCCATCATAATTCCCAGGCCTCCCAGAATATTCAATGGTCAGTCCGTACTACAGCTGTTAAAAGTGACGAACGGACCAACAGCTTTTCAAGATTTCAAAGACTCTCCGCATATGCCATTAAAGTGAAATTTGAGATAATTACATGACAATGACACTGTGCCACTATAGGGCAATACACCACCTGACGATGCAGCTGAAGTGTTGATGAATGAGTCGCGTGCCTCTGCCAGTTGGAGAAAGTTGTGTATATGTGTGATGTATGTCTGTTGTTAGAACGACCCTGGGCTACTGGGTGGGTGCATCACCCGCCTATCATGTTGAAGTGATTAATGTAATGTATTTAATAAAAACAAAAGATATACATTGTTTATGAGAATTGTGTTGTCTTTCCACAGGGTCCATCTTGTAATATATTTCACTTAAAAAGCCCTAGTACAGCTTTATTAATACCGGTGGGTGCATTTTATGATTTGGCAATTCAGGTTTAATTGTGTAATTTTTTTATAATATACCCACTGCCAAAAGAAATGCGAATACCAGACATGTGGGTTAATATATGAAGACTTACTCATATTCATATTGGTTCGATGCACAAGCGAACATACTGGTATGTCGTGTGAACCAATGCACACGAACGCATCACATACTACGTCATAGATACAGGACTCGAGATGCGTCATTTGTTTCATGCAGGATTAGCACGTAATGTTTGAAAATCACGTGCAGTATTTCGTGATAAGAATAAAGACACTATGGTAACACTTGACTGATATTTACTTTTGTCATTAATTGTACACATTGGAAACATCTCTTCTTAACCTGCATACTTCTCTCTATTAGTTTGTATTTTTTGTGTTTCGTTTGGTTGTGAGTATGTATAAACAAATGAGGTAGTTATGATGTAGTTATATTTGACCCGTTTGTAAACCCATCACCTATAAAATGATCGAATGCATATGTCAAGGGGGTGGGGGGGTCAAGGGCACAATAAGAGCACTAGTTATTACAGTGGCAACTTTGTCAGTTTCAATAGCTTAGTCTTAAGATTGGACTAATCACAACACATGTCTTGGCACTATAGTCCTGGCCAACATTGCTAGACTGATGACAAACCTGGCAACATTATCTGGGCGAATCGAGATTCGAACCCACAATCATAGGTTTCTGGCGTGCCCAAGGGACGCAACTGTGCACAGCGATTTGCGGCGCGACTGGGCCACCCGTGCCCCCGCCCTTTACTTTTGTGACCAAATAGCAAAAACGTGGCAAGGTTCTGATTCCGCACGACGGAAGACTTGTGTTACCTTGCACTTTTCAGTATCAAGGTTCTCGTGGTCAAAGACACCATGCACTGAGAGCCAGTAGTCAAGTACCATTCGACAACAGAATCTTGTCTGCAAGCTGAAACGGGCGGTGCAGTAGTCTAGTGGTTTAAGCGTTCGCTCGTCACGCCGAAGACCTTTGTTCAATTCCCTACATGGGTACAATATGTGAAGCCCATTTGTGGTCTCCCCAACCATGATATTGCCGGAATATTGCTAAAGCGGCGTAAAACAATGCTCACTCACAAGCTGGAATATCATTATTAGCTGGTATACTGTTCAACGCGGCGTTATGCCCGACGCACTCCCCATGGAACGTCATGTCGCCCTAACCACATGCTTCATGTAAGTACTTGACGAATGTGACCAACAGCACAAACTCATCATCTGAAGCCACTGAACATGGCCAGGTTCTGATTCCGCAGGGGACGGTCAGGTAGTGGTTAAAGCGTTCGCTTGTCACGCCGAAGACCCGGGTTCGATTCCCGACATGGGTACAATGTGTGAAGCCCATTTCTGGTGTCCCCCGCTGTGATATTGCTGGATTATTGCTAAAAGATTCCGCAGAAGGGAAGACCTGAGTCGCTTTGGGCTTTTCAATATCAAGCCGACAAAGTTCTCGTCGTCAAAGCCACCATGCACTGAGAGTCAGTAGGCTAGTGGCAGTAAAAAACAGAACCTAGTCTACAGGCTGACATGTCATTACTGCTTTATTGTTCAAAGCGGTGTTATGCCCGACGCACTCCCCTGTGCACTTCCCTCTGAACTCGGTCTTCTCAACGGTATGCATATCTTGGTGCTCACACTATCAACCCTTGTTTTTTCTGGCCCAGGACTCCTAACACTTCGTCATTGTTGTCATGTTGCTACTACGGTGTTCCTTCATTTACGCAATATTTCCTTAGTCAGTATATCCCTTTCTTGTTCTCCACGAGGTGGTTGGGTAGCCTTCTGGTTAAAGCATTGACTCATCACGCTGAGGACCCGGGTTCGATTCCCCACATGGAAGTCAATTGCTGATGTTCCTCACCGTTATAAGGAACATTGCTAAAAACCAGCATACTGCTCACTCGCTAAACATGGAAATTGGTTGTAAGCACGTTTAAATGAAGAAATACATGTGAGTGAGTGAGTGAGTTGGGTTTAATGCCGCTTTTAACAGTATTCCAGTCATATCGCGGCGTGTGAGCTTAATGTTGGAGGAAAGCCCGAAGTGATGCAGGTTTCAGACCTTTACCGATTCGGTGAAACCCACGAGCACGGATATGGTGCTGACAAACCTAGAAACATAATTGGGGCGAACCGGGATTCGAACCCACAATCATAGGTTTCTGGCGTGCCCAAGGGACGCAACTCTGCACAGCGAATCGCTGCGCCTTAGACGACTGGGCCACCCGTGCCCCAAAAATTTACAGACAAACTTATCTTCAGCCAACGGTCAAAGTTATTCTTCCGTGAATGTTCTGTACCTGTACCGAAAAATGTTCAAGGAAACAACAAAAGTAGATCAGAGTATGATAAGTAGTGAGTGAGTGAGTTGTATTTTACGCCGCTATTTAGCAATATCACGGCGGAGTCATACCCGGGTCATCGGCGTGACGAGCGAACGCCTTAACCACGAAGCTACCCACCGCCCCTGTATGATTAATAGGGCGTGGATTGACCCCGGCGCCAATAAATGTGAACAGTAGTATACAAACCGAAACTGTACGGCATGTTAAATACATTTTCATAAAAATATTCCACAGCGAATGTCACGTGCGCTTTGCGAGTATCGTTCAAGAAACAGCAAAATTAGGTCGGAATGTAGCTGTAAGTGGGAAAACTGATACCTGGGGCACCAAATGCGGACAGCCGTATAAAAACCAAAACAGTTCGGGCCACGCCAGAGGAGAAGCGGTCGTGTCTTGGACTGGATCTGTTAACGATGATGTCTCTTGTAGTCGTCGCCTTCGTTGTCATTTGTGCAACGTTGTCGGGTTTGTGAACCTCTTCAACGAAATATTTTTGTATTTATCTAGTCACGATTAACCTCTCTTATCGTTATCAGTAGTGTGAAGGGGCTATGATAAAATGTGGACCAAATTAGATGTTTTTGTATTTAGACAAAACATGCTAAAAAAGCATACCCTTATGGTAAGTGCATGAACACTGTAAATTGTGTTGTGTATTATTCTGGTTGATGAGATTTAATCAAGAATAAAAAGGTGTCAGTTTGGTATCGGCTACCATGTTTACTTCTACAGATGCGATAGATACTTTTCAGAAAAGATGTTTTAAATGTGTATGGAAGGAAAAAACGGTTAAAGTGAAAAGACAAATAATGTCTCAACCCCAAAAACATGGCGGAATTACCATGCCAATTATAAAGGATGTGATTGCAGCACAAAAACTTTCATGGAGCAGAAGATTATATGGTAATCACTCAAAATGGATTGATTTAGTTTCTTGTTGTATTCCAAATAGAGAGAGAGATTATGGTTGGCAGATGCCTCCTATGTTGACGTTGTTATTGCTCCAAATGCCATGAGTTTATTTTGGAAGGATGTTTTGGAAACTTGGAACATACTTGGGTATTTTCTTACATGAGCCTTGTATTTTCTTTCAACCACTTCTGTTAAGTTATGGGAAAATGTTATTCGCATAATTATAAATTATGTTTGTGTCCAATTCAAATTCCATTTTTGACAGAGTAACTTTTTTTGTTCCATTTGATATCCAATCCAAATTACTTGAGTTTTACTGGTATTTATAGTTCAGCCAGAGAAGGATGCATATTTATAAAGTGTTTCTAGGGTTTTCTTAAGACAGAGTTCTGTACCGTCAAATATAAGAGAGGTGTCATCCGCGAATTGGGACACCCGATAATCTGTTTTCACAATTGCTATGCCTTGTATTTTGGGACAGTTCTTGATAATTATTGATAACATTTCTGCACAAATTAGGAAGATATTTGTCTATTTGCCATTGTTGCAGAGCCAATTTTGTACGAGACGTTAAGGAAATATAATGGTCTCCAGTTTGATAGAAATTGTTGGGTTTAGATATGAATGTAATACTACCATGTTTTTGGCAAACTGACAATTCTCCTTTTTGACAGCCATGATTTATGGATCGAAGTAGAAACTATTGAGTATCAATCCAGAAAAAGATATAAAATTCAACTGTAAATCTTGGAGGACCAGAACTTTTTACTACTTCATCACTAAATACTTGCCTAATCAGTTTGCCTTCGAAGTTGAGCTTTTGTTTCTCAATTAGTTTTGGTATCTGGAATCCTTTGAATAAAGTGGAGATATTCATTTTTTTTGGCTGGGCGTTTATTTGTATATCTTTTTAGTTTTTGTTTCATTGATTAGATCACTTTTTGTAGTTATAATTTCTTTATGCTCATTTTCTAATCTTGTTTAGAAAGTTTTGTTTTTCAAGCGTTAGAAAATATTTTGTTGGCTTTTTTACTTTTTTTCAGATCAATTTCAGACTAGCTTTCTTTTTTATATTTGTTTATGTTAATTATTGCTTGTTTAGCGTCTTTTATTTTGTTTATTATCTCAGCTTTTATATCTTGTATTGATATCGAATTCCATTTCATTAATATTGTCAATTAGATTTTTTTCTCTTTCTTTTTTTCTTAGAAGTTGAATATTTAATAGAGTAACCTCTTATCATAAGAAGACCTTTGTTCTAAAAAAGAAACTGATCATCAATATCAAGCATGAGTCTTCCCTCTACATCAAAAGTTATTTTTATTGATCTATAGTTTCTTTGATTATTTAATTTGTTTCATTAATATATAACTGATCATGCAGAAGAAAATAATTAAATAAATTCCGAGGAGCCGTTATTTGGACCACATAATGAGATAATCGTGAAAGTCTTTTCCTCGATACATAGTTGTAAGCAAAGATATTTCCTGCTTTTTTATCATGTATTTCATCAACTATCTTGAATTCAAAGTTGTTTTAAAAAAGTATGCAAACCCCTCTAGCATTGCTCTTGTGAGAACAAAATGTACAATGTTGAGATCCCCATTCTTTTCTTATCTTATTTTCCAATTCTTGAGTGAAATGAGTGTCCTGAAAGCATTGTACTCTGTAAAAAAAGAAACGTAAAAGTGATTTTAGATGTATATTTTAAATATAAATAATCAACAGACGGTAATCGATGTTTGAAAATTGGCACACATCAATGTCATTGACCCAGCTTCCATATGGCACACATGAAACAGTAGATGATCAAGGTAAAGGTCATATGTTCTCAATATCTTGTAAGGCCACTCTTAAGAGTCCAAAACTGACTGGCATCGTTTTCCCATGAAAGCAATCAGATCCCGAATTGTGGCCTGGAGAATGTTCACCCAATCTGCCTGCAGTGCTTGTGCCAACTGTAAGAGTTTTTGTGGTTGCTGCTGAAGTGCTCGCAATCATTGATTCAGTGCATTCCATAAATGTTTGATTGGGTTTAAATCTAGAGGCCTGAAGGGCCATGTCAGGACGAGGCTGTTGTCAGTCCTGCCGTGTGAGTTCGTACTTTGTCCTTTTGGAAAATGATGTTCGCTTATTGCATAATGGGAAGGACGCGTGACCGAAGAATCGCATCCGTGTAACATTGTTTTTTTACATTCCCCAGAACTTGCACCAAGTCTGTTCTACAAGTGTAGGAGATGGCTACCACATCATCACACTACCACCACCAATTCTGTCCACTTCCTGTATGCAGTTTCTTGCATAACGTCCCCGCGACGCCTGTAAACACGACGTCTACCATCCGCACGGCGAAGCATAACACGTTACTCGTCATTAAACCAAACTTGTCTCCATCACAGTTGTGGCCATGCTCTGTGAACTTGACACCACTGACGTCGCAGCCGACGATGCAGATCCGTCAAAATGACACCTCGCACTTGTCGTCTGGCGCGATTACCTCCAGCGCGTAAACAGTTCCTCACTGTCTGAGCTGATATCCTACGCAATCATGGCAGGGGACAACGCATAGTTGTGGAGGTGGCCGTGGTGGTTCTGTCAGTATGTGACGTAAGTGACGAATATGTCCTGTGCTCCTGTTGTGATACGTGGTCGACCGGATCTGGGAAGGTCACGTGTTGTCCCGCATGTCTGATATCGGTTCCACAGTCTTGTAATAGTTTTTGGTGCTATGTGGAAAAACCTGGCTATAGCTGAAGATGATTCTCCCCTATTTGCAGTCGGCCGATGGCGTTGTTGCGTTGGGCTTCCGTCAGTCGTGGCATATTTTCGCTGTTCACTAGCTGTAAGATTGTAATGGTTGCGATCTTTTCACCAAATTTCTGCAGTACCCCATTCTTTCCACACAAATCAAGCCCAATTCATGCAGAAACAATTCAGTTTGGTTTTGTTTCGTCTGGTTGTCGGCAACGCTTTGTCAGATATTTACGATTTTACAATTTTTGCGGTTTTTTTTTTTTTGCAGAGTAAATATGTTGGCTTTTTAACTTGTCAAACATTAAAAGACAGCGCGTCTCTCATGCTCATTGTGTAAGCCGTGAGAACAAAGTATCTTGACTTCATCTAAGATATTAGATGGCTAATAGGGCAAAATGTCATTATAAGTACAAAGATCTTAAATAGCAATATGATGATGAGTACCTGTTTTGTAAAACATTTTTAAAATACTAAAACTAAGGCGACTCCTGCCGCATAAATCAAATACATATTTGGGGATTCATATTTGGATGTTAATTAATGGTTTTCAAACCACTTTGTGTTGCAGCTACTGTTATCTAAAAACAGGATTGGAGCATGATGAATAGTCTCAAATATTTACAATATTTACAATAATCTAGCAAATACGGTAACTCACATTATTATCCGTGGATAGTTTCCAATTGAATAAAAACAGCAAATAAAAACATCGCATCCATAGTGGGCAAAACAGTATATATATATCTTAGTTCTGTGTGTGAGATACTGTTTTACCAATTTCGTCCAATGTTTTCAAACCATGTGTTTTGGTCACTAATAGGAAGCGCTTGGCGTCATTTACTTTAAAAAATGCGCAACAAACAACACATTCATATCCGAATTTGTGAAATAAACACTAATAGATGTTCTGCTGTTCACTCAATGTTACCGCCACTGTCACGTGAGTCTCACACACACCTGCATGACGCTGAACGTTCGGTTCATGGAGGATATAAATAGTGACGTCCTTGAAGAGTCGCACACAGGTAACTCGATACAAAATTTGGACTGGTGTTTACATTTTATAGAGTGGCAATGGTTGCATGGTCACAAAAGAAATCATTGACATTATTGGTACAAAGTATCTTGATGTCATCTGTCATATTTGACGGTTGCATGAAATGTAAACGTTTATCTTTTCATTGTAAATACAGTGATCTTGAAGTTGTTATAGGATGGTGAATACCTATTTTATAGAAATATCATTATATCATTTAAAGCAAACTATATTTACACATATACTATCTAATAATCCAGCAAATATGCTTACTCACGGTGACGTTTTACCCTCAGTCTGACAACAGGCTTTGCCTTTCTCACAATGAGTTTTTATTGACATAAGACTCGCTATAAACAATAATGAACCTTGGTCCAAGCCTCAATATACCTCACCATTGTTGTCATGTTGCCATCTACGGCTATTCCACTTTCATTCACTCTCTACTTCCTTGATTCCCTTCTTCACTTTGTGAGGGGGCACGGGTGGCCCAGTCGTCTAAGGCGCCGCGATTCGCTGTGCAGGGTTGCGTCCATTGGGCGCGCCAGAAACCTATGATTGTGGGTTCTATTTCCTTGATTCCCTTCTTCACTTTGTGAGGTGGTGGGGCAGGCTAGTGGTTAAAACATGAGCGAGTGAGTGAGTGAGTGAGTGAGTGAGTGAGCGAGCGATTGAGTGAGTGAGGTTTCACGAAGCTTTCAGCAATATTCCATAAATACCACGATGGGAGAAATCAGAATTGGGCTGCACACTTTGTACAAATGTGGGGAACAGAACCCGGGGCTTCGGCGTGACGGACACACGCTTTAACCACCAGGCCACCGCACCGCCTCATTCCACAGTGAATGTTCTGTCAATGTTATTGTCCAAGAAACAACAGGTAGGTCAGAGTCTGACTGGGGTGGGAAGATTGGCACGTGTGCCACCAAAGTTGGACAGCACGATACAAGCCGAAACTGTACGGCATTTTAATACAATTTCAAATTATCTCTACTTAAAAAAAATTCACAAATAAAGCCATTACATTTCAAGAATCACGTTCAAGAAACACCCAAAGTAGGTCGGAATCTGATAAGAAGTGGCACCAGTGCCACCAAATGTGGACAGAATTATAATAAAAGACAAAAACTAGACTGTACTTAAATACACCTTCAAAGTTATATTATTCCACAAATGAAGCCATGTACATTTCAAGAATCACGTTCAAGAAACACCAAAAGTAGGTCGGAATCTGATAAGAAGTTGGACAACTGGCACCAGTGCCACCAAATGTGGATGGAACTATAATTAAAGACAAAAAACTAGACTGTACTTATATTCATAAAGTTATGCTTACTCAAAAATATTCCACAGGGAATGCCCGGTACACTTTGCGAATATTGCTTAAGAATCAGCAAAAGTAACCCTAACCCCCTAACCCTAACCCTAACCCTAATCAGCAAAAGTAGCAAAAGCGGAATGTAGTTGAAAGTGGGAAAACTGTCACCTGTGTCACTAAATGTGGACAGCAGTATAAAAACCAAGTCGGTTCAGGCCACGTCAGAGGACAAGCGGTCGTGCCTTGGACTGGAACTGATAGTGAGGGGAACTGTTAACGATGATGTCTCTTGTAGTCGTCGCCTTTGTTGTGATTTGTGCAACGCTATCAGGTTTGTGAACCTACAATCCTCTTTAACGAAAGTATTTTTATTCATCTAGTCTAGTGTCTAAGATATAAAGTGGACCAAATGAGATGCTTTTGTATTTAGACAAAACATGTGAAAATAGCATTCGGTAATGGTAAAAATATGAAAGCTGTAAATTTTGTATCTTATTTTGGTTTGTTAGATTTAATCAAGAATACAATAAAGGTGTCAGTTTGGCATCGGCTACCATATCTGGTTGTCTGGACAATCCAGACAATCCAGTGATTGGGATACGAGGACATGCATCAACCGTTAGTCTCCTTTTACGACAAGCATAGTCACCTTTTACGACAAGCATGGGTTGGTGAAGACCTATTCTACCCCGGATCTTCACTGGTCACCTCTAGTTGTCGTAGTTACAGCCTACATATAACGATGACTCACAAAGTGTGCTTTGAAGCCGATCATAGAATCTAAATCATCTTTCTTAAATAAAACTAAATCCGTAGAGTCGCTGCTAAAAAAAAGTGAGTTTTTTTAAACAAAATTCTAAAATATGTATAAAAGACGTATTTGTTATGAGAAATCAAAGGGTTTCTTCTGTTCTCAAGATCAACCTACTTCGGAGGTGTTTCATTACTGAAATTAATCAAGATGACACTGCAAGAAAAAATACGGTTCCAAAGTTTAAAATAAGTTTGACGATAAGGACAACATGGCTTTACAAATGATCGATCTTCGACCTAACTTTGTACAATTGTCCAAACTGATTGCGATAGCCCGATGCCATTTCAATGGGTATTAAGGTTAAAACATGTATTTCTCTTTCAAACTTCTCTCATATGGAAATAAAATCACCAGACATTTCACTACGACTTTGGCACAGAACATAAAATTGATAGGCAGAAATGTAAATTGGTTATATTTTTAATTTATATATTCCTGTATACTACTTTAATGAACGTTCTGAAATTCCGACATTTGTAAAACGGCCTAGATAGCACAATAATGCAAAATTGGAACCATTGTTATAGAGAACCAAATTTGTAAAATATATTTAAAATTGTGTGCAACTCCTCTGCCATTAGTTCTATAGGACCGTGGCTTCTTAATTGCTTGAATAAAGATTGGAAAAGTAAATCTCGACAACATCTACAGAATTTATGTAAACAAATCTTCTCAGCTTACTCAAACACCAAGATATTTTCAATTGTCAAGAAAAAGACAGGGGTTTCGAGTTATGTGTTATAATATGATTAACATAATAACAACTGCTAATGAGTATAGAAACCATGCAATCACTTGTAGATAGCGCTCCAACAAACCATACTGCAGCTTATTGCCATACAACGTACAACCGTACCTGTCAATCGCATGTCAACGAGAAACGGATCTATTGTGGCAATGATGGCAAAAAGTACCATGGCTTGTAAGTATTTGGCTCATTAAAAAATACATAATTACAACCACGTAATTGCATTGGGTTGTCTTCCTTTAGCGTGCCAGAATCCGTAGGTTCAATTCTCTTATACGCCACGTTCATGATTCTAGCTTTGTTTGCAGCATAAGTATCTCATAGCCATCGCAGATTTGAAATCAAACTTCTTATCGCAAGATTTCAATATATTATTACATGTATATGATTTGAATGATTTCATACATTTTATTTCAATATAATATTTGGTAACAGATGTGAGTATCTACTTGCCAACTGTGAGCACCACGTCACCGTGGTCGGCTACGGTGAGAACTGCACCCACACGATCCACGTCACACGTCCAACCCAGCCTCCACCTTCCCATTTTGAGCTTGGGCTCTATGGTGCGATAACCCACGGAATCGACGACAGACTGAAGGCAATCAAGGCCAGAAACATCTCTGTAGCTCTTGCCAAGAAGGTGTACACCAAACAGGACCATGCTAACAAGGTGTATGTCCGCAACAAGGACTGCTGGGCGTATGGCCTTGACCTGACCTCCATCTCACCCTGGAACAGCAACCTGGCCAACAGGAAGGCCGGGACTCTGGTTTCTCCAAGACACGCCCTGTGGGCTAGGCACTACAGCATCAAGCTCAACTCCACTATCCGGTTTGTTGATCAAGACAACAACGTAGTTGAGCGCCGTGTCGTCAAGTCCAAGACTGTATCCGGACCCAACCTCCACGGAATCTTTGGTCAGGACATCGTGGTGGGTGAACTGGACAGTGATGTCCCCAGCTCCATCTCCTTCTCTAAAGTGATGCCCAGAAACCTGACCACCTTCCGTGTGCCTTACACTATGCACATACCGGCCATGAGCACAGACCAGGAGGAGAAGGCTCTTGTGGACGACTTCTACTACTACTCCGCCGTCAACGCCGGGCTACGTGTTCCTCTGACCACCTCCATCCGACACGACTACTACGAACGCAAGATCGGTGGTGACAGTGGCAACCCTACCTTCTTCATCATCGACAACCAGTTGGTTCTGTTGTTTGTGTTCACGACAGGCGGTGCTGGAGGTGGGACGTCCATTAACCATTACTTTGATCAGATCAACGAGATCATGGCCAAGGAAGGAGGAGGCTACCAGCTGACGGAGATGGATCTCAGCAAGTTCCTGGATAAGGGGCAGTCATTACCATTTCTTATTGGGAAATAAATCCTGACATAAGTAGAACGTCATTGTTTGCTACACCTTTGTATACCTGCCGATTACTCTTCAGCGGGAACAATCGGGGTGGTAGAAAGTCCTTCTTGAATATTAAGGAGAAGTGAAGTTCATCTAATGCACTTGAATGAATGAATGAATCCTGGTTCGAATCCTGTTTCAAGTTTCGTCAACACCAAACCGTGGTCGTGCTTTTGTGTTTTTTTTGTACCAAAATGATAAACGTCGTCTACTACCAGAATCAAACGATTATCAAAAAGTCAGCCATGACCTTAGGTTATCATGAAGCCTTCAGTGCATCTAAAAGTATAACTCAAATCAAAAGATGCAATGAGGTCACTGAGTATTCACAAATAGAATGGAGTTAGTTATGAAGTTCGAAAAGACAGTCACAAATATGTCCACTGTGATCTGAAGTTATAAAGAAGTCTATTCTGAATGAATCTAAAGGTGTATTGAGGGCCATCCGTATCTAAGGATATAGTGAGGTACATGTTATATCTGAAGATGAAACGAGGTCCATGTTGAATTCAAATATCTAACGAGGTCCATGTTCAGGCTAAAGATGTATTGCTGACCACGTTAAATATACAGATGTAATGAGGACCATCGTGAATCTGTGAATCTGAAGATGTAATTAATGAGTTCCATATTGAATCTTATGAGGTCACCATAATAATACAGTCCATCTGGAATACTAAGGTCAGTAATGAACATTTTAATTCTGAAAATCACTACATCCATTGCGTGAAAGTTATTAAGAATTTTAGATAAGGGAAAATATACCATCCATCTAATAGCCTGAAATGCAGATGATCTGATAGGATGTCACGAGAAAATCAGTGGATTCGACTATTATGTACAGCAATGTCATATGGAGGTAATGACAAAACACAGACATCGATGCAGCCATGGTCACAAGAATGAACGAAGGCCAAATAACACCATTCATATGGAAGAGTTGTTGCCTCTCTTTCAGGAACCATTGAGAGTGCACAAAGTAAGAACAAGACTATACTCTTGTTCAAAGAAATCATAAGACTGCAGCATCTTTTGCTGATGGATGGGTCGTCAAACAGAAAGAGGACACACTTTTGACTAGAAAGTCAGTATTTCACAGATTGTTTTCTCGGTAAGACGTAGATAAAAAATCCTTTCATTCTTGATAAGTTGTGCTGAGCTTCTGAAGATAGAGATGTAACTCTATCGATTGTCACCACGTTTAGTAACAAATACCTCATGGATCAAGGAATGAACACTTACACTTATACAAAAAACAACACGCAAAACGTAAGAAACGTAGTGTTGCATTTAATTAATTAATTTTCATTAAATTCACACGTGTTGACGTCAATTTACAGCAGCTCTGTAAGTCAATTTTAAAGTTTTCGAAAATGACCAAGTTGAAGCCAGACATGCATACCGACACTGGGCGGTGCAGTTATTAATTTGGCATTAAGCGACGTCTGATTCAATATCATCCATTTCTGGGTGACAGCGTGAAAGAACGGACGAATGAAAAGTAGTACCTGAGACCAAAGAAAAGCCGAGTGATATGTAGACAAACTGTAATTCCCAACAGCATTACAAAACATTTAATACCCTCCATCCGTCTTCGCTATGGGTAAGATATGCACGTTTTATTCATCAAGATAATCGGTGACGACCTGAGCATTATGTGGTCTGGAATTGTCATCTTGCAGTTCAAATTTCTGCCGATATTTCTAGCTAATGGAACAACGACAGGACGCAAAATGTTGCCCTGGCATACCGCTCGCCGCTACGTCTGCAAAAACGTTTTCTGCCAACTGAGTATCAGAGTCAAACGTTTTGTTTGTCTGTATACATCTTGCACGTGCATCACGAACTGTTAATGTATGATGTGAAACTTCATTGTGATAAACTGTTGCTACGGCATTGTAAATGTTCACCTCAACGATAGCTACGTTCAAATAATTGGTTTCCTTATTTTTTGTCGATAGTATACAATCATTGTGCCCTTTTCACCAACGGAATATGGTTTGTTTTTTGGCACCGTGACGTTTTAGCCTCAGTCTGATAACAGGCTATGCCTTTCACAAACTTACCTTCTTTTGAATAAGACACATTATAAATACTTATGAGCCACGATGTCGTATATTTGTCCTAGGGCGTGGGATGGTGTAGGGGATCTTTTTATTCATTAACGCTAAATATGAAATGTATATTTGTATACTTGAATAAACAAAGCAGATGCATATTAACTGGTACTTGCCCTGCCAGGTTATCTCAATGGGCTACATTTCCGTGGACCATGGATCTAAATTTTAGTGAGTGAGTATGGTTTTACGCCGCTTTTAACAATATCCCAGCAATATCACCGCGGGGGACACCAGAAACGGGCTTCACACATTGTACCCATGTCGGGAATCGAACCCGGGTCTTCGGAGTGACAAGCGAACGCTTTAACCACTAAGCTACCCGATCTAAATTTTAACAAGTGCTAAGCCCACGTGGGTACAATATGTGAAGTAATCCGTGTGTCCCGTACTGTTCCCACATGGGTACAATATGTGAAGTATTCCGTGTGTCCCGTACTGTTCCCACGTGGGTACAATATGTGAAGTAATCCGTGTGTCCAGTACTGTTCCCGCGTGGATTCAATACGTGAAGTAATCCGTGTGTCCCGTACTGTTCCCACATGGGTTCAATATGTGAAGTAATCCGTGTGTCCCGTGTGTCCCGTACTGTCCCGCATGGGTACAATATGTACCCAACTGTGAAAAAGTTGGAAGAATGATGTTGGATGATAAATAAAATCTCCCCCTCGTGTCTTTTGATATGAAATATATCAACACACGTTGATAAAAGTGGCAAAAATCCTCGGCCAGCCTCGGAATTTTTCCACTTTTATCAACTCGTGTTGATATATTTCATATCAAAAGACACGAGGGGGAGATTCTCAAAATGTCGCCCACAGTGATAAGGAACATTGCCAAACCCAGCGTACGACTTCATACAACTAAACATTTGCTGTATGAACGTTCCTGGGATGAAATACATTTACAAACAAACGTACCTTCAGGTCAAAATTATTCCAAGTGAGTGAGTGAGTGCAATGTACATTTTACGAATCAAGTTCAAGAAACAGCAAAATTAGGTCGGAATCTGATAAGTAGAGGGAAGATTGGCACTATTCCGTATTTAAAATAACCTTCAAAGTTATGTTTATCTAAAAATATTCCACAGCAAATATCCTTTAGACTTTGCAAATATTGTTCAAGAAACAGCAAAACTAGGTCGGAATGAAGTTGAAAGTGGGAAAGCTGACACCTGTGTCACCAGTATAAAAACCAAGTCGGGCAACGTCACAGGATAAGCGATCGTGTCTTGGACTGGAACTGATAGCGAGAGGGAGGTCGTGTCTTGGACTGGAACTGATAGTGAGGGGGAACTGTTAACGATGATGTCTCTTGTAGTCGTCGCTTTCGTTGTGATTTGTGCAACACTGTCAGGTTTGTGAACGTACACTCCTCTTTAACGAAATTATTTATATTTATCTAGTCACGATTAACCTCTCTTATCTTGTGCTTTTACATTTACCAAAATCTTGAGAAAACAACATATGGTAATAGTCAGTATGTTAAAAAATGTAAATTGATTTGTTTCTAATTTTAATTGAAAAGATTTAATCAAGAATACAAAGAAGGTTTCAGTTTGGTATCGCCTACCATATTTTCCTCTAGTTGTAGTGTGTGAGTGAGTGAGTTGGGTTTAACGCCGCTTTTAACAGTATTCCAGTTATATCACGGCGCGTCAGCTTACTGTAGGAGGAAAGCCCGAAGTGATTCAGGTCTTAGACGTTTACCACTTCGGTGAAACCCTCGAGCACGGGTATGGTGCTGACAAACCTAGAAACATAACCGGGGCGAACCTGGATTCGAACCCACAATCATAGGTTTCTGGCGTACCGAAGGGACGCAACCCTGCACAGCGAATCGCGGCGCCTTAGACGACTGGGCCACTCGTGTCCCCTCTAGTTGTCGTGAATAGCCAATGTGTAACAATGACTTAAAGCATAAAGTATGCTCTGAAGCCGATCTTAGAATCTAAGTCATCGTTCTCACTTCGATTCCTAAATGGACATACTTCGAAGGTTTTTATTGACTGAAATAAGTCAAGTTGGCGAAGTAAGAAAATACGTTTCGATATTTTTTTATTTTTGACGATAAGGACAATATGGCTTCACAAATCATCGAACTTCGACCTAACTGTCCACATAACAAACAAATTGTCAAAACTGATCGGGATAGCCTGATGCACATTTTAATGCATTTGAGGTTTAAAAAATGTATTTCCCTTTCAAAAGGCTGTAGCTCTCTAATATGGAGTGAACATCACCAGACATTTCCCAACAACTTTGTCAAAGAACATAATCTTGATAGGCAGAAAGTTAATGTCATGATCATGAAAATAAACCCTGCAATCACTTGTAGGTGGAGCTCCAACAAACCATACTGCAGCTTATTGCCATTCACTGTACAAACGTACCTGTCAATACCACGTCAACGAGAAACAGATCTATTGTGGCAATGATGGCAAAAAGTACCACGGCGAGTAAGTATTTGGCTCAAAAAGAACACATTACTACTACCACGTAACGATATTGGATTGTCTCCCTTAACCGTGCCAGAATCCGTCTGTTCAACTCTCAAATGCGACACGATCATGATTCAAGCTTCGTCTGCAGCATACGTATCTGGAATTAAGACAGCCATCATAGATTTAATATCCAGCTTGTTACCGCTAGGTTTCAATATTAATTACATGGTTTTGATTTGAATGATTTCACATTATTTCATACATTTCATTTGAATATTTTATTTTGGAACAGATGTGAGTATATGCTTGCATACTGTGAGCACGAAGTCAAACTCGCCGGCTACGGGGAGAACTGCACCCACAAGATCCACGTCACACATCCTAGCCAGCCCCCACCTTCCCATTTTGAGCTTGGGCTCTATGGTGCGATAACCCACGGAATCGACGACAGACTGAAGGCAGCCAAGGCCAGAAACACCCCTGTAGCTCTTGCCAAGAAGGTGTACACCAAACAGGATCATGCTAACAAGGTGTACGTCCGCAACAAGGACTGCTGGGCGTATGGCCTTGACCTGACCTCCATCTCACCCTGGAACAGCAACCGGGCAAATACTGGAACTCTGGTTTCTCCAAGACACGTTTTGTGGTCACGGCTTAGCAGCTTCAAGCTCAACTCAACTGTTAGGTTTGTTGATCAAAACAACAACGTAGTTGAGCGCCGTGTCGTCACGTCCACTGCTATACGCAGTCACAGCTTGAGTTTAATGTTTAGTCAGCACATCTTGGTGGGTGAACTGGACAGTGATGTCCCAAGCTCCATCTCCTTCTCTAAGGTGATGCCCAGAAACCTGACCCAATTCCGTGTGCCTTACAATATTCACATTCCAGCCATGAGCACATACCAGGAGGAGAAGGTTCTTGTGGACGATTTCTACTACTACTCTTACTTCAGCGCTGGGCTACGTGTTCCTCTGCCCACCTCCATCAGACACGACTACTACGAACGCAAGAGTGGCGGTGGCAACCCTACCTTCTTTGTCATCGACAGCCAGTTGGTTCTGTTGTTTGGAGGTTTGATCCCCATCAACTCCTTATTTCATCAGATCAACGAGGTCATGGCCAAGGAAGGAGGAGGCTACCAGCTGACGGAGATGGATCTCAGCAAGTTCCTGGATAAGGGGCAGTCATTACCAATTCTTATTGGGAAATAAATCCTGTAATAAGTAGAACGTCATTGTTTGCTACACCTTTGTATACCTGCAGACTACTCTTGGGTTGGTAGAAAGTCTGTCTTGAATATTAACGAATGTTTTAAGTTTCGTCAGTACCAAACCGTGGTCATGTTTTTTGTCAAAGCGATAAACGTCGTCTACAACTTAATTAATTAATTAAAAGGTTGTCAGAAAGCCATCCATGATCTGAGGTCATGAGGTTATGAGATCATGAAGTCTTCTGGGCATCTAAAAGTATACCTTGAATCTAAAGATGCAATGAGGCCACTGATGAATCACAAGATAGAACAGAGTTATAAAGTTCAAAATGACAGTCATAAATAGAACAAGATGTATATTGATGACCACCTTGAATCTAAAGACATAGCGAGGTCCATGTTCAATCTAAAGATGAACCGAGGTCCATGTTGCCTCTAAAGATGTAACGAGGTCCATGTTCAATCTAAAGATGAACCGAGGTCCATGTTGCATCTAAAGAAGCAACGAGATCCATGTTTAATCTAAATATGTATTGATGACCACGTTAAATATAAAGATGTAATGAAATCCAACCTGAATGTGGTGATATATTGAGGACCATCGTTAATCTGAAGATATAATTAATGAGGTTCATATTGAATCTAATGAGGTCACCATAATAATACAGTCCATCTTGAATACTGAGGTCTGTAATGAACATTTCATTTCTGAAAATCACTACATCCTTTGTGTGAAAGTTATAAAGATTATAATAAAAGGGAAAATATACCATCCATCTAATAACCTTAAATGCAATCACCCTGATATGATGTCCAGAGAAAATCAGTGGATTCGACTATACATATTCGATACTCGTGGAGGTAACGTCAAAATATAGACATCGCTGCAGCCATGGTCACAAGGATGACCGAAGGCCATGACACCATTCATATGGAAGAGTTGTTGCCTCTCTTTCAGGAACCATTGAGACCGCACAAATTAATAACAAGACTATACTCTTGCTGAAAGAACACAAACGGCTGCAGCAGCTTTTGCTGATGGGCCAACAAACAGAAAGAGGACACAGTATTGACTAGAAAGTAAATATTTCACAGATTGTTTTCTCAGTAAAACGTAGATAAAAAATCCTTTCATTCTAGATAAGTTGTCCCGAGCTTCTGAAGATGGAGATGCAACTCTAACTCGATTGTCACCACGTTTAGTAACAAATACCCCGTGGATCAAGGTATGAACACTAACATTTACACAAATCAACACGCAAAACGTAAGACACGTATCTTTGTATTTATTTCATTACTTTTCATTAATTTCGATCCCCGACCGCGTCATACCAAAATGACGTTGAAAGATGGTACTTGTTGTTACCCTGTCTGGCGCTCGGCATTAAGGGCCTAACACAAGGACTGGTCGGCTCGGAGTCAGTATAATGTGTCTGAGTGGGGTATTCATGTTAAACTGCGGCATGGTAGTGAGCTAGCACTATAAATCGGCATCAGTCCATATGTCGCTATGTAAGTGCAATAATCTTGGACGCGACGTTAAACCCCATATCACCTCACCTCACCATATGAACCAATCAGGGGTTACCTGGGATCTATTTTACACTGGAATTCCCACAAGGAATGTTGATAACTTGTATACTCAGGTGGTAACTGAACCCGATCTCTGGAGTGACGGACCAACGCTTTAAATATAAGGCTACCTCAACTTTCCGTTTAATGTTTGGCCCGTGAACATCCGGGGTAGAATAGGTCTTTAGCAACTCACGCTTGCCGTAAAAGGCGACTATGCTTGTCGTAAAATGCGAATAACAGGATCGGGTGTCAGGCTCGCTGACTTGGTTGATTCAGGTCATCGATCCCAATTGCGTGGACCGATGCTCATGATATCAATCACTGGATTGTCTGGTCCGGACTCGATTATTTACAGACCGCCGTCATATAGCTGGAATATTGCTGAGTGAGGCGTATAATAACATGTTTAATGTTGAGTTAGTGAGTGAATGTCGTTTAACACCACAGTCAGAATTTTTCCAGCTCTATTTTTTAGACCTACCGACAACATGTGAGGGAACTTAAGAAATGATAGTAAAGGTGTGATGACGATTAATGTCTGATAAATTGATTTTGGGCCTGGAGATCAATATTGGGTGTGTCCTTGTAGGGCGACACGTGCGCGACACGCTGGTGTATACTGTTGATTAGCTTACGTATGGTTGTCCTTGTTTTTGCCCGCCATCTCTGCTCCGAGAACAACCCAGAGATGCTCTATTGGGGACTTGTCAGTGGACTTAGCGGGCCTCTCCAACGTCCGTATGCCTTCTCGTCTGAGATAATCGGCCGCGTCATACCAAATGACGTTAAAAGATGTTACTTGTTGTTACCCTGTCTGGCGCTCGGCATTAAGGGGCTAAAACTCGGACTGGTCGGCTCGGAGTCAGTATACTGTGTCTGAGTGGGGTATTCATGTTAAACTGCGGCATGGTATCTCAGTGAGCTAGCACTAAAAAATCGGCATCAGTCCAGGCTAGTACAAGTAGCCACACACACACGTGCATGTACGTCGCTATATAAGTGCAGTAATCTTGGACGCGACGTTAAACCCAATTTCACCTCACCTCACCTGGCCCAACCCAATCTTTGCCGCCTATGGTAAGCTGTTATGGTCACGCTCTTCACAGGACGCCTTGCTTTCAGTTGGGCTGTATTGGTAGATGTTGAAGTTCGCCTTCCTGTTATTGTAGGAGTTCTCTATTGATAAGAAGAGTATATTTGAATCTGTTGCGTAGTGCAATTAATGTAATGAGACGATCTTGTCTATAGGTATCAAGACCAGTGATATTTTCTTCGCTTGAAGTATGAAGTAGAAGGATATTGCCTTGTCCTTGTTTTATGTTTTATGTTCCACTCGGAGGCGTTATTAAGGATTCTACCATGAATTTAGAAATTACCCGATTCTTATTGGACAATCAGAGGCTATTAAATCACAATAATCCCCCTCTGATTGAAACAGCTGGCTTGACGGCCGCATCACCGCGGAAGTTAATATTCATGGAATAGTACTTTTTTCAGTCACTGTCGGTAGGCATATCTAAATAATTATATCTACAATTATAGGTTAAGCCGGACGGTTGCTGCTACTTCAATATTCAAGAGATTTGTGGCAATACATTTCGTGCAGAAAACACGATAGAAATCTGCAAAGAGAATGCATTTAAGGTTTGGAGACAACAGATAGCCAGGAATTTTGCGCTTTTCTATATACGACTGTGGTGTCATATCTTTTGCGTCACAATGAGCGATTTGACGTCATAATGGTTACGTGCGGTGTAGAACGAAAGCCTTGCAAAGCTTGCTTAGTTTTTTTAAGCATGTTAGCATACCAAGTTGCAGTGGTTATATGCTTTCAATACCTTTCATACGAGTGAAGTATTACCGTGTAAAAAACTGCTTGAGCATGTACAGCGCCATATTTTGATTACAGGCTGTCGGTGATTCCGTAATACAGATCAACAACCCACCCAAAACAACCCATGCCGCTTCACTCATTATATGTGCTAACACCAAAGAGTTCACGTTTTATTTAGTCATGGGAGAATGGAGATAAACATACCCTGTTTTCACTGTAGAGCTGCGCGTTCGGTTCCAAATTCAGTTTAGCGCGGTTAAATCAACAGGTAACCTAGCTCAACTTTGAAAACACAGTATGATTATCTCCTAAGTGTATATGGCTTGCGAGATTTGAATTCGTCTCTCTCGCCTGCAGTCACGGCGGTGTTAATTCGCCCTCTATCGTACCCACAATTCACCATTTTGTCTGTTCATTGCGATACTGTCCCGGAGGCATTTTTAAGCTTGTGCTGAGCTCAAATGCATTAGTGATTGTGAGTTTCTCTGTAGGCGCATACACTTTGGCTTTTGTGTGCACGTGCTGTTCATGCATGAAATGACATGTCATTGTCATAAGATGTCGCGTTCAGATTCAACGCCACGGTATTGTAAATGTTCATCTCAACGAAGCTACATTGAACATTCAAATCATTAGTTCCCCGTTTTTTGTCGGTAGTAATACATCAAATGCAGGTTCTAACACCGATAGCAAGGGGAGTACAGTGGATGAGTCGCATATACACAAGTATGAGGTAGAGTTGAATAGATGGGAGTGTGGGTACAGTGGAGTGAAGAAGCCTGTTGAAACAGTTCGAGTTACCGTGACACTGTAGGTCTCCTTTGCCGGTGTCCCGGTATAAACTCTCCCCCGTACAAATTTCCCCCCCGGAGATTTTATACCGGTACAGATTCTCCCCCGGAGAATCTGTTTTGAAATAAAATCTCCCCCGGGCGGATATGTTTCGCGCCCCCCTCAGTATAAAGACTAGACGAAAACGCAAATCAGCCTTCAATAAAGCAAAACGCGACTACAAACATCTAAACATAGCCCACGAACTAAACCACCAGGTTCAAAAACTAGTCCAACTAGCCAAAAGTAGAGACTGGAAAAAATTCTGCGAAGGTATAAATAACCATACAGATGCCAGAACGGTCTGGCGCAAAATCCACGCCATTAGAGGCTTAAAACGACATAAAAAAACTAACATTAACAACTCAACCAACCCCGCCCAAAAAGCAAATAATCTCGCCAACCACTTTTCGGCCGTTAGCAGTAACACCAACTTCAGCCAAAAATTCCAAGATAAACTTAAAACAAAAAAACAAACCCACAAAAGAACCAAACAATAACAATCTAGAAATAAACCAACCCTACATAATGGAGGAGCTCCTCTACGTAATCCAAAACAGGAAAAAGGGCACAGCCCCAGGATTAGACCTAACTTCTTAACAAATAATTAAAAAACTCCCCCTCAAACTATTCCAGGCACTACACAAACTATACAATCTCATCTACCTAAACGGACAGGTTCCTACTCCCTGGAAACAGGCCCTAGTCATACCAATCCCTAAACCTAATAAACCAGCTAATCAAGCTAACTCATATCGACCAATATCTCAACTTCAAAC